TCAGTTCTCAACACTTCATAGTGCTGGCCTCAATGATCCCGAAGAACCAGAAAATATAACAACACTGAAGGCAACGTTCACAGGACGCAGCTCCCGACACACCAAAGTAGGGCACCCAGAAAGCACCAATAGTCGTTGAATTCTGGAAACAAAGTGATCCCTCGGAAGCATTAATCACAACAAAGTAACATAAGAATTGCAGACTCGGTTTGATTGAGTCTGTACATGAAGTTGACTTTTTAAGGTATTTCTATTTTTAGCTTCAGCAGCATATAAAAGGGGGCTAACAAATAAATATAAACAAACTTTGTAAAAGACTACGAAAAAATGCTACAGACAAATATGATAAACAAGATCATCAAGGAAAGGTGGCGTTCAAAGAACACAACCCCCACCCGACCCATCAACAAGAATCAGTGGCAAGGAGCCCAGGAGGACCCCAAACAAAAACAGGATAGGGCACAAGACAGAGAGCACGGACAGGTTAATCACTAAAAGATAAATAATTTGTAACTGATAAGGAATTCAAAGAAAACAAATAAATGATTGAATAATAGGCCCACAAAGTCAAAGGGCACAGGGGAAGGGGACAGGAGACCGGGAGAAGGGGGGTTTAATCAAAGAAATAAAAACTAGGGGTAAAGGGGAAGATACTTACCGTAGACGAGATAACGAGGGACAACAGCAAAAGTGTCACCAAAACAGTATGAAACAACATAGACATACATCTGAGGAACACAGAGGGGCGCCGCCTTGGAACGGTCAGCAGCATAATAATGACTACTGGGGAGTTTAAACCGGTTTACGGTGCACCAAACCTCGCTCTTAGCCCCACCATGTTCCTATAAACAAGACAGTGTAAATAATATAACAAGAATAAAGATCAACAAGGCAAAGGCAACGTTCACAGGACGCCGCCCCCGGACACACCCAAGCAGGACACCCAGAAGGCACCAAACAAGTACCTGGAGTGGACCCAAGGGCGAAAGGAGCGGGACATGTTAAGTGAAATAATATAAACAAAAACAGGCCCATAAGGGAGAGAAAGGGAAAAGGGCTTTAAGGATCGGAAATATTACATCCCTGATTGAATGTACGGGGCGACTTTTTACGGCCTCCACACCACACGGCACAAACAACGCTGATGTGGCGATAAAATAGAGAGAAATAAGAATCCCTAAAGAAAGTCATACATAAGAGTAAATAATAAGTAACTGATAAGGAACTAAAAGAAACAAAATTAATGATTGAATAATAGGCCCATAAAGTCAAAGGGCACAGAGAAAGGGGACAAGCGACCCGGGGAAGGGGGAATAAATAAAAACTAGGGGCAAAGGGGAAGATACTAACCCCTAGACGAGAAAACAACAAGGGACACAAAAGTGTCACCAAAACAGTATGAAACAAGATTACCTGCAAGATTTAGATTGTATTTTTATAGGAAAATAAACGTTATGTGTGACAAAATGTAGATTGATTTTTTGTTTAAATTCTGTCATCATTTTTAAAACAGTGGTGCTGTCCATCTTAACTGGATGTTGGCACGACATTTTTTGTTAAAGTGTACTTCTTGTTGCTCTGTCTTCCTTTAAGACATTGAGTACTTTTGTTATGGTCATTGAGCTTTTGTTTTGTATGTTTCTACATATGCCCTTATCCCTTTTCAAATTCCTTATGGGGCCCGTTTTAAAGTTTTTTTTATTTCACACATTACATGTTCCCTCTCCTTTCACCCCCTTATGTCACTCCAGGTTTTGGTTTTGGGTGCCTTTGGGTGCTCCTACTTTGATGTGTCGGGGGCGTGGGGGCCTGTGAACGTTGCCTTTTGCCTTGTGATCTTTTAATTATTGTTCTTTTTTAGCTCACCAGAGCCGAAGGCTCGGGGTGAGCTATTAGTATCAAACTCCGTCGTCTTGCGTAAAAATCGTATTTTTCTTTCTCTGAAACTGCTGGGCAGATTTATTTCAAATTTGTTTCTGTAGCATCCTTGTGACAGTCACCACTTGAATTTTGTTCATGTCTTTTCAATTGGGCACCTTTTTGGGGTAAACAGAAGCTAAAAATAGAAAAACCTTTTTTAAACATTTCTACTAAAAAGGAACAATTGATGGATATAACCAACTTTTCTTTGATTTTTTGGGAAAGTCTTTTATAAAATTTGCTCATTTTAAATTTTGGTTTTGGCCCCCTTTTTGGGGGTCTCTTGGGCTAAAATAGAAAAAATTTAAACATTTTCTTCTACGAAAAAATGGATGTATTGATCCCCAAACCTTTGTATATTTTTGGTAGTTTTTTTAATAAAGGGTTTGCTCATATAATTTGTTTTGGGCCTTTTACGGGGGCCGCCCAACAAAAAATTACCTTTAAAACCTTAAAATTTTTAAGAGAACAAAGGGGGTTTGGTTTATCAAAAACTTTGTCTCAAATCATTTTTTTTGGGGTTTTCTTTTTTTCAATTTTGGGGCTCATTTTAAATTTGTTTGGGCCCCTTTTAGGGGCCAAAAAAGTTAAAAAATAAAAATCCTTTAAACACATCTACTATAGAACTAATTGATGGATGATCACCAAACTTTGTCTGTAGCATTCTTGGGTAGTCTTTTATCAAATTTGCTCATATTAATTTGATTGGCCCCTTTTAGGGGTCTCTAGAGCTAAAATAGAAAAACGTTCAGACATCTTCTTCTACAGAACTTATTGATGATGATCACCAAACTTTGCCTGTAGCATTCTTGGGTAGTCTTTATCAAGTTTGCTCATATTAATTTGATTGGCCCCTTTTAGGGGCCGCTAAAGCTAAAAATAGAAATACCTTTAAACATCTATATCTTGAGAACTTATTGATGGATGATCACTAAACTTTGTCTGTAGCATTCATGGGTAGTCTTTTATCAAAATATGACAAGGAAAGGCGGCGTTCAATGAACGCAACCCCCATATGACCCAGCATCAAAAGAACCAGTGGCAATGAGCCCAGGTGGACCAATTTGCTCATATTAATTTGATTGGCCCCTTTTAGGGCTCTCTAGGGCTAAAAATAAAAAAAAACTTTAAACGTCTTCTCCAACAGAACTAATTGATGGATGATCACCAAACTTTGTATCATTCTTGGGTAGTATTTTATCAAGTTTGCTCATATTAATGTGATTGGCCCCTTTTAGGGTCAGCTTATGGCCGCTGTATGAACACATCTGCGGATGTTTCTAAATTCAAAATCTTTTAACCAATAAAAAGAGTTTGGCATCTGTTGCAAAAAACGGGCAAATACAGAACATTGGTGTTGCTTTGAGCAAGAAAGAATTTCCTGGAATTTTAAAGAAAGTCTGGAATAAAGTGGCAATATTTGAAAATGCTGCTCATAGATTTCGGAAGTCATGTTTATTTCAATTAATAGTAAATGGTATTGATCCCTGTAAGTTACCCCTTTCAAGAAGTAGAAAACCCACCAGTTTGGCAGGAAAATTTGGAAGAAGATAAAAAACATATTTTAAAACTCCAAAATTTGTAGGGGAAAATAATGGGGTTTTATGCAATAAAAATTTAGAGTTTCAGGTCAAGAAATAGGCTAAGTAAGGAGAGATGATTCTAAAAAAACATTTCAAAGAGGGAAATTTAATTGGTTTTTAAAAAATAGATATGGTAACACAGCTCCAGATTTTGCAAAGCCTGACATTTCCAGAAGCTAAATACAGAAGACAAAGAAAAATGGTGCGATTGTCTTGCAAAGTTTTCAAAAGGGAAATATCTGGATTAGCGGCAATAGAAATGCTTAGAGAGCGTGAACAAAAGAAGAAAGAAAATGTTCAAGATAAAAAAAAATGGCAAAATAAAAAAAATTGAGGAGAGAATGCGTAAAACAAAGGGAAGCAGAATGGGAATGAAAGAAAAGGGAACGTGAGGAGGCGCTTAAGATAATAACGATACCACAGGGAGGAAATATGATGACAGTGATAGCGAGTCTGATTACAAGTATAAGTCTAGGGCATTTGTGGATGATGTAAATAGTGATGAGTTTGAAGAGGAGTTTGAGATGTGTCCCTCGTGCAATAAAGGGGATTAAAATCCATCACGATGGGTAACCTGCGAAGAGTGCATGAAACGCTGGCATTTTATTTGTGCAAACAGGCCTCAATTTGAGTTATTTGTGCAAACACGCCTGAATTTAAGGTACTTGATGAGGATGAGAGGAAAAAGAACTGATGCAATCTGTCTGTCCATTATGTGAATGAAAACATGTACTTGTAAAATTTATCAAGTCATAAATAATGATTTAGAATTGAATTGACTCTTGTCTTGTTCTGATATTTTTATTTTGAATTCAATTTATGCATATGAAAGAAAAAAATTTTTTTGTTTAAGCTATCATTCATGTAGAGAGGGTGTCGGTTTTAGGGCATATTAAGTGACGATATTAGGCAAGAGAAAATAAAAATTGACCGAAACAGATAAGGTTTTAAAGTTTTCTTTAGGTATGGTATAAGTATTTTATAAAACTTAAATTTAAAAAAAAAAATCGACCTATGAAATGTCCCAAACATTATTAGATGCAATTGTTGGCTACATCGGTTAGTTTTTAGGTACAAATTTTAAAGAGTTTTCGGTATATGGATAAGTTTTACTCTAGTTGAAAAAAAGAAATCTTCATACTTTTATATATTTTATAGTTAAATTGCTTGACTTTTGTTGAATGTCTGAGACTGAATATTAAATATTTCAACGATGTTGCAACAAAGAATTTTTTAATACCTTATTTTCACGGAGAATCCTTGACTATATTTGTAATAGTTTTTATTTATAGAAATTATTTAGATAAAATAGCAATATATGTAAACGGTAGGCATGAACTATTATAATAAAAACATGTACTTCCTGGAGCAGCAATTATCTTGTCGGGTGTTATCTTTTTTGCAATAAGATTCTGATTACTTTTTAACAATGATACTTAGCGACAAACCCTTCCTGTATTTAAAAAAAAAAACATTCAAAACCAAACACAACTGGGGATAGATTTTTATTTAAAGTGAAATAAAATGAAAAAGAAATATACAAAAACATTTCTCCATTTAACAAAAATTCAAGAGTCATCAGTGATCATCAAGATAGTTATATCACTTCAAATAATTGTTGAATGTAGAAATAACAAAGGGCAGATACATAGTATTGTTTGCAAAATTGTTCTGTTACGTGCCATTTGAATGTCTTCAACAAAATGAAGATGATTTATCAGAAACAATATAATAGTTAACATCTTGTGCGAATGTATCTCTGCATTAACATAGTCATAACACTTCCATAGACACATTTTTGTCGAGTATGGTCAAATCTCAAGTAATAACAACAATGTTGCATTTAATAACAGCCAGTTATTAAACAACAATCGTGTGCAACTGTTTATTCAATCGTCTAACATCACATTACGCTGCAAAGAAACAAAAACGTGACACCCGAGACGAATACCAATATACCAGATATGGTAAAAGATGGCGCTGTATTCCAGGGATCTGAAAATAGATTTTGTAATTTTTTTTTTCTTTTTGTTGTGTCATCGTTTGTACAAATAAAAACTAACACCAGTCACCAATATGTGCTGGAAACAAATAGGTACTCTATTATGTTGTTTTTGACGTTTTCAAATTCATGCTTATTTTAGCAATTATTAATTTTTATCCAGCCAGATATCAGAATATTAAGATCTTATCGTTTTTAAGGTACGTGATTTCTATGGAAAAAAAATTGATTTGATCATAGTAAAATAAACTTGTGTAACAGCTACAGACACAAAAACCCATTTATACGGTTTCATATATCCAACCTAAAATTAATTTCCCTGTAATTCTTTGAAATTGTCCTATAAAACATTTATGTATGATCTTCAAGTTTGGTTATCTAACGTGAAGTCAATTTTAAAGATAACCCCGCCAATAAAAGTTATGCTAGATCACACAATCTCTAATAATATTATAAATTATAGAAAAAATGTAGAAATAAATGTTATTTGCTTTAATCGTGTGTATTAGCTTGTCATGTATTCAGAAGACAGATTACTACACAAATATATATATATAGATAACTACAATTTTCTTTGTGTTTTCATAGAAATATGATGTTTAACAGTCTCATATTTGATGCATTTCAGTTGTCTCTTTACGTTTAATTACCTAAAAGTAACTAAAAACCTTTTCAAACGTAGCATTATTCTCACATTTAAACAGCATGCGAATGTAATTCATTGTAAGGTTAGGTAAATATTATTGTTTCAGGCTTAGATATTATATTGTATCTGGCAGCTTGTAATGTTTTTATGTTTGTAAATTACAAAGTACTCTACATTTATTATTTTTCGCTTGAATGTGATATTCTTACCCATAGTTGTACCCGTTGACGATCCTGACGAAGATCCACCAGTAGATCCTTGTGTAGGACCAGCTGTGGAACCCTGTGTAGGACCAGCTGTGGAACCCTGTGTAGGACCAGCTGTGGAACCCTGTGTTGGACCAGCTGTGGAACCCTGTGTAGGACCAGCTGTGGAACCCTGTGTTGGACCAGCCGTGGATCCTTGTGTAGGGGATTCAGTGGAACTTTGTGTAGATACTGTTGGTGGGTTTACAGATGTGCTTTCGGTCGGTCTGTCAGTGGGCGTTGCAGAGTGTGTGCTTGAACTAGTTCCTTTTCAAATATGTTTACAATATCAGTAAAAGAGTGAAGGTCCTATAATTTTGGGCTCATTTTCATATAAGAACAAGGCTACTCGGAAAGAATAGGTAACAAAGTACGGAAATTAAGGAAGCTTATCTAGGAGAATGTAATCATAGATTTAAGTACAAAATTGACATTGTATTTCTAGTATGGATTAATGGAATCTAAGCTGCTTAATTGCCTGCCTCAGACAGATCAGAAATATATAAAAACATGCACTTTATCTAACATGCTTATATATGTTATATTCAAGTAGGAGTACCACTTATTCGAACACTAATCTAAACATTTGAGTGTGCCCGCACTCAAACTACTAAAGGCGCAAAACAATTCATTTTTGAAAATGGTACGAGTATATTACGTCGTAAAGAAACTGTTCCAATGCGATCAAAATTTGTACGATACAATAAGGTGTTATATTTACCACTGTCTGTTGTTACGTCTGCTTGTGTTGTTGTGGAAAGTGACGTTGCTGCTGTTGTTGTTGTTGTTGAATCAGCGGTGGGACCTTGTGTTGTAGACGGTGTAGAACTGGTCGTTGGGCTTAGAGTTGAAGTCTGTCCCGTGTTTATTGTTGACCTTTCTGTTGTTACTTGTGTTGTTAAAGTTGTAGGAACGTGTGTTGTACTGCTCGTTGTAGGCTGTGTTGTTTCTTGTGTTGTGGTAGGTGCTGTCTGAGTCGTGCTTTCACCTTGTAAAATGTAATATTTATCAACTATTGATTTTAGAGAAGAAACTATATTGAAATAATTGATATGATGGATATTGATAGAAGGGTTATATTTTAGCGTAGCGCAATCATTCAATGCCACTACTAGCGCGTCACTAAGAATGAAACAAACATAGTCCATGCGAAATAGCTAGAAAATACAGGTTAGTAAGGATAAATGTACTATTATGACTAGGAAGTTACGCACTTGCACTTCTTCTATCTTACCTTGCGTGGTCGTTGGTACAGTAGTTGTGCTTGGAATTGCTAAAATAAAATATATCATGAGAAAGTGAGATCGAACAACCGGGACAAGAGCCTGATGGCTATGGGCTTTTGCATTATAGAAACATATATGATAGTCATCCATTAGGTTCTGATAATGGACCCTTAATTTTTCATCTTACATAACTTTGTACATATGACCATAAGATAATAATTTGTTGCATTTAATTGTTGTTAAGATAAGTAAACATTGGATCTGCTGATGGTAACTCAATATACCATTACATCCAAAGCAGACCAAAATGAGCCAGGACATCCGTGCCGCCTGATTCTTTGATGTTTGGAATTTACTTTAAAAGAATAACTATATACATATATAAAACTTCACTTAACTGTAATTTAGTTATATGATAAAATAATAGCAGATTTATATTACCCTGGTCGCAGTTTGTACCCTCCCAGCCTGCAGCACAGTTTCCAGGACACGCCCCATTAACTGAATCACAATCGGCACCAGATTCGCATTGTCCACAAGGTGATTGACAGTTTGTTCCATATGTACCGGGACTGCACGCTGGGAGTATAAGCAAACGATCAAATTACTTAAAATTCAACTTCATATTTAGACTAATTTATGAAGCAATTAATAAAGCTACTGGGTTGAAATACTCTGCAGAATTTGGCGTATGGATTTTCCTATAGCTATGACGTCAAACTTATTCATTATTACAAGTCGAAATAAAAGAAAAAAATTAAAGTCTGGTTGATAATGCAAAATCTATCGGAATTATATTGTTCTATCTAATCGTGTGAGAAAGATTAATAAAGGAATATTGCACACAGAAAACATCCTATTCATGTTTTGTAAATCATGGTTTCGGTGCTACATGACGCTAGCCAACCTTAGTTAACATTAACCATGTTGTTGTGGTCTAAGCTTAATGAGGGTCCATCCGCCCTTTTAGGCACTCTGAGTACGGACCCCGTCTTGTATTTTATCAAACGGTTTTTAAATCAAGCACGCTAAGATGGATAAATCCTTTTGTTGTTTAAGCCTGTACACGTTTGACTTCAGATAAAAGTTCGTATATCAGAATCGAATGCAAAAAAAGCGTCTTTATAGAAATGCAAATTCATAATTAATTGTTTATGTTATTTATCTAATTTATTAATGTGTTAACTGTCATCAGTTGTTTTTCTTAAAAAACTGCATTTAGCTTTTTTAAACTGTTAGTATAGTCTTTGGATTAGACCAGGTTATTTAAAAACTTGTCTAATCCTTATACAGTCGTCCATACAATTCTCGTCCATTCATTGAACAATCGTAATTTTTGTACGAAGAACGCATAACTTATGTGTGAAAAATAAGTTCCGTTTCTAAAGTAAAACAGTTTATATAATTAAACAGCATTTGAAATATTGCAAACACGTGTAATGTATGCAAGTAATAAATTTATACGCTATATCTCAGTATACATGTATACCACACTTTAATGAAGTTATTTTTAATAGAAATTCGGTAAAAACATTATTATCCGTATGTTTTGAAAATTTGTCGGCAAGTATAGTGAGATTACATGGTGGTAACAAATACACAGCATATAAACGAAATCACTGTACCCTGTCTTGTGAGCCTATACAATTCAATATGTACCCTGTCTTGCGAGTACAAGTACATATAACTTCCGATCACTGTATCCTTCATGGGAGCCTATATATTTTAACTTGTATCTTTTTTTTGCGAACACAGGAAGTAGACTGGTTTATATACTGTGAATTACAGGTCTTTTTTTTTTTTGTTGTTGTTGTTGTTGTTGTTTCCTATTTTAGAAATGGCAAACATTAGATCTATAACGTAAAAACAATAGTTTTTGAGCATGTTAGATGCTAATCACCAGAAAAAAGGAAGGCTCAATGTATAACTAATTGTCAAAAGTTGCTCTGTTTTAATTTAATGCCAAACTGTTTGCCATAGGTTAGTCCTGCTTTTTATTTCTTGAGGAGTAAGTTTTGAGTTTGAAAACTTCAATTTTAAAAACAAAGAACTATAGCCTTTAAACTTAACTGGGAAGCTTTCGGCTCTACTGATAAAAACAGTGCAGAACTTGGATTTCAGTTGAATACAAGGCAGGGAAACGGAGTAACATCAAGTTTTTAAATTAGTAAAGTTTTGAACATTGCATAATGCCGTGTATGTATGTCGTAACAACAACATATAGAAAAATATTTAAGCAAACTTATTTTATTTGACAAATAGTTTAAAGATAAACATATCTTTGTTTTGCGCACAACAGCGAGGTGAATCATACGATTATGATAAGCCGTTATTTTGTTACAAATTAAAAATACATTAAATAATTAAACGGACTAAAATCATTTATCTTTCAAAATACCTGTTTTTACTTACTTATAAAAAACGTATACTAGTTATGGATCGACTTAAGCTTGTGTTAGATGAACTTTGATTTTTTTTAAATAAAAGCATGTACCTTGTTTGCAATTTGGTCCCTGCCAACCTGCTGCACAATTACCAGGACAACTTCCATTCACAGCATTGCATGTAACTCCAAACTCGCATTGTCCACAGATTAATTCACAGTTCAAGCCGTATAGCCCAGTAGGACACGCTTCAATATTATCAAAAATAAATGTAAAGAGGATATTCTAGTTTTCCTTTAAATACAGGCTTAAATCTTCAACCCTTGGTATGGAAATAAATCTATGAAAATAATGAAATCTGATAATTTTTATTCCAGAAAATAAATCTTGTATTTATAGAAAAAACTAAAGGTTCTTTAATTATACTGTTAATTGTTCTCTTTTTCAACCAAGCGATTCGAAAGCCTTCTCATTTCATTAAGTGTTTAGCTGAATTTAAAAGAAAAATTGTCCGGCACATACCAGTGAAGATACAGAAAATATGTTTTATAGCAGTGAAAAACAAATTTCAAAAATGAAATTACGTAAAATGAAAATATGCATTTTATTGTAATTCATCAATATGTGTCATATTTAATTTATAAGTACATGTATATAATAAACATATATATCCTGTTAGTTTACAGTACAGAGTGGTATGCTTTTAAAATAGGCAACGGCTATTGCTTTGCACATAATGTACATGTACATATAATATCCCCCTGGTTGAAAAATAGGTATGATTATTTAATTTTCTATAAGAAAAGACGAATCAGCATATAGGTTTTAAATATTTATCCATTTATTTAAAAAAAAAAGCTGGGAATATCCGTTTTCAGTGGTCTTTTAAAATATGCTAACTCATCTGGAAATTGTAGTTTTACGAGTTTTTATGGAAAAGCGTAGTTCATTGATACCAAAATCTAATTTAATAATGTTACCCGAATCACACAGCGACCCTTGAAATCCTGCAGCACAACCATTCAAACATGTTCCGTTGACATGATAACAAGTTTCGTCTGCTAAGCAGTTACTACATGTTCCGGCACATTGGAAGCCATATGTTCCAGCGGGACATTCTAAAACATAATTATTGAGTACATTTAAATTGTAGTGGAGTCCTTTATTTCGACTTGAAACATATTATATTTCTTTACTAAGAAAAACTTTGAAATGGAAACAACATTGATATGTTACATGAAACACTAAGTAATTGAATGCATCAATGTAATAAGAAATCCTCCTTCATATCGTATAAACTAACTGACTTGTAAACCATATGTCTTGATTTTTTACCTTGTTTACAATTTGATGAAGTAAAGCCCGCATCACACAAACCGCTCGGGCAATCTCCCGTGATATCATCGCACGCGGCGCCGCCGAGACACGGGCCGCATGATTCCATACAATCAACACCATAACTGCCATCTGAACAACCTGTAGAACAAAACAACATTATATCTCAATTATATGAAAAACTCATGGCTTTTTGTCCCCCGCCTTTTCGAAGAAAAAGGGGGATATAAAAATAGGCTCCGTGTTCGGTCACTAACTTTGTCATTTATGAAAGGAATTTGAAATAACTTGGCACAAATGTTTATTATAATAAGACGATGTGTCATGCGCAACAACCAGACCCCTACCTCGAGGATCAAGGTCACTTGCTCATTCAAGGTCAACATTGTCTATTTGAAGGTATATGTCCTGTCCGGTCCATAACTTTCTTATCTATGAAGGTATTTTGTAAATACTTGCCATAATTGTTCACAATAATCAGACGTTGTGTCATGTGCAAACCAGTCACCTACCGTCAAGGTCACACTTGGAGATCAAATATTAACATAGTCTGTTACAGGGTATATTTTGTGTCCGGTCCATAACTTTGTCTGTTGACATATAGCATATTTACGAAAAAAAAACTAAAAAAAAAAAACTAAAAAAAAAAATTTAAAAAAACTTATTTTATATTTTTGCTATGCGCAATAAGAATCATGTGTGTGAGAGTAGCTGCGATTAGTCCTCTTGTGTGGAAAATAGATTTGATTAATCGTTATGTTCGGGAGAGTAGCTTCTATTAACCATCATGTGTTTGAAAGTAGCTTTGAATAACCATCTTGTCTGGGTGAGAAACTGCGACGTTAAAACCATCTTGTGTGGGAATGTAGCTTCTATTTACCATCTTGTGTGGGTGAGTAGCTACGATTAACCCATCTTATGTTAGATAGTACATGTAGCTACGATTGAGAGAGTAGCTACTATTATGGATAAGATTTACAGCATAGCATGATACGTGCATTAATGAGTCGGATAATTTAAAATGATACAAGTTGACATCCTGGTTCTCTTTATGACGTTATGTCTGCTCACTCGTTAAGTTAGGTATAAAATATGAACCTTGATTACACAATGGACCTTGCCATCCAGGGTCACACTGTCCTGGACATGTGCCGTTTTCCTTGTTACAACTCGCACCTTGAGAACAATTTCCACATCGCTGAGAACAACCAAATCCGTAAAATCCATCGGGGCAATCTACAAAGTAAATTTATAAATATTTTGTTTTCATTCATAATATCATTCATTTACACATACATAATGCATATATAATTATATTGAATATGTCTTCCGTGTATTTTGCATTTATTGTGTTTTGAAAATGTTTCTGGATTTATCAAATGATATTGTAAATATCATTGTAGATTCATGTAGATTCGTTAAGAAATATTCTGTAAATTCATGAACCGTTAAGATATTTATATACTTTCATCTGCAGTATGTATTATATAATCACTGTTTTGACAATAAAAGCATCGCGTCTTACTATTTAATTGTTCTTATTTACCTACTAAATACCTATTTCCTATTTTATTTCCCTTTATTTTCTTTATTTGAAACAGGAACGATATAAAATTGCATATAAATACGAGTTGTAAAGTTAGTAGTTACAGGATTTATAGTATTATTTGAAAATACCTTGTTTACAATTAGTGCCGATAAAGCCAGGATCACATAAGCCACCGGGACAATCTCCATTAAAAATACTACATGCTGCTGCTCCCTGACACCGCCCGCATATTTCCAAACAATCGATACCGTAGTTACCATCAAAACATGCTGGAATTACATCATGTTCATTATATGGCGTGGTATTTGCTTTTAATCATCGATACGGTAATTATTTTAGTTTCTTTATTACATATATTTACTATAGTTCAAACATCGTCGTGTAATTTTATTAAATGAAGGCTAAACTATTTTACAATGTAAATAGGTTTAATCTAAACTGAACATACGAACAAGAATATAAAACTCCAAAATTTCTAATTTCTACAGCAGCCTGCATGTCATATGTATACAATGTATTCGCAATGCATAGATTGTCGCCAAACATGTGCGGGGCTGACAGCTGTTGTACATAACAAAGAAATATATAAAATAAAAGGTGACATGATTATTATATCAAAAACATTTGACAAAAGCACAAAATAAAAGGAAAAAAAGACACAAAGTAAATTAAAATCATACGCTGTATACACAATTCTCCTTGAAAGCCAGGATCACACTGTCCAGGACAAGTTCCATTCTCATTATCACATATACCATCCATTAAACAATTACCACACGGCGTTGTACAGCCTGCTCCGTAATATCCATCTGCACATTCTAAAAAATTAAGTTAAAACATACCAACTATAATCAACTGTTAGGTAATGTCTGGGTGGCTGAGAGGTTAACACGTAAGAATAGCAACGTAAGAATTAGCAACCTAAGGACTGCTAGCCATATGAGTTCAACCTCGGTCTGGGACCAGCCGTTCTTTCCTTGAGCAGGAATTGTTACTCAATGCTCAGTATTGGTTTCTTACAGGGATGGATTTGACAGTGTTTTAAGCTCGTAGTTTCCTTCACAATCAAACTAATGATAATATTATTACACACACAAAAATCAGTATAAACTAAATGTTGTTAAAGGCACATTAAGCCTCGGAAAAGAATATTTTTTCCGTCTTTAGAAAGGGTAAACATTAGTTTTATAACATTTAATTAATGGTTTAAGAGCATGTTGGATGGTTCAAATGAAAGAAATAGCACTGAATGTATATTTTCTGTCATGAAAGTAGTAAAATTTTAACAAATTAGTATTTTGACTTCCGTACAAAATACTCGATCAATGTAACATTTACTGCTCTATCTGTCAAAAGCCAACATAGGCAAAATGTGGTGCATGTAATTGGCCAATCAGTAACCTGTTAGAAACTAAAACAGAACATCAAACATAAAAAGCTTTTGAAAATGAATGATTAATGTATTTCTTGAGCATTATGGGCCTTTAAAACATAAAAAGCCAGCCTTCCTCTCGTTGATACATGTATATTTAGTGTTATTTACATTTTAATTTTTACACCAGAATATACTGTTTAAGTATTTTTGTTGATATAAACCATATAGGATAATAGATTGATGTTGATTTTTTTCGCTTACCTGTATAACACATGGAATCCTGCGGATCCCATCCTGGGGCACACCCGCTCTCACATATCCCTGTAAGTGCATTACAAGTGGTGGGTGGGGCACATTGTCCACATGGATTCTGGCAGTTGGCGCCATACTCGCCTACATCACATGCTAGGAATGTAAATGCGTTAACTTATTAAATTATTAGGTTTGATTATTGGTGTTTATATGATATGTGGACTTAATACTATTTTACAAAGATGTTTTGCGTATATGTCTATATGAAAACTATCGAAAACGTCCTTAACAATAAATGACAATAGTTATTGATTTCAAAATTGAATGTGCATCCTTTTTCAATAAACTTATATTTGAAAAATAATTTACTGTAAGAAACATTATCAAAAGTATTATATTTTTTGAATGAAGAATTATAATAAATAATGTCTTACGTGTTTTGCATAACTCGCCTTTCCAACCAGGGGCACATCCTAAGGGACAGGACCCGGTAATAGTATTACAAAATGCCCCAGCATCACAGTTCCCGCAAAACTCTTGACAATTTTCTCCGTATGTACCATTGACGCATTCTGGGAAATAACGTGAAAACAAAATGACACAAAAAATGATAGTTTGTTGATCTTAAAGTCAACTCTTTAAAAGGAAGATATATTTAATATTGAATCATACCAGTCTTTACTTCATTTATTCTTATATGAACCGGTAAAATTTTTAAATGACTTTGGTTCAACAACATTTAGGGCGGTGACCTTTAGTACTGCGGTAGTAATGACGTAGTTATTATTTTTAATGTACAATGATAATGATTAATATTCACGGACCTAGACCTTTTTTACTGGTATCAACTGTTGAATATTTTACTGGTATCAACTTAAAAGTATACATATGTACCAAAGTTTAAGCCAGTGATCAAGGACTGTAACATTTAAATCAATTTGCCATGTTTATTAGTGGCGCTTCGTATGTAGCTTGGCACATTTTCAGATACTAGTAACCACATGATATCGTGCCGGGATGGAAAAAGTATCTCGGAACGGTACTGCTTGTAACCGCCACAATCATTCTAGAATGGTGAGAACAATTAATTTAAGAAATTTTTGATTTCTGCCACTGTGCGTTCTTTAATGCAATGGTTGAAATATCATTTGTAATCACCAGTGAAGCATTGTGTTCCCTGATATCCGGCTGCACATTTGTTAGGACAGGTTCCTGTGATTTTATAACATGCTTCTTTGTCCAAACATTTACCGCATTTATTTTCACACTGGTTACCAAAGAAACCGTCATCACAAGCTAAAAACAGACCATTTGCAATCAATAATTATTGTAAAAAATATTCCGATATATTTTGGTAAATTCAATGACATAATTTTACGCATATAAATGTATAAATAGACATCAATGTTCAATCACAAATGTATTATGTTAGTTTTCACCCACTTTATGTAGTTTGTAACATTGAATGCCTTATTACACATGTTGATTGTCACATTGTATTTATTGTTAAATTACCATTAACTAAATTAGCACTATGTATATAAAAATAAATAAAACGAATCAAATCAACCTTACAATCATATAAAAAGCATAATTATTAAATAATTAACTTTTTAAAAACAGTTTGCTAACATGCATACCGGAAATAGCTTCGACTTCACATAGAGAGATGTAAGTATATTCGGGTCCAGTTGGACGCTTTACAATAATGGCGTTAGCATGTTCTTCCGGTTCAAGTACAATCTCGTATATACCGTCTGTGAACTGTATCCCTGAAGCATCAAAAACTGGAGACCCTGTGGTATCATTTATGTATAGCATAAAGTCATCCAACTGTGATCCAAAATCTGAATAAAAAGATACAGAAAGCCTGTGAAAATCAGACAGTATTCTTTTAAAACAAGAAATGATTTAAGATCACTTAAATTACAGCCATCAACAAGACGTTGTATCAGGTTTGAGATATGCCAGACAAAGTATGACGTTACGTGAATTCAACGTGTCTGTTTTGGGGAAAATATAAATTGTCATTTATTTTTTATAAACAAGTTGTTTTCTTGCACTTTTTCTAGTTGTATGTATCGGTTTTCCTCATCGTGTATGCAACTTCTATTTCATAAAGACTTTGCAAGGTTGTTAAATTCCTACAATCTCACTACTTGTCGTTACATGTATTTCAAATACATATGTGTCACATGTTTCATATCAAATAATTTAATTGCAATTGAAAAAAAGAGAATAAATAAATAAGGTGATGCTTATTACCTCCTCGTCCAAATATATTTATTTTCATAAGTGCTTGTGTTTGAGAAAATGTAAGCTGCCAGAAATTATCACCAGGAACGACTTGTTCACTACAACTACAGCATCGAGAAACATCCGGATTATCTCTGTCATAACATCCATCTATAGCCTTGTCCGCAGTCCATGCGAAACCATTGTAGGTCAAGTCATTACGATGAGTTGCCATTTGACCCGGCGCAACATTAATACCTATCATAGTTGAGCATTTTCAAGATCTTTATGGTTTTAGACAACAATATGATATGTCTATATGTGTGTGATTCTATAATGCAGTACTATCTATAATTATCTTATCTATAACAGCTAGATGCTCTGCAATCAGGAATAATTCTCGTCACAGATGAAAACTGAATAGTATTTAATCTTTCAATATTTACCTTTAAATACTAATTGTAATAAAACATTCTTGTTTTGTAAAATTTGTGCTGGGTTGGTTTTTTTGTTTTTTTTTTGGCGATTTCCCCCAAAGGAATGATCATAAAATTTAGCGATCCTTCCCCCTTTTCCCCGAAAGTTCCTATTAAATTTTTCCGGGTTGCAAGTGTCCGGTTTTTTTAAAGGGCCCTTTTTCAAACATATAAACAAATTTTCCCGAAAATTTTAAATTTTCAGAGCTTTAAAACCAAAACGCAAAAACTTTCTGATAACAAAAAACTTTAAAGTATTTCAGATTGAAGAAAATTCTCTGAATTGGTTTTTTCAAAAGCGGCCCTCATTTTCAAGACTCCACAAATTCCGCAAAAAAATTTAAAAAAAAAAACCAAAAAAATTTTTGTTTAAAAAGCAGAAAATATTGGTAAATGGTTTTTAAAATTCTTGAAAAATAACGATTATGGATTTTACATTTTTTTTGTATTTAGTGCCGCTTCCCGGGGAGCCCATTTTTTTTTTCATTTTTTGGGTTTTTGCATTCTTTTTTAGAAAATGGGCAATTTTATAATTTTAAAAAATACTAAATTACTACTAATTATAAAAAAAAAAAAAGTTTCGTCCTCCGAATTAAAATTTTTAAAAGATTTTTAAAATCCCAAAGCCCAAAAAATAAATGTGTAAGTTTGACTAACAAGGAAAAAAAATAAAACTGATTTTTTATCGGGAAACTTTTAAATTTAAATTTTTTTAAACCAAATTTGTTTATACTTTATAATTTGTTTAGTTTTCTTTTTATTAAAAATAATAAAAAATGTTAATTCCCGTAAAATTGTTAAAACTCAAAAGCATCTTTTTTTGGCAAATACTTTTTTGTAAACAAAAAATTTAAAGGCCCAAAAGAAAAAAAACTAGTTATTGAACGTATTTTTTTTTAAATATTTTAGTCCCAAGAAAAGAAAATATACAAAAATTTCCCAAAGAAAAACAACCTGGCAAGATAAAAATTTGGCAAAGGGAGTATTTTAAAAAAAAAGCTGTTAAAAAAAAATGTTTAAATTTTTTCCCAAAGTTATTTTAGAAATTTTTTTAAAAAATATTGTGTATCTTCATTTATCACACTTTTAATAAAACAAAATATTTTTTTTCCAAATTTAAAATTTTCGAAACCAAAATCTTGTTTTTTTTCCAAAAAAAATTTTAAAAAAAATTTTAAAAGATTTCCCCTAAATTTCTAAAAGAAAAAGTAGCCTACCAAGACGTTTTTAAACAAATTCATTTTAAAAAACCGGGTAAACAATTGGAAAAAAATCAAAAAAAACTTTTTGATTTTTTAAAACCCTTTTTAAACATTTGTTTTTTAAAAGGGAAAAAGCAAAAAAAGGAAAAAAATACCGCCAACCACTATTCGCTTGGGGAATTTTTGTAACCTGCCCCCTGTTGGGTTGAGGGAAATTTTTTTCCATAAATTTTGTTTCCCCAAAATTTTAATTTAATGCGGAAAATACCCTTTTAAAACATTTTGAAACGCCCTTTTTTTTTTTTTTAAAAAAAAAATTGTTTGGCCAAGAATTCGCTTTGGAGAAATAAAAAATTGACTAGGGAAACGAAGGGGTTTTTAAAAATAATTGTAAAAAAAACCCTTTTAAAATAATTTTTTGGCCCGTTAACGAAAATTTTAAATTTAATTTGGGGTTTTTGGACTTTTTAGGATTTTAACCCCGGGTTTTCTTTAACCCTTTAAAAAATTTTTTTCAAAATTCAAAATTTAAAAAACCCCCCAAAAAACAAAAATTTTTTATGGAAAACCCCAAACTTTTTGGGGTTTTGTTTTAAACCCAAAAGAATTGAAAGGTATTACCCCTAGAAAAAAATTTAAAAATTTTTCAGTTTTTGAATAGGGGTTTGTTTAATCAAAACAAATTTTTCAAATAAATGGGGAAAAGTTTTTTTGGATTTTTTTGTTCAAAAAGAAAATTTTTAAAATTTTTAACCTTGGCCGGGAAAATTTAATGTAATGAAATGGTCGCTTTTTAAAATGATAAAACATTTTTTTTAAAAATTTTAAATTTGCTTTTAAAAAAAAAATATAAATTGTTTTTATTTGGCCACCTGGCCTTTAAAAAACCCGTCGGCTAGTTTTTTTTATTTTTAATTTTATTTTGAACGGAATTTTTTATAAGAATAAAAAAATGCATTTGGTATTATTTAAAAATTTTTGGCCTTCGTTTTCAAATTTTAAAGCCCAGGGGGCCAAAAACGTTTTTCCCCCCGGCCATTTAAATTTTTTTGAAGTTGGGTTGTGCCCGAAAAATGAAAAATCTAAATTTAATTAAAATAAATATCCAATGAAATATTATCCAAATATGTACATAAAACGACTTCATGTCAATCGTAGTTATCTCCCCTCCTTTATTTAATACTATAAAACACAAACTGTTTTGTTAAGACACATAATACTGAATGTATTACATAGAATTTATATTATTTTTAAAAGGATATGATAAAGCTATATCAAAACAAATTTGCAAGTATATGAGAAGCTAATTTAGCAGATGTTTTGTTTAAATATACATGAAATAATCAGGTCTTATGATTCGTTACTTATCTTGCAATGTATACAAATATGAACAATGGAAGACTTCAAATGTTAAATGATACAAATTCAAAATATTGTCATTCTAACCTTGGTCGGGACTTGTAGTGTCAGACTGAGTTGTTGCTGCAAGTGATAAAACATATATATTGCTATTATCTAAACATATAAAATATGTATAATATTGGCATTGCGCATATAAATGCAGCTGGCATAGTTTTCATTCTTAGTGTAGTTGTAATTCTGTGATTACCATAACACATTCTTGACAATTCGCCTTCAGAGAAAGTAAAAAAAAACCATGACGCTATAGCTGCTATTGGCATTGCATTTTGACATTGTTATGATTCGGGTTCCATTCATTCAGCCACGGCATTTATTGAATAAAAGAAGTGGTCTAGTTCTCGATAGAAATGAACATCAAATTATATGAGATAGTAGAATATTGAATAATGTACGCTCAAAATGAAGCAACACAAATATTAAAAAAAAAATATGACGCATGCGCATGGATATTGTACCGGAAGGAAGCGACGTAGCAGACGATCCCGAGGTACTTGTTGCTACGCTTGGCGGGGATGTATTATCAGACGATGTAAGATCAGTTGATGATGATTGTTCTGTTGACGTTGACGTCATAAGACTAGTTGATGATGATATTGTGGTTGTTGCGCTTGCGTCTGTTGTCGTCTGCGTGTCACCCGTACCTGAACCAGTTGTAATAGAATTGAAAAGCGCCAGCTTGCAACAGCATGTGATATTTAGAATTTTGCTAAACAGACAAGACAATGAAGTACACTTGATAAAACAAAATATCATTTTCAAAGAAAAAAAATAGATTTTAAACTTAAATTAAATGAAACAATTTAAGATTAACTTATATCTGAATGCTTGCTTTCCGTAATACACACAATTATTTATTTCTTCATGCTATTTCTAACCTGTTTTTATTATAGATAATAATCAAGTTCTCAAACTTGAACAGGTTTGTTACCATGAAAATATAGTTTAGCTCAACTACATATATTTAACCTGAAAGCAGCTAGATCTATACATGTACAAAGAACCAAGCATACCGATACTAAGATAATAACATATAGTTCTAATAATAGTACACGTGGATAATATACAAGTCATTGTAAATGAAAGCAGCTACATTATATAGTTACTGCAGTATATAAACTATCTTGTTTTCTACATCTATCACATATCAAAATGTTGATTATTTTACAATGTAACATCATTTAGTAAATTATGTTTTGCAATTCGACTTTTATCACTTGAAGGTGTTTGCTTTAAATATAATGTAAGATAAGATTCAACGTCGGATGCCTATGGTTGACTTTAAGCCCGTCTCACACAAAACACGGTTGGACACACGATTCCCATACGGTATACTCGGTTATACACGGGTTGACTGGTACGAGTTTTGAGCTCCAACCGTGTTTGTGGTTTAGTTGGCACGAATTAGGCTCGAATATAGCACGAGTATGTACGAATTGAGCACGGATATTCTCGGTCTAGCAAGGTTTGAACACGATTTGCGTACGAATACATACGACTGTTGTACGGTTCCAAGTACGGTCTAGTACGGTCTGGTACGATTAAACACGACTTTTACTCGATTTACTCGACTTTCACAGGATTTACATAGGGTCCCGCCGACTTTTGTTCGAGTAAGGCTCGAAATATCACACATTTGTGTATGTTTTGATATAAATTAACCCATTTTGATGACTTGGCTTCATGAATTTTCGAAATTTCAACGAAAGATCATTATAATACTGCACGTTTGTAACGTCGCTTTTCATTGGATAATCGTGACGTTTATACATTTTTATATACACGGCTGCTGTCGATTAATAAAGAAATCTCGCTTTATTCCTCTAAAAATGATGCTTGCTGTATTATAAATTCGTTATAAAGATTGTTGACAGGTTATATGGCCTTATATAAACGGCTGTTTGCAATATAACCCTCGCCTAGCGGATCGGGTTATATTTACAAACAGCCGTTAATATAAGGCCATATAACCTGTCAACAATCTTTATAACTAATATTAACATCAATAAATGAATAAAAAGTGAAGCAATGTAAAATGAATGTGTCTTTTTTCAGTTGTGTAGCGGTTGCTGGAGGGTCCACCGAGCTGGCATTGGAGTCTGAATCCCTGGGAGACACGGTTATTGCCGGTTAGTCCTCTAGCTTATCAGGGTCAATAAGTTGGAGTGGTTGGTGGGCCTGGATGGCTCTTCTTGTATTCCTTCTATGCGTCCAAAACTTCTTCTTGGATACATTCTAATGTGATGCAGCAAGCACTCTTGGTAGGGTGGCAGCAGGTAGTTGTGTTTTTTGTAAGTTCTTGCTGACGTAGAGGCCGTGTTAGACCGTACGAGGCCGTGTGAGACCCTGTATACCCGTACTTTACCGTGTCGGCCATGTATGTTTCGTATATGAACCGTATTGGTCGTATGGCGATCGTATGAAACCGTGTGTGCACTCGTTTGAATCGTACCGTGATCTTGTGACATTTGGGTGTTAATCAGGTGTTGGATGTAGGACTTGGGGACGGTCTCGAACGATTCCATACGATTTATATACGACCTTGATACGGTTGGGCTCACTCGTGGAGTGAATTTCACATACGGCTGTATATACGGTATCATACGGTCTCACGCGGTCTCTTACGGTCTTGTACGGTCGCTTATACGGTCATACACGGACATGGCATCCGTACCAGTTTTTTTAAAGTTTTAAAAATCATACACGGCTTACACGGATACACTCGAATGGCCCGAGTGTAACTCGGATAACGCTACGGTTAGTTCGGTTGTATGTACGGTTTACACGGGTGGCCAACCGTGTAAGCCGTGTGTCCTGTGTGAGATGGGCTTAACTGATAAAGGTTCGGTCGTGGGTATCCGACGATGGATAAGATTATATAATAACAAAATCTTACACTGTTTTTTCTTTATGTATATACTAAGGTTAGCCTCATGACAGAAACGTTGTATAAAACTGGTCTAATACTCTGAGTATGATAAATTGATAAGTCCATCTTTCAATCTGGACAAAACCACTTTAGAACATTGCAGACCATAATCAGATAGCTGATCTTAGTCTGTAATAGTCACATCGGTGGACCCAGTTGCTGCCAGTTGGTTTAGTAAGGTTAAGTGAGATTTCTAAAAACATTTCACATACTATTAGGGCTATATTGAATGACAACTGTTTTATAATTCTCAATATTTTTCTTCATAAATTCAAGACAATATCAAAAACTCAATCTTTTAGCATCTTTTTACATCAGCAATCAAGTTATTATGTGGACACCTACTTGTTTCTATTCCGGTTGATGTTGTGTCTACAACTGTTGTTGTTGTTTCTGTTACAGCTGTTGTCGTCGTTGTAGACGGTGTGTCAACGAACGGTACTATAAGTAAAACGTTTTTATTCTTTAGCTCAGAGAAAAGTTGTATATTATAAGTGCATGGTAATAACTTTTTTTAGGTTGGACAATTTGGGCCCGACTGAAGGTAAACGAGAACAAACTATATTTCACCCTAAATATGTGTACGGTAAGGAAAAACATGATGGTTGGGGATAAAGCTTACCCGTTTTCGCATCAAAACTTCCATCTTTCAAAAAAATCATTACCGTGAACTTTATTCTGTCATATTTAATAAAGACATGAAGAACTTAAGTGAATTTTGAATATTTTAATCGAGTGGTTCATTTACTATTTCTGCTTACCGTATAATCAACAACAAAAAAAGACATCTAAGTCACGTGTTATGGGCACACTGCCACTCGTGCCATATCTATTTTCATACCACTCGATGAAAATAACTCTTGCATTTATAGAAATAAAAATTTAAATATACCCTAAATGTAAATCAAGGTGGAATCAATGTTGTCACAAAACTTAACAAATAAACCAGAACGAAACACAAATACATCACACTTTTCACGAAAACAATACACTGACAGTCGATAAAATAAGCGATACGTAACGTAATTAAACAAATGTATATTCATAAGTTTGAAATAAATCTAACGCCATAAAAAATCTTACCGCCATATACTTCAACCTCACACATGATCAGAGGCCCAGTCAGTCTTTTAACAATAACCCGAGACACGGGTACCATAGAAACAACCGGAAACTCAAAATATCCACTTCCGTATGGAACGCCGGAGTTGTCATAAACAAGTATCTCGGGAGACATCGAATTTTCCTGTATGTACACTTGAAAATTCTCCAGCTGAGTTGACTGATCTGATACAAGGAAACATGTGTAATATTATTGTTATTGACAAAGTAATGGACAAAAAAAATATATTGTTGCCTTAATTGATGCAAACTTGTAAACAGATAAAACAATTCACACCAAATTTTGTTCTGTAACAGATTAGCGTTTATTAGTAAGCATTTACAAAATTAAATTGGTCAAGAACTGTCGATTTACAAGACTGATTAAATTAAACAAAGTAAGTGTGCTATGGTTAATTTGAAATACTGCAATTTTATTGGGCAAAAAAATAGTTTTAAAAACTAGATATATGTTTTGCAATTGTGTTCACGTAAAACATGTACAGGTAATACATACTATCAGTCGGTAATATTAATTCAGAAAAACTGTTCAATCATTGCGGCTTGACAAGCTGCGGTGCTGTAAAGACTTGTTTGAGGTTAAAAGAGAGGAAACAGAATTGTGATAGGTAGATCACTTAATTCTTTGTCAGGAGGTTATGGGCTTACAAGTAACCAATGGGAAATGAGATTATCTTTCGGCTTTCTTAATCTAGGGAAGGAACCAAGAACGAAAATTAAAAAAAGGGAAAGTTTACATTCAAATGACTACAGGCTAGGCAAGATACTTTACCCATCATAAAATGAATGCCTTTGAACCAGGTAAACACACTTACCACTTCGTCCTATAACTATAATACGGGATATCACATAATGTCCGATCAGGTACACTGTCCATGTGTTCTCGGCGGCAAAACTTCCGCTACAGCATTGAGAGTTTTCATAATCATCTCCAGCAAAGGGCGGTTTGCAACCGTCTACAGCAAGACCTGCTTCCCAAAGGTAACCGCTAAAGTCCAGAGTATCAGTCTGATTGGCAAACATGTTTAAAGCGACGTTAGTAGCTGCAACAAAAATAAAAATTATAGAAATAAAACTATTCTTGTTAAATGTAATTGCATTTACTAGTTCGATTAAATGGTCAGCGAAGAATTTTCATCACAATTTGGTTGAATGTCACCCTAGTATTATGCGTCTGTCATTAAGATATCATGTATTAAAGTAAAAATATAAGACCCCGAAGCACGAAATACAAGTATAGCGTTAAAATGTATATTTATTATTTAGTCTACCCTTTTACTTTAGCAAGAAAACATACCAAAAATTTATTTAAACTAAAACTGTTCATCGGGGGGACTTAGTTCAAACTTATGTGTCAGAATTTATCATAAAAATCCATACCAACAAATATCAGTAGATAAAACATATTAATTTGATTGGTCCTTTAAATTGATTCTTTTATTGAGAAAAAGGATAATAAAACTAATTCCTTATACGTACACCATAACAATTTACCCATAAAAACTACTCTGGCAATTCGTAGTACAACTTTGTAACAGATGACATAAAAAAAGAAAAACTTCATACAAACGATTATAACTGATATTATAATACAGACAAAAAAGGTTTTAGACTCACGCTGTGGTGTTGTTGGCTGGGTGGTTGGCTCTGTCGAAGTTGAAGCAGTTGACGTGTCCGGTGCTGAAATAATGCAAGGAAAAAGATACACGATTGTGTAAGTAACATGTACTTAATAACTATCAAGAATTTTTAACTGCCATGACACTAAACGCTTCGCTGACAGACGCGCATGCGCGAAGACAAGAACAATCAACTGCCAACTCACAGAAAAAATAAGATGTTGCGGTGATGGTGTTTTGTAAATAAAATTATTACAGTCTAAACCTCTTAATAAAATCACGAAGAAAAGAAGTTGACATTTTACTTTTGCATTTAAATTGTGTCGGTCAAAAATGCATCGATTTGAAAAACAATTTTGAAAGTTTATAATACACAAACCGTTACTTAATACTAACATTCATATTTTATTTTAAGTTTGGTGAAAAACGCTGCGAATCTTTATTTTCTGTCTCGTTTTTTATCATTTGTATTTTTTTTGTCAGAATAAGGAAGAAATGAATTCAATCTGTACTCAAAATTGATGAAAAAACGCAAGCAAGGCAAACTTAGTACCAGAAGTAGGCGGCGCAGAAGTAGGCGAAGCAGTAGGCGGTGCAGTAGGCGTGTCTGTTGATGTGACGACTGTGGTTATTTGTTCTACTGTTACACCGGTTGTTGTTGTGTCTCCTTCTGAACTCGTATCGATTGTTAAATCTGTTGTTGTTGCTGGTGTTTTTGATGTTGTTTGTGATGTTGAGGTAGGTTCGGTTGGAACATTAATAGCTGTAATGTCATAAATCGTTTACAAATGTTGCAATTACAATATGTCCGCCTAGAATACGCAGGGGTTGGTGCGATGGTCCCTTAAAATTGAGATTACCGTCATGCCTAAAGCAAAGCTATAATATAAAACATCAATGGTTGTGATAATTGGATTTATGACGCGCAAAAAAATATCGTGATTTTGTTTATAATTAATTCGTACTCGCCTAAAGTCAGCTTGTGCTACATGCTATATACATACATCAATTGAACGCCTTGTTGCGCAGTTTTGATATTTTATATCGCATTTGTATCTATTTGGCAAACTTCGACAATTTCTGTTAATCTTTATAATTTTAAGAGTAAGTTGATGTTATTGTTGTTTTTTTGTTGTTGTTGTAGTTGTTGTTGATGATGATCAATGATGATGGTGATGATGATGATCTTTGTCATAGTGGCGCTATTATTGCATAAAGAATCACAAAATCAAACACATTTCCTTCAGTAATTTAAACTTTTACACCTTTGTTTTTACAATCAATCAAACAATTCAAACAATCACTTACACACACAGATAGAAGCAAAGTACAGTTCAGAACACCTTACCTTCAAAAACATCAACTTCACACAATGATATAATGCCATCTCGTCTAATCGTTACTTTTTTCATTAGCTTTGGTGGGTCTATTGGAATGGAATAAATTCCAGAACCATATGGAACGCCGGTACTGTCGTAAACAAGGTCTTCGGCGTCACCATCAAATTCGATAGAGAACATTTGAAATCCGGGTAACTGATCATCCTCTAGAATTACAGTAAACTTATGACTTTAAAGGGACTCCACTGTTTTTTTTAATAAAGGGCTTGGAAATATCTTGTTAAGATAATTTTCCATTTGACGAAGGTCTAGACCAACAACGTATGTCCATAAATTCAGATCATTCGCTCGCCCTGTTTGTCAAGAACAATTATTCTAATTGTGAAAATATCACCCACCTTGCAAGCTTTTCACTCAGATAGTACTGAGACAAGCGCAAACTTCGATTTTCAATGTATTTCTAAATATATTTCCTATTTATCTTTGCATGCCTTTCTGTTTTAAGTGCGACAGCTAATCTTTGCAAGAAATTAAAGAATTTGTTTTTTAGGCTTTTGGACCTCGCTGGAGTTCCTTTAAGGCTCAAGTTAATATAGTTACATGGTTAAGGTAATATTAAATGACTTTAAAAATATTCATTTATAAACTTCAAAGCATTTTGTTTCAATTACTATTTAAAGTAATCATTTCATTTTTTTTTAAAATACAGTGAAGGGAAAGTATCGAAAAGTCAAATATGTTAAAACCTCAGCAATCATTGCGCCTTAATTTACTTCTGTAGCGGAGTGAAGCATAAGTAGATGAAAGGGTCGCCTTTGAAAAATGTTGGAAATAAAATATTGTTTATAGATTATGATAATTAATAAAGTAAAATATATTACGATCAGCTCTTCCATAAATAACAATGAGGTCAACGAAAACTGCAGTCTGAAGGTCAACCGTCCAGTAGTTATTTACAGTTCCCATTGACGTGGAGCAACATTGCACGTTGTTAGGGTCTGTCCTTTCATAGCAACCATCAACAGCATAACTGGCAAACCACACAAACCCATAATTCAAATCTTCTAACTGACTTGCGGGTTTGTTGAAAGCAACACTCACTCCTGAAAAGGATCAGTAAAATTCGCATTGAAATATTTGACAGGGTACTAGGTGTAAACTAAGCCATAAAATGGCATGGACAAGTTGGGCCGAAATATAACTTCATTTCTGTCAGCGAACGTGAGCAAAGTTTTCTGTTAAACTAATATGATTTCTTGAATAAAGGTGTTCCCTCTTTATTTTAATTATGTAAGTGTTAGCGCGCCTTTCATAAACGCTATGCATTAGACAAGAAATAACTTAAGATGATCTGGATTTTAGTTTAATAATATTTTATTGCAACTATATAATACATGTAAGATATAAATAACACACAAAGAAACAAAAACAAATGTACATATAAGTATAGTGCAAATGGGTGGGGCTACAAGTTATTACAACATTAGCAACAGCCCTTCCCACAAAGTCAAACTTTATAATACATATATTCCGGATAGTTTCATAAGAATAGTTACACAAAATTAATGGAAGTGAGAAAAAAAACGCGCACGCACGCACGCACGCACGCACGCACACACACACACACACATGTATTTATATATTTCTTATAAATTATCAATCAAAATGCTCCATAGAATTAAGATAGAACAGGGTCTTTCAAAAAAAAATTTAGGACCCTGGATAGAATGGGGAAGTACTTAGCTTAACAAAATTGAAAAAAAAAAATTAAACAGCCCTTAACAGAGAGAGAAGAAAAAAAAATCCCCTGGATTTTAGTCAGATTGTAAATTATTTATTGGTCTGACAAAAAAGTTTAGTGACCGCTTGAGTAGACATTTGTACGGGTTTTGTTATTGTTGTTGTTATTGTTGTTGTTGCTGCTGTTGTTTATTATTTTTATATTAGTATATTGATATTTAGCGGCTCGTCACCGCGAGGAATTGTTTCCAAATTGCGTTGCCAACTATTGGTAAAAATTGTGTAATTTAAACTTGCTCGCTGAACTTATAAATCATTATTTGCTAGTAAAATGCGGTAGGAAAAATTGTTTTAAAAATTATCATATATATATTTGAATAATTTCTATGTAATGGATGCGAGTGTCTTTTTTATTATTACCTTGCTATCTTAATAAAATTTGATACAAAAAGGGGCCCATTTTAGATTTCATTTTGATCTATAATTAACCATTGTAAAGATATTCATTTCCTTTCTCCTTTTATATTTCACCTTTGACAGACGATAATGAATGTTCGAAATATATAATTAAATACTTATTTAAAGTATCTATCTTACTTACTTGGGGCCGTTGTTGTCGTTCCTTCTGTTGGTGGTGGTGTTGTTGTTGTAGCTTCTGTACTTGGGGGTGCTGCTGTTGTGTCAGGTTAATTTTGAAAGTAAAAGTGAACAATGAAACATTTTAAAGATATACATGTATTGTAAAAAAATAAATTAAGTCCAAAAATGAATCTTTCGCGATATAAAATATCCATATATAATACAATAATATAATATCCATGAGTATACCCGTATTTTTTACTGTGAAGTGAGTTTAATCTGTGACTGAATAATAGTAGACGAATATTTTGATAGCAGATAGGTACACTTTTATGGGATTAAATTATGATTTATTAACTACCCTTGTTTTGTATCTGATTGGGGTGGTATCAATCGAAAAATGTACGTGTAACAATACTATATTTGCAGTTAAATTTTAAACATAATCCTGATAAATCCTATGACTAAGAATATCCATTGTAAGCATTTAAATGCTGTTTGCATTTTATTTATAGACTGTTATAAAATTTTGTAGAATAAATATATTTCGTAAATGTATATATAGTAATATCGAAAAAATCAACCTCTAAACACATCAACTTCACACAGTGTCAAAATACTGTCTCTTCTAATTGTAATATATTTCAGGTTTGTCGCTGGTACCACATAAACCGTAAAGAAGCTGGTTCCAGGCATTTGGGTATCAGTATAAATCAGGAATTTGGGAGACCCGTCATCTGCCTGTCCGTACACCTGGAAACCGGATATTTGATCTTGACCTAAAATAAGTAACACAAATCTTGTATATACAAGTGTTTATACCTAATGGTGCTTGTGGTTCTGCTGATAATGGTGTGTTACCATCAGTTGTACTTCAGAGGCAAACATGACGTGTATCTGTATCTTACAGTATATATTTGTCTTTGCAAATATTTCTTATATGGCACCAGACAATACGATCTTTAACAATTTCTTATATGGCACCAGACAGCTAAATGAATTTAAACTATTTCTTATATGGCACAAGGGAACACGATCATTTCAGCCATTTCTGATAGGGCATCAGACAACAAGATTATTGCAACATTATCTTATATGGCATCAGAAATCAAGATTATTGTAACGATTTCTTATATGACACCAGAAAACAAGATCATTGCTACAATTCCATATATGGCATCACTCAACTAATTCATTGCAACGATTTCTTATATGGCACCAGACAACAAGATCATTGCAATAATTTCTTATATGGCATCAGACAAGTAGATCATTGCAACGATTTCTTATTAGGCACCAGATAACCAGATTATCGCAACGATTTCTAATATGGCACCAGAAACAAGATCATTGCAACGATTTCTTAAATGGCATCACTCAACTAATTCGTTGCAACGATTTCTTATATGGCACCTGATAACAAGGTTATCGCAACGATTTCTAATATGGCACCAGATAACAAGATTATTGCAACAATTTCTTATATGGCACCAGACAACAAGATCATTGCAATAATTTCTTATATGGCATCAGAGAAGTGGATCATTGCAACGATTTCTTATTTGGCACCAGATAACAAGATTATCGCAACGATTTCTAATATGACACCAGATAACAAGATCATTGCAACGATTTCTTAAATGGCATCACTCAACAAATTCATTGCAACGATTTCTTATATGGCACCAGATAACAAGATTATTGCAACAATTTCTTATATGGCATCACTCAACTTATTCATTGCAACGATTTCTTATATGGCACAAGACAACAAGATCATTGCAATAATTTCTTATATGGCATCAGAGAAGTGGATCATTGCAACGATTTCTTATTTGGCACCAGATAACAAGATTATTGCAACGATTTCTAATATGACACCAGATAACAAGATCATTGCAACGATTTCTTAAATGGCATCACTCAACTAATTCATTGCAACGATTTCTTTTATGGCACCAGATAACAAGATTATCGCAACGATTTCTTATATGGCATCAGAGAAGTGGATCATTGCAACGATTTCTTATATGGCACAGGCAACAATAGTACTGACAGACAAATACTCATTTCAAGTATAAGAACAAAATTCACAAATGAGATTAGTTTAAATATTACTTTCAAACTTAACATACCGTCACTTCGCGAGTAAATATCAATTTTGTCCACGAGGAACTGAGATAGTAGGTTGACGTTCCACTCGTTATTAGTAGGTTGTTGTGTGGTGGCACAGCTTTCGTCCGAGTTTGGATTATTTGTTCTGTAGTCGCCATCAACGGCCTTGTCAGATGTCCAGAGAAAGAAGTAGTCTAAGGTAAAGGATTGATTTGTTGGTTTAAACCTAGACACAATCGAACCTGAAAATAAATATACAACGGTTAATTTATTGAATATTTATACAAATAAACCCACGGTTGGCAAATTCAAATTATTCAAATAAACTCTGAAATATGCAATAGGAAAAGAAGTTATTACGCGTATGTCTAAACATTCAACTGGCTGAAAGTTTGTACTTACTGGAAGGACCTGCGGCCGTTGTTGTTGTTGTTGTGACCGTTGTTGTTGCTTCTGTTGTTGTTGTTGTTGCTTCTGTTGTTGTAGTTGTTGGCGTCTCGGTTGATGTGCTAGTGGTCGGCTCAACTTGAATGACATAACGTGTACGTGTTTTAAGGATGATTTTTCTTAAAAATATATGAAGCATGTGTATGAAAATGTTTATTTATATTCAATATCTGCGACCATTGTGCAAATAACTAAATGCCATATTAGTTTCAGAGGCGAAGGATCGAACTTGCGAAACTTTGACATTATAAACTTTCAAACACTTTTGATAAAATATTTTCATTACTTCTATGTGATTTATTTGTTCAATAAACAGAGAAAGATTGTAGTATATAATTTTTCTGAAGCAAACTGCTATAATAGATTTCCACGTTGATATTTGTAATTGCTTTGAAAATCAGAAAAACAGTGCGTACTTATATCTTTTTGTATCAGTAACGTGCATTTATGTGCATTTCGTTATTCAATTTTAAAAACGTGTTCAATTGTGGATTGAATAATATTTCAATTTTCGCATATACATGTACTGTTTTTTTTTATTATTTTTTTTAATTTTAATTTTTGTGCAAAATTCCATTTGGGCCAACGCCTTAAATAAAATAAATGAAATCAGATGAAATGTAAACGGGAAAAAAATCGAATGCACGCTGACGTAAGTGGCAAAACATGATGAGTAAAAGATACGTTGAGGAAAGTAAAACACGTGGAATTACGATGGGATTTTTATTATTTCTTGCAAGTATTATTCTATGCAGTCCGGCAAGTTTATGAGATTATTCTGCTGTAACTAATGTTCACATTGATGTAAAAACCAGGCGCAAAAAAGTTCAAAGGGCCAACATTTAAGTTGTTTTTGACATTTTTGGCAAATATTATGGTGTTTTTCTTTTTCTAATTAAATATTCAATACCATGAATAGGGATGGAATGTATTACAACATTTGATACAAACAATCATTCTTTCCTCGTGCTGCCCATGGTTGAAATCTGTTTTTTGTGTTTTTTACTTTGGTCACGCATAGTAGATTTTAATAGGAAAAAATTGTTTCGTCATATTGATATGTAAACAAAAATATGTAGAGAAAAAATTCGAAACAACGAATTCTAGGAAGTGACAAATAGAAATGTTCTGAAGTGTAGATGTACTCGTAAAAAACAAATAGACGAGTTAGGGTAACATCATTTCAAAAGAGGTAATGCCTACAATGCCTATGACGGTGCAGCTTCTCCAAAAGCACGATATCACGAGCGATGTCAGAACTAAAAAGGTGTAGCATTTTCACCATCATTCCTTTGAGTTTTTAATCATCATTCTTTTGAAAATTTCGCCATCAGACTTTGATGTTTAACCGTTTTTAATTATCGTACTTTAGAAGTGTCATGTTTTCGACGTTTCAGAGAATTTCGTTTATTAAACTATAGACAATAAGTCACGGATTGTGCCTACAAGTGCCGAAAAATCACGAAAACAATTTATTACCGGAAATATTAAGAAATAATTACCAGCATATATCTCAACCTCACAGAGCGTCAGCGGACCTGGATTTCTTTTAATAGTAACTTCAGTAACCGCCATACTTGATGAAATTGGAATGTCAAAATATCCGTTATCGTATGGAACGCCATTGTTGTCATATACTTGTACTTCCGGAGAAGACTGGTCCTGACGAATGTAAAGCCGGAAGTTCTCTAGCTGGGTTTCAATGTCTAGAATGACACAGCTTTGAATTAATAAAAATTAAAACATTTTTCTAAATTTACAATTAGATGAAAATTTACTACTTTATATTGTTAATGTTGATATATTATGATTTTAATTGTTATGAGTTAATCTATAATTACTATGATTAATATGAATGAATGAATGAATGAATGAATGAATGAATGAATGAATGAATGAATGAATGAATGAATGAATGAATGAATGAATGAATGAATGAAAATATATATTAACCTTTACATTGAAAACTAAATTTCATTTTTTAGATCTACTATTATTTTTTTGGTTATTCAAAAAGCTGTACTGAAAATAAGAACAGATGTCCTCTTTTTGTGTAAACTTTGTATATTACCGTCTCTAAATTAAGATTTAATAATAATAATAATAGTAGTTATTATTATAATAATAATAATTATTATTATTATTATCATTATTATTATTATTATTATCATCATCATCATCATTATTATTATTATTATTATTATTATTATTATTATTATTATTATTATCATCATTATTATTATTATTATTATTATTATTATTATTATTATTATTATTATTATTATTATCAGCCATTTAACGTTTATGACATGCCATAAACTACCTCGTTTTAGAAATATTCCTTTTTATCTGTGAATTTAGAAACCATTCAATATCATATGACACATTTTTACATTTTTACAAAAATAAATCTACTTGAGAACAAAGACAAGGGCAATATGTCCCCAGATTATAGGAATTTATTCCCAAAAGCGCACCTTTTCTGTAACACCACGGTGCGTGCCAATATCACGTGACCTTTTGTGATATGCGTAGTGCGAAACGCTTATTGAAAGATAATGTCTATCACGTGTTACAGTCCACGCATTTCACTAAAAGTCAAATAATAAAGGAGCCATGGTGTTTCCGCTACCAAAAGGGCGCCTTTTATACAAAAATGTATACTCTATACTGTCAAAACAGTTACACAACGCTTGAACAAAGTGTGCAGTTTAACACATATGTAGTGAAGATCATACAAATCAAATACAAATGCTTTAATCTTACATAAATTGAAACAATAACATAACATTTAATTTATTGAAACAATAACACTATATGGCCGCTTCAAAAGATAAATGGGAAGAAAATAAAAAAATAAACGAAAGCACTTACCACTTCGCCCATGCACTATAACGTTTTGGAGGACATAAGGTTGGTCTAGGTAAACAGTCCAGGTGTTTTCACCATCAGCGATACTACAGCTACAACTTTTAGAATTCTCGTAATTGTTGTCCGGAAAAGGTGGCTTACCATTATCAACCGCTAGCCCAGCTTCCCACATATATCCAGCAAAATCGAGGGATTGAGTATGTACAGCAGGTTGTCCGAGGGCAATATTCGTTGCAGCTTTAAGGGAGAAAAATAAATCAATCTGCATAGTACATGACAGTTTATGTACTATATAAAATGAAAGTATTGGTTATTTAACAAAAATATAATTAAAATCAATGTCCAGTGACAAAACCTTGAACTGTATATAAAATCAAAACAAATTATTTACACCGATGTTACTCTGTAGATAGGCGCCTATGTTCCTTTTTTTTTTTGCAAAATCATTTTCTAAATTTAATCTGAAAAAAACTTGTTTCTTAAGAAATCTAAATAAATCTTGACTCTTTTAAAAATTCTAGCAAAATTAGAATAGTTATCATCTATGACAACCATAAATGTTACATTGCAATTGGTGAAAGTGTACATTTCCATTTTTTCCTTTCTTTTTATCTATGCATTTATCTTTATTCATTATTTTTCCTTTTATTTTATTTTAATCTTATTTTAATTCTTTATTTTTTCCGATTTTTTTTGTAACCAGTCTTTTTGTGATATAAAAAAATAATTACTTTAATGTCAATTTAATAAGTTAAACTTACATGTTCCTTCTATAGTTATCATAAAAGTCATCAAAAACCAAAACACGCCCTTACGTCCCATCACTTTAAAAAGAATTAAACCTCGCGCCCGTCTTGGACGGTTTCGCTAAATAGAACAACTGTCTCCTCGGTAAGTATAGTCTTATAAAGGTAGATATAAAGGTAACAGATGCTTTTATAAAGTCAAATTCAGTACATTGAAACATCCAATTCAAGGGTCGGTCAAAATTCATTTTCCGGTTAAACTGAATTAATGTTCGTTAATTGATTTTCAAGAATTATGCAGATTTTCAGGTAATTACTTGCTTAATTTTGCTACTGGTGCAATTGCATCCAAACTTTACCGGAATGATCAGTACCAGGTTTAGTTGTAAATATGGTTGGCATTTTACAGTTCCATGATTTTTGTCAGAACTATGGCCCTATTTCTTTTAAAAGTTTGTCAGGACTACTTCTCTAGTATCTGAATGAATCTTTACAGGACGGATCGATACCTCAGGGTTTGCCGGCGACCACCAAATATCATCAGTACAGCCAGTTAATACTCCATATCATCAGTGCATGTATATGTAGCGTTTATCGTTTTTGGAAGGCGATGTCGTCTTCAAATGTTGTTTTTTCTAATTGCATATGCCAATGAACTTCAATACCCATGCATACGCGTCAAATATACATTAAGTTCAATGCTATTTCGGTAAATCAGATAAAAATACTTTCCAAAAGTTTATATAAAATATCATTTTCCATAACATAAACTATAGTTTGAAACAGTGCAGGTGCACGTCCTGTCCTATAGGTGGAATGAAAACACATTTCCTACAAAATGAAAACGATGTAAATTAAAATTATATAATGCCACTTGAAAGAAAGAGAAAATCATTTATGGTAATAATAATCAGTTATATGTGCAAATGAAGATAACCATTTTACTCTGAGATACTATTTTAATACATTGTTAATCGAGAGTGTTCTTTGTTCATATATTATCGCATAACCAAAAAATAAGGTTGTATCAAAGACTTTGTACGATGAATTTCACAACTATGTTTTTTTTCTTTTGGTTTCAACAATTTTATACAAGTTAAAAATCTTTTGCGGAATGGCAGAATCTATAGCTGCTAAAGTATATGAATGCAGAAAAAAGGAACAACCCTCGTTTACTCTGTCAACATGTCATTAAGGTTGAATTTTATCAATAATTTGAAACAATACATTTTTCCTAGGTGACCCTATAACAAGACAGGTCAATAAATACTTATAGTGAAGTATGTGTAAAGTGTATACAATAAATCAGGAAATATTGTGTTTTATTACCCTGATTACTGACCAAACAGTACTAGTGTCAAATAAAGTATCCCTGTAGTACAATAAAAATAATTTCAACATACCTTTAAAATGAGCAAAGTGGACCTGATGCTTGACTAAAGATAAATACGCTAGATGGGGCATCGCTGGGTGATATTACAAACTCGTGAGAACTATATTGCGTTTTTAAGGATGAGTTCATGCCAAGGAATTGTTAAAATTTTTACGGGGAAAAGCGCGATGAAGTGAACGAACATTGTGATTCTAAAAAAATACCCCCAAAAAAAACCTGTATATCGATAAATACCACTTTTTTTTTATCTTACTATTCACTAAAATTGAATTAAGAGACAGTACAATTATGCAAAAGAGCTTTGAGAAAGATTATGTGTACGAGTTCACTGAAATTACCATTGTTTTGCTTTCAAAAAATGTTATCAAATTGCCGCTTGTACATGTATGTATACATGTATGTATACGTGTAGCAGTTATATGTCAAAATGCTGCTAAATGACCCTTTTGCTTCTCACTATCACTACATTGCTCTTAAAAGTTGCAACCACTGCTAAATGTCGCAAAATTTCTCTTAGAAGCTGCAACCGCTGCTAAATGTCGCAAAATTTCTCTTAGAAGCTGCAACCGCTGCTACATGTCGCAAATTTCTCTTAGAAGCTGCAACCGCTGCTAAATGTCGCAAATTTCTCTTAGAAGCTGCAACCACTGCTAAATGTCGCAAATTTCTCTTAGAAGCTGCAACCGCTGCTAAATGTCGCAAAATTTCTCTTAGAAGCTGCAACCGCTGCTAAATGTTGCAAAATTATTTGTCATTTAAACTAAATGTCTAAATGATCACCTTGTATATAACAATATAATATAATTATATCCCTATCGATGAAAGTCGTTTCTCGTCTTATTATTTGTTTAAATAAACATGAGACATGAAGAATTTTTACGTAACAATGTGATATAAACATAGCACGTGCATGTCTGCTGAAATGCTCTACCGGATGTTTCGCTTAAATTTAAATGAGTTATAAACATAATCAAATAGATAATAATGATCAACGATCAGAGTGATTTATTTTATGAAAATATCATGATTTAATCTTGATTTATAATGAAACATTGTTGTAACGTTGTTGATCATTTTAAAAGACTAGACACCTTGCTAATGTTAAAATCTGAAACCAAATCACGGGTTAAACTTATTTTTATCAAATTAGAAATATGTTATTTGCAAAACGCCCGAAAACTGAAGTGTGCAATCTCAAACTATCACGTGACAAAGCTTGAAACTAAATTCATTTGTTCTATGTATGAAGTTAAATTTGTAATCAGGTACTTTACACGTCAGAAATGTTTAACCTTTTCATTATGACAACTGATACAGGAATGGTATTATTAAAGAATATTTATGACATTTTGAACTCTGATTGAAATTTTGAAAAGAAATGCAAATACTCGCCCTTATTTTTATTAATTCTTTGTCACATTTTAAGTGTATCGATGTCAAATCTTGGAAATAAAATATTGCACTTGAATACTTTAATTATTTACTGATCAATTTGACCGTACCATTTCACTGATAATCAACAGTCAATAATAGATTATTAGAGACGTTCACGCTCTTACAGGCTGACTGATAACGATAATTAACTTTGCGAAGTACGGAGAAAGAACGGAACAAGATTTTAATAAGGCTTGACTAAGCTCCTCGTCGATTAAAAAAGTCCACAAATGAATTTCTAAATTTTAATTACATGAACAATTTTGTTAATATTTTTGTTTAAATAAATTGACTGGCCGTGCATGTTATGACTGAAAAACCTAATGTTTCAAACTCCTACGCAGTGGTCCTCCTTAACTTTTCTACCATTGCCATTATCAACATTATAAAATGTAAAATAAAAAAACTTATTTTTGTGTGAGATATATTTTCTTGTAGATGTAACAAAATGATAACTTTTCACCAATAGGTTATTTCAACTAAATAAAGAAAATGATAATAGTAATAGAAACAAATCTGTGCGGATAGTTTCGGTCCTGTACGCTTTTAGTAAGGTGAAAGTAGGATTTTTGTAATCTATAACAAATACTCACCCGAAGTGTAAAAGTGGTTAAGCTGCAGTGACAGTGCCGCTTGACTGTATTCTAGAGGGCGTTCGTGATATGGATTTTATACTTTAAAGCTTATATGTTTAAAAGTCTAAAACAGTTTATGCTATGATCATTCTTGTACACTTCAAGCATCTACCTTCATCCTTTAATGAACGTATTTTATGTCAAAATAATTTTCTTTTGTTGAAGAAGGTATATTCGTGAAAGAAAAACGTATCATAAACAATAGGCCAGGTTTGTAAATGAAATTGATTTTATGTCAGTACTACTAAAAATTGAATGGATTCAACTCCCAGCTTTGTCAAACAACGTGGTAGGCTACGACAAGCTGTCATAAAAAAGACCTTACCGACCTGCGACAAAAATAGCGTTCGACGTGTCGTAGAACGTTGATAAAATGCCCCCTAGAGGAGCGTGCTGCAAATTCAGAAAGTGGTTAAAAGACGTTGTTTAAAAGAAGGCAAATGTCAGAAGGGTATGGTGGTTGATTTGTGCCATTCGTGTTTTCGTCCCGCGACCCCGACAAGCGAAAAGTCGAAAATTAACAAGTTAAAATCAGCCACCATAGAAGAGTAAAATAATTTAATTCTAAAGTTCAAAAGGCTCGTCAACTAAAATATTTGTTGATAGACTGCACTGGATCTCTGAGGGCAACAGTGGGTGGTGAGTTGTTCCAATGGTATACAGTCCCGGGTGGTAAGAATAGTAATTATAATCTGTAACCGTGGCGTGGCGTCCATAGTTATAAGGTCAGGAACTTTTTGCCAGACCATGATGTATAAGGCCCCCACGGTTCCACGTTTAAATGGATTCGTTTCGATTTTCAGTCGTAAACGTTTACGATAATTTTTACCGTTTAATCGAAATGACCATATTGTCTTACAAAATATCTTACTCATGGCCTGTAATTAATGAATTCTGTCAATTGTAATTGGTTTATAATAGTAAAATACGGAAAATAGGTATTAACAACCCTCCACACAGCATTACCGTGCAATAATCTCTCGTGACATAATAAATTGTTTGAAAAGTTATTTCCTTTGATCTTTCAAAAGAGCGAAATGAGGATACAATGCAGAAAATGTGTGCCGACTCAATCGTGATGAGCCCTGAACATTATCATGTGTACTTGTGTTAAAAATAGAAAGTAAGTCATCATTTGGCGACTAGTGTAGCACATAGAAGCACCACCGTTTAAACGGTATCGTTTCTGTTCTTTGCAATCGTGTAAACGTTTACAAAAAAATGTAAACGTAGGAGCCTTAAATTGGTGTTCTGTCGCTAGCAAAGCACGAAAAACGGCGCGTTGTCGTGTGGCGCGTTGTCGCTGTCGAAAATCCGAAAACATGAAGGGACGACTTTGTCGTCTCTCCGTGTTTTCGGATTTTGAGGCGAAAATACGACATCGCGTAAATCAACCACCATATGTTAATCATAAATGAAGCATTGTTGCTACAGGCCAAAAAGCGAAAATACAAAAATGTACAAATACAACAATGCGGGAAAGCGAAAGCACAACAATGCAAAAAGTCAAAGTCCATCAATCTGAAAACAATGCGAAAAATTCAAAATGCAACAATGCGAAAGAGTGAACATACGAAAGATTAAATGCATATAGACGACATATTTTACGTGTCTTATTGTTGCCCTGAAAATGCGAAAAAGCTAAAACAGGGAGAGACGAAAAAATGACTTTGTCTTCTTTCCGTGCTTTTGCATTTTGGAAGCAAAGAAGCGAAAAACACAACATGGCGTAAATCAGCCACCATATGTTTTTTGTATTTTGGCTCAAGTTTAGTTCTAAAGGCCCATTGTGTCTTCTGTTGTACATACAGCGAAATAAAAACAACGATAACAAAATGTTTTAGAATTTATTTAAAATACAGTACAAAATACACTTAAAGCTTTAATGTTAACTAAAAGGTATCAATTTCATGAAAAAAGATGATATAAATACATACAAATATTTTCAACTTGTTTATCTTTTTCATTCTAGAGGTTTAATGTGACTGAAATATACTTAAATATAAAACATGATAGCATGATGAAAATATGAAACAAGAACAATATTCCATTTCTTACGAAACATTTGTCCTTAAAATTTGTATGAAAACTAACAATTACGGAATATTACGCATAATTAGAATTAACTGTTACATATAAAGACACATTCTGTTAAAAAAACACGACACTTTTTATTTCACAAAACACCTATACTGCTGGTGTCCTGTTACATTTAAATTTTCTAAAAGGTTACTTATTTGCCATAAAGCTGCTCTTTTAAAATTGGTGTAATTATATAGTAATTTACTATTTTGAAAGGTATTGCAGTCATCTTAAAACTTTCTTTACGTTTTGCTGCCGTTATGACACTTTAATGCATTTTCAGCGCTTCTATTATCAGGTAACGCATATTTTCTTCCTGTCTTAAAATAAACATACATATATTCCTCGATATACAATATTAAAAATGATATAATGTGTGTGAAACAGATGCTAATGCCGTACCCTGTAATTTCCCCTGTGAATGTCAGAACATAGAAAATTTCAGTAATTGCATAACTATGCGAAAAACACAAAGTTTCGTGTAAAATGAATTAAATAAATACATTCAACCAAACTATTCTCCTCAACTTCAACGCTAGTTAAACTCAGGATGTATCTTTCATTAAACATAACATAGAAACTTATCATATCATATGTTTCCAATTACGGATGACTGAAAACGCGTATAGTATAAAACCTAAATCAAGCATACAGTGAAATTAAAATACAATGATAACTGGAATACAAAATGCATATTTAACATAGACAGCTTTCCACATCACAATTATTGCACAGTTAATTGCACTTTTCCCTTATAAATGCCATTATTTAAAGTAAATGAAAATGAAGAAGTTTACTCTATGTATAATAAGCTAACAGTCCATGTCTTCTGAAAAGTCTCTGAAACCAACACTATTTCCGTTTGAAACCCGTCCATTTTTCCCATTTTCATGAATATGTCCATTTGAATCATTAATATTCACTTTATCCATACTTCTGTCATATGTGGCATTGTCAAACCCAGTATCAGTCCCTCTTAACCGGAGAGATTTTAACCGCTGAAACGAGAACATCTCGCCACCTTGCCGCCTCTTCACGACCAAGAGCACAGCGCAGATTATTGCCAACAAAAGCATTACACCAATAACGATACCAACCACTTGACCCGCACTTAGATCACCTAGAAAAGAACAATGGGAGATGCACATAATTTAATTAAAGTTAAGTTAAAAATACTATCACAGAAAAATTGAAATGAAAAACGAAATATATTCAAAATCTGGTATGTCCTTATACAAACTTCTTTCATTACTAATTCTACAACATGTTTGTAAACAATCAATTCTTCAACAATGTTAACCATGCACCATTCTTATCTCACAGTTATATAAAGTTACGAAGGCAATTAGTTACAAACGTAGAATATCTTATTCATTTATGCCTGTTAGATATACAGATTTCTATAAAAATATACTGGACGATATTTTGAAGATATACAAAATGTGCATCGTTCCAAGTGCAAATATCAAAATAAAAATACATATAATGTACATTAGTACAAATAAATTCATCATCATTTACCGTTTGATTGATTTTGGTTTTGCCTCTGTTTATCTGCAACTGATGGAATAGTGACTGCGGGCCTAGAGAACTTTGGTTGGAATGACTTATTTACCGCGCTCGTCTTTCCAGGGCTGGAAGTTGGGTTCTTAATTATTGCTGTATTAAGCGAGGGAGCTGTGAACGGCGGCACTCTAGCTGGTGATTGTGATGTGGGTGAGGATGATGATGACGATGTAGAAGTTGAGGGTATCGTTGATGATGTTGTCGATGGTGTTGTGGAAGTGCTTAACGTTGTTGTTGTAGGCGGGGCGGTTGTTGGCGGCACTTGATAAAAAATCAAAAATCATATTATAACTAACAATTATGCATGTACTTTGATGAAAAGGCTTTAATAAGATATATTAATGAAGGACAGTTTGAGGCGTTTTAATAATACATCAACTTGATGTTATTTAAAACACAGCTAGAACACTTAATTTAAAACGCAATCCTGTAAAAACCCCATAAATCTTTTACATATATACCAAAGATAAACAACATAAAAACAACATTAAAACATCATCGGTACTGGAACGCATTAGAACATGATAAACATATATAATTTATTTATCATGAATATATATATGAAAAAGCCTAAAATGATTAAAAACCTACGTTTAGGAGCTTTGCAGATGTAGCCTTTTCGTGAAGTGCACACAGAGTCCTGCCACCTCCCATCCGTATGTCTCATCATAACACAGTCATTACCAGTCGGTCCATTCAGCCAATTAACATACGCAACGCCGGATCCATCCGACCAAGAAAAGAATCCTCCTATAAAACAAATTATATTTCACTATTTTAAACATATGAATATTATGTAAATGTAATTAACTGATATAATGTGAATATGTACTATTTTTATTATGGTACTTAAGTAGTGAAAAGGCGGTATCTGTTTAAATCAATGTTTAAATTGTGCATTTTCTGCTCTTTTTTCAGTTAAAAGACAGTATAAATATACAATTAAAACAACTGTGCATCTATATATAGACAAAATTGAAAACATAATGTACACATATCAATATTTAGATAGGCCTTAATATTAAAAACCAGCTATCCAAATATGAGACAATACATTAAAGTGTACTCTTATTACTAAAGGTATCTACAGGACAAAAATGAAGGCATACATTTTATTGACAGGCATATTAAATATTAAAGCAGAACTAGTCACCTTGCTGAACAACGCAACGCAATATAGTCACAAAGATTTACAGTTGAAACTTAATTTATTACTTTAATAGAACAAATAAAGGTAGAATCAATAAATGAAAATCAAATCATTAAAGAACGCTTACGAAAACTATCAAAACTGTTACAAAACTCTACACACCTTTCTTTCTAAAGCCGATCCAAATATTGATGGAGGTTGATGGGTCATTATCAACCATCGTGAGAATGGCATTCTCCTCAGTTTTTGACGATATGCTAGCTAGCTGCATTCCCCTACTTGTACAATCTCCTTCTGCATCAGCGTAGGATCGCGTTCGCTGAAATAATTATCATACATAGCACATGTACATTTGTTATCCGATCGCCCCGAATTGATATGAAATATCTTTTTTAATTTTTAATTTAAAAAAAATAAAATCCAGTTATCACTGTTTCGCAATATAAAAAATATACAGTTGTATAATTGTTGAAGTGTCAACGTAAGATAATGCACATATGACCACGAGAGACATGCTTACTACGTATTTGGCAACATTTAATCTAAGTTCAGTAACTCTACTTACATTCAGGCTTAAAAAGTAGCAAAAGTTGTTGTGTTGTTTCCATGTTACGTCCCGACAATATCCGCCCGGATTTGGTGTCTTTTGGGTCATCGGGGGAACTACAAGAACACAATTGAAATATTACTTAGTTATTCATGCTTGATTACAAAAGTCCGATAATTTATACAGTGTTTTTTAAAGTAAGTAAAAGGTATAATTAATTAATTGTTTATTATGTTCCAGTATAGTTGTTTTCAAATGGTTGTAGATGAGAGCAACTTTCTTAATTGTTGGTCAGCACGTCCAACATTTTGTCAAAACGTCCAAATTCTCAAATATATAAATGTCTTAATGTGACATACAAGAGTAAAGGACCTTTCAACGACATTGAGGCATTGATATTGGTATTTTATCATCAAATTTTTATCATCAAAATTACTCACAAATTGGTTTCTTGCAGATTGATGGATACCGATTACTGCACATTTGGTCATTCCAGAGACCGTTCTGTGACGCAACACATTTTCCTGCACCGTACGTTGGTTCATTTTTGTCCCAGCTTGTGTATCTCACACTGTTTCCATCTTGCCATACATAGGTACCAGTAGACTAACGGATATGCAAAATAATTGAGCCGCGTCATGACAAAACCAAATTAATGCGTTTGCGACCAGCATGGATCCAGACAAGGCTGCGCATCCGCGCAGCCTGATCAGGAACCATGATGTTCGCTTACAAACCCTTTTACAAGTAAAGAAACTGATAGCGAACAGCATGGATCCTGATCAGAATGCGCGGATGCGCAGGCTGGTCTGGATCCATGCTGGTCGCACACCCATTATGTTGGTTTTGTCATGACGCGGCTCATATATAAACGCCATAATAAAGTTCCTGACGCATGTCATATAAATGTGTATAAAATCATGAAAATGTGTTTATTTTACATGCTCATTAGTCTTTTACGCATGTGTTATTACCTGCTGATCTGCCAAGCCTATCCATACAGGTGTTGATAAAGTACCTATCAGTGTGTCAATGAACGCCTGTTCGTATATTGTTACAACAGATACCAGTGATGTTCCGTCCTTTTGACAGTTATCCATTGCATCTTGCCAGGTTCTATACACAGTGTCAAGCTTGTAGCAGTCCATATTGTTATCAGTATAACCAGGTAAGTTTCCGGTTGTACATGCTGGTGGAATATACTTCCAAGATTTACCTGAACAAAAAAATAAAAACACTCTGTAGAATCTAGGAAACATCCTGCTTGGAGCAATACAATTTTGGGGGCGCATTGTCGATTTTGGTTTGTTTCTCACTTATAAAAATCTAAACAGAAAAAAAGTTTTTGAAAGTATAATACCGTTTTGATTTTTACGCATTTTTTCAATAAATTAAAACTGTTTTAAATTCAACATTGAAAATTATTTTCTTTTTTTTTCTTCAATAGGCATGAATAGGTGAACATAATTTTCCTTTCAATCAATTTTAATGCGGGATTGTATTTTGTATTTTAGTATTTGTGTATAATTTGTTTATATGTATTGGGATATAATTCTATATATCAGAGCATAAATGTTGAACATTTTTTAAGTGAAATAAGAATGGATGGATGGATATGTATTAGTCGCGTCATGACAAAACCAACACAATGGGTCTGCGACCAGAATGGATCCAGAATAGCCTGCACATCCGCGCAGTCTGATCAGGATCCATGCTGTTCGCTTACAACTCTATAACAAGTAGAGAAATTGATAGCGAACAGCATGGATCCTGATCAGACTGTGCGGATAGCGCAGGCTGGTCTGGATCCATGCTGGTCGCAAACCCATTATGTTTGTTTTGTCGTGACACGGCTCATATACAGATAAAAATCCTACTTTCAGCAATTTCACATATAAAAGGTCTATTATCCCCACAATCTATGTTATGCCATTTCCCAGCATGCCTCATATCTGTATACATCTCAACACACTTCCCCTGTACGAAAATAAAAATACTTCTTTTTTTGAGCATTTTAAATGTAAAAATTAATTTAAACTGACTAAGCAACTGATTGCTTAATTTTCGACAAATTTAATTTGGTACTTGTGATTCTTAATGAAATTGAAAGTAGCAGGTTAAGAATCGATTTTTAAAAGTATCAAAAATTGATCAAAACAATTTTATTAAATTAATCAATGTAATGGAATCAATACAAGAAAGACTTTAAACTAGTTCATCCAAAAGTTTTAAAAGCGTTAAAAGGTCCATTGGCATACTCCTCGTTGTGGCTGGTTTTTATCCCAATTTGTGAACTGAAGTCTGGAACTATCTTGCCAGGTAAACCGTTGATTATTGTTCAAATCATTCATTCCAATCCATACCCCAGCCTGGTCTATTATCATTCCATTTACCAAGACGATCAAAGATGCTGCAGGTAGATAAACATCAAATACAATTCAAGTTGTTAATAAGGAATATATGAGCCGTGTCACGACAAAACCAACATAATGCGTTTGCGACCAGCATGGATCCAGACCAGTCTGCGCATCCGTGCAATCTGATCAGGATCCATGCTGTTCGCTTACAAAATCTCTTACAAGTAGAGAAACTGAAAGCGAACAGCATGGATCCTGATCAGACTGCGAAGGCTGGTCTGGATCCATGCTGGTCGCAAACGCATTACGTTAGTTTTGTCGTGACGCGGCTCTTTTGTAAATTAAAAAGATCGGTGCGACTGTCTAAGGTCATATCCATATGTATGATATCATGATATTTGAAGCAACCCTAGCTGCATCTTGATAACAAAAGACGAACATGAACTTGACTTGGACCGCACGTTCCACTTTTGTCAGGGGTGGAAGGTATCAATACAATTAAGCATGGGTGAAAAGGGTATCGAACAGCAAAAAATAATAAAAGTTTATCGGCCCTTTGAAATGCATTAAGACATCAGGATAATATATAAGTTATCTCCCGTTTGATACGGTGCACCCTAAGATAGTACGCATGCGTTCAAGTTTTGGTGTGAATAGTGTTTATTTGTTGCTAAAAAAATATACAATAACAAAAGAGCTTAAAAAACGTCGACGCAAACATCGACGAGATAGTCAAAACCAATATGTATAATTGTTTACAGTATAAGACACAGGTTAGAAATCTAGATAATGGAATGTTTGTGGTTCTCCTGAAACAATTTACAAAATGGCACCGCACGTGTTCTCCAGCGGTAAAGATTGAAAGTCGCTGTTTGACTTCGAAAATGCCGATGTGACTTAAAACTCATCCAATCAAACAAACATAACATATTTGAGCCGTGTCACGACAAAACCAACATAGTGGGTTTGCGACCAGCATCCGTGTAGTCTGATCAGGATCCATGCTGTTCGCTATCAGTTTCTCTACTTGTAAAAGAGTTGGAAAGCGAACAGCATGGATCCTGATCAGACTGCGCCGATCTGGATCCATGCTTGTCGCAAACCTATTATGTTGGTTTTGTCGTGACATGGCTCATTTGTTTTTAAAGTAATAAGTTTACCTTGCTCTAAGTGGTTTGTAACACTTGCAATATCGTACCCGGCACCATACAGCCTGCATGTATCTCTAGCTGAAGTATAGTTTCTTCTGTCAGCTGTTTGTCGAGCACCAATCAGTTTGTAACATTTATTTCCTGTATGTATCAAAATATATCTATATACTTCCGAATTGTTATTTGTAACTTATTGTACATAGTGAACACAAAGGCATTTCATGTAATGAACAATTGCTTTTCATGCAGATTCTTTAACCTTTATCCTGCTTAATCCAAATGTGACTTAAGACTTTGTAACACGTATAGAACTACGCTAGCCTGCACATCATTACAGTCTGACCAGGCTCTTAACTGTTGACAGCGTTGTCGTATTTTAAAACTGCAATTCCCTGACAGTAGTATGGACTGATCTAAATTCAAAGCTGAGCAAATTTGTTACACGCATTCAGCAAGTATGAATATAGAACTCAAATCATAAATGCCCATGTTTCTTCACTTTGACTTGACTGGATAAGTCCGAGAGCCAGATTTTCTGTTGGCAATTTAACATCTAAGTTTTTGACATATATTTTCGGAAATCATTTACTAACGATTTGTAAAAGTACCAACTTATATGCGATGACATCATTTACATAATGGATTGTAATACAGGCGTTCAGTATATCATTACCATGTGGAACAGGAGTAAAACCAGTCGGACATCCTCCAGCTATGGGCGTGGTCGGCGCTGGATTGGTAGGTTTAACATTTCCTGTTGGGCGTTTACAGATGAAATGATACTTCTCGTTACAATCATTGTCATTCCAGTACGCTGAAATATTACATATATAATTAAGATTTTGTTTTTAAAAGATGTTTAATTAATTCTAAATTTATGTTTTGTTTAATGTGTATATTACATTACGTATACACATGTATTTCTTGAAGAGAAAAAGTAAGAAAATACTAAGAACGGCTTAGCTGTCATTATTGTCAACATAAGGGAAAAGTTGCTTAAGTCACTATCAACCAATCAAAGATTTTTTAAGCATCACGTTATTTTTTGAAAAATGTGTTTGGCTAAAATTGTAATGTATCTCAGCAAACTATCAAATCGGCATGTTTACAACAGGTTAAATAACCCCACTCCTTGTCGAGACCTTGTTAAATGTATGTCGTTAATATTGATTGTTATAATATAATGTCGAATGGAATGGATTTTACAATGGACGGTTGATATCATTTCTATTAAACAATTAATTTTATTCATGCCATATCTGAATTAATAATGTAATTTCAACCGCTACCTAATGGTATTTCGTCACCAACGTCATTTCGAATCACTGATAGAAAACACGGATTTTTTGTACTGTACTACATTATTTAGCTTCACCACGTTCCTTGAAAAACAGTAATACTATCTTGCGCTTGAATATTTGCATATCAATCTTAAAATGTCAATGACATTATGCAAACGCTTATGATTCTGAATTTTAATCTTACAATTTGAAGCTCTAATTTGAGCACATTTTTCAGCTCCGAATGCATCATTCGGCTCTCCACCATTCCAGTGTGTGAAATCCGAAGGGCTGCCATCTGTCCATCTATGACAATAATAACAAAATCAGTATGTTCAGAAAAAAAGAACCAAACATATTTTGCTGAGAAATAACTGAATTAATTATGTTAAATGTAGCAATTTTATTTTTGTAAAAAATCAATAGATACTCGTACTTAAGTAAATTATCAACTGACGGTGTATCAGTTAAACGGCATATCACTTTGTAGATCCCTTTTGGTCTATAATTTACGTTTTACAATGTACCTGTATGTATCAATTCCGTTTTTACATTGAGAACTAAGGTAGGGTATCTACGCGCTCTCTCACACCCTTGAGGGATCTCTAATTGACACTTTTCAGCGAATAGTGCTCCAGAATTTAATAAGAAGCTGTATATCCGCAATCACACTGTCATTTGACCATGGGGAAAAACAAACGTGAAATTGTCTCCTTTTATTTTGCTTATGTTTCTATCGTCAATTACATGTTCCGCTGTCATCTTTATTTATCATCATTTTGAGTTTGTCAATGCGCATTTCTACCGTAAAGTGCACCCTAATTAATTGAGTGTAGACCACCAAACAGTGTTCTACTTTGGTACTCTATTCTAAAGGATCCCTGTAGAGTGTGCCAGCGCTCACAATTAATCAAATAGAAAGCAAGAATGCAAGACGATAATTACCCAAATTGATTTACTCCATTATCAGTAAATCCGATCCAACAGTCACTTTTTACAGTCTGTGTAATCTATAATACAGAGAGTGCACATTTTTTAGCGCTCTTTACAACATTTGCATAACACATAGTATCAATTATATACCAGACTCTTTTGTAAAATATTAAAAACATTAAATATTAAAATAGTCTAATTTAAGAGACTGTATAAAACATAAATTAACTTACCTAAAAAATACTCGCAGCACAAATTGTGTTAAGGAAACGATGAAAACCCATCAAATTTAAGTACAGTCCTTCCTACACAAATTAAAAGCGAGAACTAACAAAAAAAAAATTATCGAGGCCATCAGAACTGAGACTTGAAATTGGTGATAGAATTTGCCAAGGACAGATAAAAGTTAAAACTCTGACTCGTTTTGCCCAACATAATTGCAGTATGCATTTCAATAGCGAGAGAATTTGTTCCCTTCTCTCGGAAAAAGCTTCTATACTGTCCCGGGGATGTGGAACTTGGTCATGTTGTACATTATAATAGAAGGGGTCAGTGCAAGATGGTACCTAACGTTTTTTTACATTATTTTGAGAAAAAGGTCATTTATTAAATTATTTATAATGATCATTAACACATCATACGTTCATGTAAAGAACAAATATTTAGCTGACAAAAGTTAAAAGACTTGTCAAATTGATTTGTGATATGATTATACTAACTATAGTTGAAAGAAATCCATTTTCTTGTAGGGAGTGTATACTGACTAATTCACCACCTTGTTGTATACAATAATCACGAGCATCGAACCAAGACAGTCTTGAGTTTGGTCCATCACTCGGTGTGTTCACATAATAACATGATCCATTGAACAATTTCCAGCCAGGCAAAGAACCACATTGGGCTTGAAGAATAAAATATATATTCTTTTTATTATTTTTTTATTTTTGTTTGTTTGTTTGTTTGTTTGATTTTTTTTTAGTTTGAAATATAAAAAAAAAACAGTAATAAATATAGCATGACCTTGAAATAACGTCAAAATCTGGTAGAAATGGATACTTTTTTTAATCATCAAACCTGTGTTTTACATTGTTTATAAATAATCATAGACAAAAAATAATATTTTTTGTAAAGAATAGTGCTTAATTATCATAATTATTATGAAAGCAGCATTGAATGTGAATTTATGTGCGATAAACGTCGAAAGAGGTAAACAAAGTTGTATTTTAGCTTTAAATTCAAAATACCAAATAACTAAAATAAATACATGAATCTTTTACATTTTTGTGTTTTCGTGCATGCTTCTATTGTCAAAGGTAAATTTACAGAAGTATTTCACAAATGAAATAAACTCTTTAAAACAAGAGCCATTCTGATAAAATTGTGATTTAAAATATAACAGTTTTTGAAGAACTATAAATATAATATGCACATGTATGTCAAGTTTTATATTGTATATTAAACTAATAAGTATAAACGATATTAAGTTTATTTTAGATTTATTTTTGGGACATTTCTAGTAGGTTCTCATTAATATATTACGTGGATTTGTAGGCGGACGTGTCGCTAGTGTCGTCTTTAACTGAACTCCTAGCTTAATCTTGCACGCGAAATTCTTGGCGAGATAGCACGAGTTATCGTTCCATTTTCTTAATCCCGAGTTATACTCTACACAATCATCCGAGCCGTCGGCGTCGTTTGGTTCACCTCTACCCCAACTAGTGAAGTTCACAGCTGAGCCATCCGACCATTTATATCCTGGTGAAACAATTGATACAACATTTTATATCCGTTTGAAACATTTTTTAATGATCGCTAGCCGCATTGGTTCAAACCCCGTCAGAGGCAAGTCGTTATTTCCTTGAGCAAGACACTTCCTACACAATCGAACTAAAAGTCTTTACCGTCTTTTTAACTTACAGAGAGGCCAGTCAATTCAAATGATATAAAGACAAAATTGTTATATAATAATGAATTGATAGCTGATATTTGAGAAGTATTCGTGCCGATTACATTCCGTTTCTGACTTCGAACTGGAATTTTATCCATATATACGGATACTAGTTTATAAGTAATAAAACATAATACAATGATTATAGCTAAATAAATACATTCACTTGCATGTACAATGTAAATGCAGGAACGTACAATGAAAATAGAAACATTGAGTAAATCATTGTAATTTTGTACCCTTTTCCGTGTCAAAGTCGTTAAGGCCGATCCAATACGTTTTAGAAGTGTAATAGCCACTGAAAATACAAGCATAATCAGTACTAAAACAAGGTACCGACCTCAGTGATAAAAAAGGAACATACCTCAGTGATAAAATAAGGAACTAGCCTCAGTGATAAAAAAGGAACTAACCTCAGTGATAAAAAAAGGAACTAACCTCAGTGATAAAACAAGGAACTAACCTCAGTGATAAAATAAGGAACTAACCTAAATGATAAAACAAGGTACTTACCTCAGTGATAAAAAAGGAACTAACCTCAGTGATAAAATAAGGAACTAGCCTCAGTGATAAAAAAGGAACTAACCTCAGTGATAAAAAGGAACTAACCTCAGTGATAAAAAAGGAACTAACCTCAGTGATAAAACAAGGAACTAACCTCAGTGATAAATAAGGAACTAACCTAAAGTGATAAAACAAGGAACTAACCTCAGTGATAAAACAAGGAACTAACCTCAGTGATAAAATAAGGAACTAACCTAAATGATAAAACAAGGTACTTACCTTAGTGATAAAATAAGGAACAAACTCCCGTGAATACACAAAGGGATAACCTAAGTGGTTAAACAATGAACTAACCTAAGTGACAAAGCAAGAAACTAACCTAAGAGATAAAATTAGGAACTAACCCCTGTGAATACACAAAGAGATAACCTAAGTGATAAACAAAGAACTAACCTAATTGATAAAACAAAACACATAAGTGATAAACAAGGAACTACCCTCAGTGATAAATCATAAAACAAGGAACTGACCTAAGTGATAAAACAAGCCACTAACCTCAGTGATAAAACAAGGAACAAAACTAAATGATCATGGCAATATTATAAAAGCCAGACCAGCATTTACATTTAAAGAAATCTGCAAATAATGATGTGTGCCCATCAAACATTTAATTAAGCTTGAGGAATGTAGCAAAATAATTTAGATTAACTAAAATTTGTGAGCTTTAGAAAAGTACGAAAAGCAGCGATAGTCTTTACAGTCTCTCATTCTTCTGACACATTCTAATATAAAAAAGCTATTTAATAGAGGGTTTAAAAGTTTAATCAGTTCAAAAATAAATTATATAAATATAACTGATATAAATATGAATTAAATAATAATAACTGACATGATGAAATGTAATAAGCAAAGTACATCAAAACTGATGGACGACAACGCTTAAAAAATTATTACCGCATTAAAGGCGCAAAACAAAAAGTTCATAGTATCAATGATAAAAATATTTTAGATTATCTTACGTATATCTATACGAGAAAACGAATGATTGCTCCCCTGACGAATGTAAGCTTACAAGATCTGCTCCTAATGCCCGGCACGTGGCCTTGGCATCAAAATACGATTTCTTGTCTTCGTTAGCATTGAAAACCTAAGTAACAAATACACGTGTAAACATGTACAAAATAAATGATATATATCTAGAAAATGTATCATTTTGATAATATATAAAATAAAAATGAGTTATATTTAATAAATGAAGTATAGTTTCTAATATCACATCATATAATAGTCAAAACTCTGTTAGTCAACTCCATGTCGAACTCTTGTCATACTCGTAGTGCATGCCATATAAGAAGTACGGTTATTACTTCTTGTTCAACCATAAAACATATTCCACAGGAAGGCATATACTCAATATTTTAAGCGACCGGATTTAGTAATGACATCATTCATATTTTGACGCGGCAATATTAATTAAGTTACATTGAATTTTATTACATTAGAGATATAATTTATTCGAGGTAAAATCTTAAAATGGATAATTTTCCCATAACAATATACTTCGACAAAAACGCTGACTAAGTATTGCTGTTGTATCAAGATTTTGTTAGATTTGTGACTTTACAGAATGTTTACCTTATAACAGTAGCCTTTATAGCCGTTCCAGTATTTGGGGCAAACAGGGGGAGTCGTTGTTGTTGTTGTAGGGATAAGTGCCGTACTAAACCCAGACCTCTGTGTCTCACAAATATATTTATATTGTGATGTACACGGCATATCTAACCATAGACCAACGCCAGGTCCACTTGTCTTCATTACAATACAAGAATTGTTGTTGTTGCCTGAAACAAACATATTTGAGCCGCGTCACGACAAAACCAACATAATGGGTTTGCGACCAGCGTGGATCCAGACCAGCCTGCGCATCCGCGCAGTCTGATCAGGATCCATGCTGTTCGCTATCAGTTTCTCTAGTTGTTATAGGGTTTGTAAGCGAACAGCATGGATCCTGATCAGACTGCGCGGAGGCGCAGGCTGGTCTGGATCCATGCTGGTCGCAAACGCATTACGTTGGTTTTGTCGTGACGCGGCTCATATTTATTTGACAGAATATCATTGTATCTATGCCTTCATTTATTTTGTACTTAATAATCACTAAGTTTTGCTTGTTCAAGACCAAGTGTTTAATGTTTAGCTTTCGACCACAATGATTGATATCATTGATATATGCTAGGGTGTTTCCAGTTTCTTTAAGTTTTAATTAATTATGAATAACTGACTAGTCATTAGGAAATTGTCAATTTCTATATCTCTTAAACACTTTTACAAAATACTTACAGCACTTATTAAATTCAAATTATACAAACACAATTATACGTCTGAAGAAACATGTTCTGTCTAACCTTATTAATGAGTATAGGCAGATATATTGCATTCATTGTTCAACGTTGACGAAAATATAATAAAGCGTTGAATACAGGTAGCTGGTTACAGCAGGTTTCCGGCTAACTTACCTGTATGGTTTGAAGACCAGGGAGTGTAAGTTAGACTATCCCCTGTCACCCATTGGAAACTACTATTGGTACCACTATGAGATAATCCTATCCAATAGAAACCCGATTTTCCTGCTAGCTGGGATGCCAAAAATGCTTGCTGATACCTAAAAATTAGTCATTAATACAAATCAGTTTTTTTTAAATTATTTATTTATCTATTCTTATTTGTTTGAAATGCATGCTATTTTATTTCGTACTGAATGTCCATCTCCATTTTATAAATACGTATAAGTGGGGAAAATAAATAAAAAGTACTGTCAGTGATAAGAAACTCCGTTCCAAGATGTCACCAGTTTACAGGCATTATCAGTTATCAGCGAAGTGATCGGATTTTTAATGTGAGTTTTTTGCTTTTTAAGTTTTTTCTCTGACGTCTGATGTATTCTGTATTAGCGTTTGGTGTGTCAGCTAAATTAATAAAGCTCTTGAACCAGATAATTCGGCTTCTCGACTTCGGCCAATGTCACAATGTTTGACATATTAAGAAAATTTAATACATATAATTATAATAATCATCTCCTCTGTTTCAATCCGTTCAATGAAAACGCCATTTTGTTTAGAAATGTTTGTAAAAGTTAATTATATAGTTATCTTAATATCTTTGAAACTCGAACTTCAAGCGAACCTGTCTGTGATAATAGCTAAATGACCACCACGTGCTTTACAATTTGACCCAGCAGCCTGCCATGTTGACATTGCCGCCATCAGTCGGTAACAACGGTATCCAAATGCTAATTTACCAACCTATTAAAAATTATAAAAGTTAATATACATCATAAAAATTTGTTAAAATCTTTTTAATTTCATGGAAATGAAATTATTCTAGGTAAAAGATGAACACATGTTCCTAAATACTACACAACATATTAAGATCATTATCTGTTTATTATGCACGGTGATTGTTCATTTAATTCCCTAAATGCAGATTTTGTCATATCGAGGAGAACGCCAATCTGTAAACCTTTTTTAATCAATACTCTCCAACTGTCCACTTTTACTCGCCATTTTTTTTTTGGATAACACACGCAAATTTATGTTATTGTTGTTAATGGTGTTTATAAACGAGTAATTGTAGTGTGTTTGGTTTCTTGTTAAATTTTGTTTTACGTCACTTCGACACAGTATAGGTCATATGGAGACGTTTCCGCTTTATTGGCGGAGGAAGAGCTCAGGTGCCCTTCCGTGCATTATTTCAGGCACGAACGGGCACATGAGTAGAGCCACCGACTTCCCGAAAGCTAACTGGATAGTTTTCTTACATGGAAGAATCCAATTGTTCTAGACTGCAATAAATAATTTGATTTATCAACAATGTTCAAAATGTAAGATATGCCTTTGATCTGTGGTATGATATTCCAGTAATAATAGATACGTCTTACTGTACTTGTATAAATGACTTATGAGTGTTCCAAAAACTAAAACAATAAATGAAACTATATTTACTGGGCAATTTTGATTGATGTTGTATTGAGGTGTGTTTCGTGGAAACATAGCCTTATGAGTCTTGCATACGAAACCTTGTTTCGGTGTTTCACACGGAGCATCATTCCACGTTCCATCCTATATATAGGTGAGAAAACATAGCATATAACGATAAATTAAACAGTCAATTGATATTAAAATAATATGGCTTTAAACATTTTGTAAACAAAAACATAGCGACTTAAAAGAAGCTCTCCATGAAGAATGTACACATAGTCATTTTAAAAAGGACAAAACAATTCACGAATCTCAAGATGTTGAATTGCAAACCAATATTGAGAATTTTATTTATAATCATCATTCCAAAATAGTAAAAACATTAAACATTTAAAGATTACCTTTTGATACATCGCGACACAGTCTTCGGGTCTATTCTGCCAATTATTAGGCTCGTTCACTGCCCAATTAGTATACGACACAGCCGTTCCATCGGTCCACTGAAACTTCATCTGTAGGTCAAGGTCATTCAACCCGATAAAAAGTTGATTCAAAGCTACTGGTGTCACTGTAAATATATAAAGCGAATGTATCATGATTACATGACCATTCCGTTTTGACGTATCATTCGTCAATTAAATTATGCATTGCATCACAAATCACAGCTACTACATGTTCATGATATTTTGGTAAACATTGTAAATGTTAAACATTGTAAATGTTTACTTTTGTAAATATTTATGCTCATGATCTTTCGTTTATAATGTTAATACAACCTGATAATTGGGTCTGCAATATATTTCAGTATATAAATTCTATAAAACGAAAATTGAGTTATATAATAAGTAAAATACTGTTGAAAATGACATGACCTTTTGACGTGACGAATTATGGTGATAAACAAAATAATTATTATGCATATTTTGAACTATAACATTCTTTTGGTTTTTTAGTGTTAGGTTATGAAATTTAATTAAGTTTTGTATTCTTTAGACATCTATTATATCTTTATAACTTTGTCATAGCAAACAAAAATTCAATAGACTGAGATAACGTTCTGCCCCTGTCCCCTTTACCTCTATCACCTTAATTAAGACACGTCCTACCGAGTACCAACTAATATATTCATTATCAGATATACAGAAAAACACAACATACTTGGTAACTGGCTGAATACAAAATTCTGCTCATCCTCGTTTTGTATACTAGCTAGTTCCGAGTTATGTCCTTGGCAATACTTCCTTGCATTAAGCCAGTTAGTGGGTGTCTTCGAGAAGTAATAACAGTTGCTTTTGTATGGTATCCACATGTTACTCGGACATCCATATAACTTACCAGCTGATATACATAGAAATAAAACATCATCAAATAGTCTTATCTAATAATAAGTATTACATGTACCTTTGAAGTTATGAATCAATTTTGGTTGTTACATTTTATTCCCTTTCTTGTTATACCCAATTGTTGTTTTCTGCCTCATGCGACTGTATGGACCAATACATAATGTGTGAATATGTCCCATGTTTTTAATTTTATCTTTGTCATTTTTAGATTAATTTTGCTATGGTTCAAAAAGAACTTCAAGATGACTTGAAAAAATAATCAACAAATCCTTATGGACTAAATAAGCTTGTTATTCTCTTGTGAATGTTTGAACTTACTATAGCATTTTCAGATTACATTGTCGTTCATGTTTTGCGATAAATGTCAAAAAAAAACTTTCACTGTGTAATAGATGATGAGCGGACAATTCGGGGTCGTACAGATACAAAGCGCAAAATGTTATTCATTTATATAGTTACTCATTATTTTAAATTCAGTTCTAAAACTTGAAATATTTACCTGGAGCAGACGGCGTTCTCGTTGGTGGAGGAGTAGTGAATCCTGCAGAAATCAATTACTAGAATATTACTACACATTCTGAAGTTTGAATATTTGATACAAATATATCTGTTGTTGACAGTTTTGATGATCAGAAACATGACTTTTAAGTAATATCAGTTAAGTCTACACTATTGAATGTTTTGAAAATCTGCACAATATATAATTAATGTATGCTATTTTTGTCTCAACAACTATGATAAAAGCAATCTAATTGAATAGATAAATATGATGTATACATGAATATTATTAAAATGTATATATTTATAAACTGATCATAAATTTAAAATGACCAAACCATTACAAGTGAAATAATAAAGCTAGAAGTTTGCTAAGATGAAATTGCAGAATGGTTAGGGTATACTAAATTAAAAGTCCCGAGGCATTGCAATATGAAAGCAAAAGAAGAAAGGTATAAACTGTTATAATAGATATTTCAATTAATTTTATATATATTATTTAAGCACTATTTAATTTCGACTCAGACGAAATATTTCAGCTAATTGGAACCACCCTTGAGACTCCTTCCTGAAACTAACCGGTACTGGTTTCATATGAGGAGAAATCATGGTCGTAGCAACAGAAGGGCTCGATCCAAATATCCCTTTATTAAAAGGCAGACAACATAACCACTTGGCCACTGGGGGACTTTATGACATTGGGGGTATAACTGTAATATCGTGTTAAATAAAACAAGAAGTTTAGGTGTAAATATCACACCATTTGTACGACCTTTGTTGCAAAATAAAGAACACATAAAATTATTGGAAATAGTACCAACTTTTCTCATACTAATACCCCCGGTATTAGGTAAAAACTAACTTACCAGGCAGGCTCTATCTTATAGACATAATATTGTTTCCCTTTAACTGTGAATTAAACATTCAATACTCAAAGCTAAGAAAATCCTAAATGAATTCAGCAACTTAAGGTTAAGCTTTGCAAATAGTCAAAACCGCAATATATATAGATCAAGAAATGTATTTTTTGCAGCGGAGCAGATTTGTACTTAGAATGTTCAATACACATGAATGTTGAAAAAAATTCCGAAAATCTTAATGAAAACAATGTAGTAAATCTGATATGTACATGAATTTGCTTTCCTAAGTGCCGACAGAGCATTACTATTTACTTATACACATCTAAAATTCTAATTGGCCCAGTACAAATGCTTTTAAAATGATTAGTAAGAATTGCATATTTAAAAAGGAATGTGTCTGCTTTGTGTATACGTTCAAAATATTGTATACATGTACAGTTATGTACAATTATAATTATTATTTTTTCTTGGAAAGATATAAATATATATTCAAAATGTCCATCAACAAGAAAGTCGTTTATCTTTACAAGGGAATGATAGGATCTTCCATTTACAACAATATGTACACAATTACCACATAACAACCACCTTTACAAATGTTTAGGACTGATGCTATACAAACAAAGGGTATGATTTTTCACGTTCATATAAAAGAACGTCTTGCTCCTGATTACTGATAAAAAAGGAATTCAAAGTTAATAAAGGTTCCCAACTACAAAGGTAATCTTCTACTCTACAACTACTAACAGGAACAAAGGATAATTCTAAAGTTAAAATTGTGACACATATTCTTGTCAAATTTTAATATTTTCGTCTAATGTCTTTCCTGGTTATAGAACATAAAGGGTGTAAGTTATTCTTGGCTATGTTTCACACACAATGTACCTTTACTCCTTTTCTTACAAATATACCCAGTCTTTCTATTGCAATTATTATCATTCCATTTACCGCTGTTTTGGCCACGTGGAAAGATCTCGGCACATTTTTCAATACGTAGAAAATTATTGGGTTCTCCTGTATTATTCAAAATATTTTAAACATAACAACACAACATATAATTATAGATACATGTGCGGCGAGGGACTTGCATACTAGTAAATGTCAGTGAAAGATGTCTTTGGAACATTCACAGTTTCATCATATTACTGATTTTTGCTGGATAGAGTATAAAATCAATCAAAAGACCCAATATGTTTTGTGTAAGAATGCATGCGTTGATAAAATGGCGCTATTGTTCTTTACTACGGACCATATTGATGCATATTACATGTAAGTGGCAATATATGCTGAAAAAAACGAAAAACCGGTGGTGACATTTCAATTCTTGAATTATCGGGTTCATTTTCACGAATTCACAAATTCAACTTCATAAATTCACGATTTCGACAGACATAATTCACGAATTCACGATTTCAAATTGATGAATTTAAGATTTCAACCTAACCAATTCACAATTTCATCTTCATGAATTCATGTTTTGAACTCCGCGATTCCAACTAAGTGTATTTACGATTTCACCTTCGAGAAGAATTTATAAAGTTTAAATGTTAAAGACGTTAAATCGTGAATTCACGGGGCTAAAATCTGTAATTCATGAAGTTAAAATGTCCCCACTGGTCTTTCGTATGAACGTCAGCACTCCGCAGTTATATTACCTCTTAAAGCATATTTGGTAACAATGTTAGGTAAGAATTCAGTATAATTATTCAACATCCAAAAGTCAATTGACAGTAATATCCAGAAACAGATGATATATGATTTTACTTATTTCCTATTGAAATTTATCGGTTCTCAAAACTCGTGTAATTATAGAAAATAAAGTTTGGATTGGGGTGTAAAAAATCAATTTCTATTCCACAACATATTCATATGATTTAGAATATAGCAAGACGACTTTCCCTGACATTTACCGTCTGCTTTATGTGCACGTGAAGAGCATAATGTGATCGTATAAGTCATGCATATATTTTATATATCCTTTACAATTTTCCCGCGTCAATTGTTGGTCTACCTGATTTCATCCGTTTGCAAATGTGCCCTTTTCTAGAGTCACACCGGGCATCATTCCACTTTGCTATATTTGGACCTCCAACTATTATCTCTGCGCAGCGCTCATAATATCCGCTATTGTTTGGCTCGCCTGTGTCACGTGATCATTTCATAAAAAGTTATTAAGTAAACGATGCATAAAAACACATGAACTTATGACACGGACATATATTTTAGAATAAACACTTGAAATTATGTAAACTGTAAAAACGGATGTATTCTCAAACAGATGTAGCATAAATTGAAACTATATTGTTTTACACCGTAAGACACTATCTAGAATGATTAAATCTTGCAGATTTCTTTTTTGTTACATCAATTTTATCTTACTGAAGTTTTTCATTTAACCAGTCTCGTTGTTCTGTTCTGTATGGACAATATGCCAATATATGTTTTATTAATAATATAAGTCAAAACAGGTATCATTTTTGATTTGTCACTCCTGAAATGTTGCTATGTTTTCATATTTATTATGTTCAAAATGATCATAATATTATGTAGCATGTTATACATTTAACAAAGCTAAATGAGGTAATTAAAAAGACCTTTGAAAGAAAATGATACCATCGACTGTTTATTAAACTGAAATTCTTTTCTTTATACGCTGCTAGAATATTTCTTTATAAGAATGTGTATGCTATTCTATAAAATAAAATGTTCAATTTCTTTTAATGTACATTAGATAAGTAACAAAATACCGAACAAAAATAATATATACTTCTGTTAGATCTACAGTTATTTATCGTTGTGCCTATATTTTTTCTTCTTTTCTTAGATCATTCAATTAATAAAACAATCTAACCTGGAGCCCAGTTGAAATACCCGAAACCTGAACCATCTACCCAATGGTATCCTTTATGTGAATTAAGGTCGTTCATCCCTATCCAGAGAGCTGGAGAGGTAAATCCATACAAATAATCTGAAAACAAAAGTTGGTTATTTAAGTAAGGATACTATAAACTCAAGGTAAACTCTTATTCGTAAAAAAAACTCTCACGATGCGGTGGCTGAACTGTGCTCTGGCAAATTCAATGTTGCTAACTGCCGTGATCCGGAGTGAAAACAAAAAAGTGAAAGAACTCTCACGAGGATGGTGTGTTCTTCTAAAAAATTTTTCCCCGTTCGACATGACATTAATATATATATTTCACATGTTCAGAGGAATTCTAAAAGAATTTTGTCAAGTGTTGCGTCTTCATGTACATGTGTAATACCAATTGTCTTAAACCGTACCCATTATTGTTCGTTTTCAATCATAATACCAATAATAATTAAAATTTGTTAACAATACTTCTTATTTTAAGTATTTCCTTTAATGAGCAAGTAAGATGGGTGTTTGGATTGGGTTTGAGCTCTCCGAAGGATTCCACGTTTGATATAGATAACATCCTGCTCATTGGTTCATTCTTAATTATTGTGTGATTGGTCTAGTCGTTGGTTTATCGTTGAGTTCGTTTGAAATTTAAAACAGTAAATGACAAGAACAAACTTAGATAATTTACCAGTAATAAATCTCTCCTCGTCGTAGTTATTGATGCTAGTTAACTGTCCCCCTTCTCCCTGACACGCAGATTGTGCCTGGAACCAGTTCATTGCGTTGTCGGAGAATTTATAACAATATCCAGTCTTTGGGTTCTTTACCCAGGAAGGTCCGCAGTCTGTGCTCCATGTTACTAGCAATTAAAAAGATAATAATAGCTCCAAATTTCGTCAAGTTAAACAATTTTTTGCCGGACCTGTTTTCCCTAGGATTAAAGTAGCACATTCGTTTATATTTCCCCCATGTTTTAAATTTATACAGCTAAAATGTTAATTCGCATATGCTTACAAGAGTGCATGTACACAAACCAAGAATCAAATAATCCCCAACAGAAATAGAAATTAGAAGTTGGTTGATAACACTAAGCTTGAAGTAAAATTTTCAAACCAATAGTTTTCATGGATGAAATGTTAGGTCAAGCTTTATCAAACATATTCATACTTGCGTTTTGTCTTTCAGTCTTTTTTTAGATACTGCATTTTACAAGGATACATGCAATCAGTGTTGTTATATTTTTGATCCTTCGGGATAATTTATTCCAGCACTTTGTAGTGTTGAAAACTGAGTACCGCTCTAGAGTACCACTTAAGCCGGTTCTATTGGGAGTGAGGGATGTTGCAACTTTCATGTAAATTCACTAATTTAAATGGTTCCGAGGGGGCATTTTTCCGGATATTTATACACCAACAATGAATTGGTGTTATTTTTGCAATGGCTTTGTACATAAATGTTCATTTGAGTAAAGATGAATGTTATAAACAAAGTATCTTATTAATCGAATTATAACAGTTGTAACACGGCCATAAATATAAGCATCTAAACAAAGTTTCATAAATTATATTACCTGGAGCAGGTGATGTTGTTGGCGATTGTTGACCACCACTTTTTCCTAAGAAAAACATACATTGTATATTATACAGTCAGCTGGTTATCACAACAAGTTTACACAGAATTGTAATGTCATAGAGCAAAACAAAAAATATCCAAATAAACATTGGAATCAAATTTGAACAACATTTTACTTATTTACTTGTAGTTTTAGTTATTATCTGAGAAGCTGTGTAAATTATATAGAAAACGATAAATGTTAAGCGATAAATGTTTTGCAAAAATCTCCTCATGAACATCCCGGATAAATTATTCTTTATCCAATCTCCACATGATTACAAAGGTTTTTCTATTTACATCAGTTTGACAAGTTTTATACATTTAATAGTTCAATAAAACAATAAAGATGCAAAAAAATACTTTTTTTAAATATAACACTTAACAGTATCATGAATGAACGAGAATAACAGATATACATGTTGAAAATGAAATATTTCCTCAGCTAAAATTCATTTCAATCGTAATTTACATATGAGCCGCGTAAAGACAAAACCAACATAATGGGTTTTCGACCAGCATGGATCCAGACCAGCCTGCGCATCCGCGCAGTCTGATCAGGATCCATGCTGTTCGCTATCAGTTTCTCTACTTGTTAAAAGGTTTAAAAGCGAACAGCATGGATCCTGATCAGACTGACGGATGCGCAGGCTGGTCTGGATCCATGCTGGTCGCAAACCCACTATTTTGGTTTTGTCGTGACGCGGCTCATATGAGTAAGGAGATCAGACATTGTACTTACCTGTAGGAGCGAGTGTTGGTGGTAACTTTGGTGTTAAGCCTCGAGATATCTCACAAATAAAAGTGTTATTGTTTGCACAATTTGAAGCAATTTGCCAAGTTCCATTTGTGTCATCTAATGAATAAATTAGAGTTTTTACCAGCTTGCATTTATATCTTATTTAAGTAGCCTTGAATATTTTTTAAGGAGTTAGTAAAATAAGTTAAACTAATTTTTTTAAATTGGCATTCCAAAAAAATGAAGCATATCATGATGATGTTGTTAATTTTGTTATTAGTTTAAACTTAATTCATAGCAGCACATACATAAGTAAGTAAATAAGAAAGAAAATTTGTTGGGAAACAATATCGCAACATTAGATTAAGCCCTTCCTAGAATTGTCTTATTTACCGTTTAATGAAAAATATTTCACAATTGACTTACTGTCGGAAGCAAGCTCTTAACGGGAAAAATGTTACATACTTAAATGCAATATTATTAGATAATTACATCAAAAATATCATAGTCAAGACAACTGCCTTCATAAAAAGCCACATACTTAACCGAAATGCAAGTGTCTAGTTCTTGGATTTTAGCAATGCTAAACATATAAAAAGTCGTGCCCTGGATGCAGGCTCATTTTTTACCCAATACCATGATCGGCAAGGGAGTAATTTAAGAGAAAAAATATTTTAAAATATTGCTATGAGAACAACAAACTTTGTAACAAAAATAGCAACATAATTCTATATTTAACCCGAAAGAAATTTTCACGCCCCCAAAACGTGATGTAATTTCAGTCAAATCACTTTAATGAAAAGACTTTAGCGAAAGTAAACCTACCAGTAAATATATGGAAACAGTCTTGTACGCCTTGTCTATTGACCGGGGTTTGTCCGTTGAAATTTTTAAAAGTAGATGGATTGAATTGTGTTCCATCAGACCAACTCCAGCTGCCAAAATTATGGTTCTGATCTGAAATAGGTACAATATATATATAAATCTTGATTTGTATACGTGATATAGATGAATGAGATGTCATTGAGAAGAATTCATAAATTGTAAAAACGGTAAGTACGTGTATATTAATAGTTATAAAGATTGTTGACAAGTTATATGGCTCTATATAAACGGCTATTTGTAAATATAAACCGAGCCGCTAGGCGAGGGTTATATTGCAAACAGCCGTTTATATACGGCCATATAATCTGTCAACAATATTTATTATAACGAATTTATAATACAGCAAGCATCATTTGTTAGAGAAAAAAGCAAGATTTCTTCATGAATTAATAGCAGCCGTGCATAAAACTATATAAACGTGACGATTTCCAATCAAAAGCGACGTTACAAACGTGCAGTATTATAAAAATTACAAAGTACGTTTGCTAGTCAATATATTCGCGTCTTTCCCTCCATATGTATGTCTTGCAAACTTTTGATAACTTCCATGCATATAACAGTGTATAAATAATTTTCATCATTTCGTTTTAATTATTGTAATGGATATATTTAAAACAAACGTTCAACTTACAATAAAATCTACTAATGTTGTCATTCGCTTCGCGTATATGATTTCAAACTAATATGCAAATACTCAAAACAAAGTTTTAAAACATTTTCAACATTTTAAAATTTCCTATAACCCCCCCCCCCCCCACACACACACACACACAAACAAATGGCTGCCACTATTTGTCAAGGGAGGCAAATACGTAAAAGTGCAAAGCGAAGAATATAGCTCTACAACATTCAGGTGCAATAATTCACCTACCGTTAAGTCCTATCCAGATAGCGTTAACACCTTTCGACTTCAGATTGGGTAACATTCCATTTAAAAATTGCTGTGTTGAATTGCTAGAATAGAACGTTTTGAGCAAAATGGTTTAAAAAATGTGTGGATTTTACATATACACCAAATAGTAGCGTATTTAAAAAAAAAACTTTAACGAAATTTAAGTTTAGATATACTAATAGATACTGCACATGAAACCCTGTCAATTTAACAAAGCTGGGACGACTCTAGCTCTAAACACTAGACCTAACTATTTTCAAAGAAAATAACGCTTGGTAAACCGAGCTAATTAATATGTCGTCAACATCAGCTGTAATCGAAGCAGTATTTTGCCGAAAAGCAGACGACAATATCTTGTAGAATAATGCCTGATTTCAAAATTACTTCCATCATGCTGTACAATATGTTATACGTACGATTTTATCCTGATAAGTCTGGCTCCCTGTATCTTACAGAACGAGTTTGCACGTGACCAAGATGTACTATACCACGTGACAATTTGATAACAGTTATATCCATTTGAAAGCCAACCAGATGCGCATCTGCCTAAAAATAAAAAAGAAAGACAACTGGTTGAAACGAACGGTAAAGTTGTCACACCTTAGTTCAATAGCTATATAGTCCGTATAAACTGTGACACAATTATGTACAAATGTGAGTACACACTTTTAACAACAGTTTTCTGCTCTTTAATACAATATATTCTTATACACGATTTACACTCTTGCACTCTTTCTTGTAAGAGATACATTATAAACATTCTGGCTATAGATACGTCAATGACAAGTCAGTGAAATTATTCGTGTTACAGATATATTAAGAAATAATCAGTGAAAGTATAGATTTAGGATAAATCAGTGAGAGCATACATACATTATGAAAAAATTGACGCGATACATTGAAAACTAATCGACGTGTCTTCAGTTATACGTTAAAAACTATAACCAGTGAAAGGATTTTCGTAAGAGATACATTCAGTCAGTGCCATATTCTCGTCAGTGATACTGTAGAACAAGTCAGTGAAAATATTCACATTAGAGTTTTAAGGACAAATCAGTAAAATAAGTCTTGTTTTGTATGTTTAAGGAACTGAAAAGCTAGCGTATTCACGTAATAGATAATTATATTAAGAACATAAGAAAAATTGATAAAGATCAGGAGGAAAGAATTACCTTGTGGTTTCTGACAAAGCGAAAATGCTCTATTTCCACAGTCAGCAGGCTCCCAGAAATTCGGCGAAGGTAGACTATGGTTTGCGATTACACAAGCAGAACTTCCGTTAGTGCTAAATTTAAAATATAAAATATTTTTGAAAGGATTGTTTGTGAGAAATGTACATTTAATTGAAAGAATTGTTGTCTTAATTAAACATATACTCCTTTAAATATTTCAGAATCAAAATGTACAGTATACATTTCAGAGCTTTATAATTTTGATATGCGAACACTTTTACAGGGCACTTTGAAATATTTTACATGATTGACAAAAAGCTCTACCCTTTACTAGAACTTTGTACTGATTTATAAGCGCTAGTTGTAATAGTTGTGTTACAGCTATTTATAATGGTTGAATTGTTTTACCAGAGATGATACTTTGTTTTATGTTTTACTTGAAAATATTGGAGCCGTGTCATGAAGCATATACTCCTTTAAATATTTCAGAATCAAAAGTTACAGTATACATTTCAGAGCTTTGTAATGTTAATATGTACATAATGATTCCTTTACAAGAAACGTTGCTGTATATTACATGATTACAAAAAAACTCTTCCTTTCTTTGTACTGATACAGCGCATGGTGTAGGTTGGTGTGGCGCTATTCTATGTCTGATTGAATCATTACGAGTTATTTTTGTTTATAGTGTGAAATGTTTGTAATCAAGGTACCTGGTTACTGTTTGTAAAGCTGCTGATGTAAGCTGGTATTGTGATGACCAGAACGAGTTGACGCTGTTTAACACCTGACCATTAGGATTCTGCCATCTATAACTATAGCTTCCGTTAGCCTGGAAAAACAGGTGGCTTAATGTAAATCAATCAGATATAAATTGTATTTCAATTTACAATCAAAATACTTTGATAGTTTGTTATAAAGTTGTTCCAATTGAAAACAAATGATTTATATCTAAATGTACTCCCCTGCGCATCGGTTGAATATTTCACTATCGCTCACTTTTTTTAGTATGAAGTAATGTGAGTGTATTAACTGAGCTGCGAAGGGAGCGTAATCTAAGTGTAATATTGGGTTGGTGTCAAACAATGAAGGGCTTGTCGATGAGAAATTGATAAAAATAATTCTCTGAGATTACGATCTCTTACATAATGAGTAATATTTAAAGGTAAGGTCTTGTCAAATCTTTTGAGATTACTATGTGAACTTACAAGATTTGTAATTTACAAGTTTTCTAGTTTTAAAATGAACACTTTAACATTACAACACAAGATATGAAAACAAACATCAATAAAGCATTATATATGAACGCATTCCACACAAACAACCCAACAACACAGCACCACTGGCAAAGAGGCCAACAGGACACCAAACAAAAACAGGAGAGGGCACAACACATATCCACATTATATTCACGTGTAAAATGTATGTTTCAGTCAATTTTTTTCATCCATGTCTGTAGAAGATGCAAATTAAGTGTGACTTACTTTGAATGCTCTTAGACCAAACCACATATTAGCCCGTCGAGATTCAATGAAATTATGTACCATCACTTCCGTACTTTGACCATCTACTATCATCAAATCGGCATTCTCTTTTTTGCATTCTCCCCTATGAATAGAATATATACCTATTTTAAGTATGTCATTATTCAGTTCGAGACGTTTCGCCTCGGTTGATGGCATAATGAGTTAACTCAAATTTATCAAATCGAAAACGTCCAACACTGCAAACTTAAAACAGGTTGCAGGCTCGGCTCGTTTTGGTCCGTTCATGACGGTTGTGGTTAATATAAGCTTCATAGCTTCTGCTTGAAGAACAGAAAAATTAACAATAACAATAACAATCATGGGGAATTAAATATTTTAAAACAAAACAAAAATGAATGAACAAAACAACTATATGTGAGTTATAAACCAAATGTCATTGCAAGAAAAGGAATAGGAATTTTGATCTCCTCGACTTACTCAAGAAGTTTTTATAAACATCACTCTAACTTAAGCTTTTGTGGTGTACCTCTATGTTACATGCAGATTTGTTTGTGAAATGTACAGTTCAAAGTGTCATTCGTGATCATTGATTCCAGCAAATTAGTGATGAAGGTTGAATAACGCCTAAACCGGTGCTAGGGAGCGTTAGAGATGTTGCACTTGTACATTGTCTCTCATGAAAAGACTCAATTAAACTGAGTTTTCAACTATCATTTAATGTTAACTTATATGATTACAAATCCAATGAAATAGGGTATGCACATCAAAGAATGATTATTCATAGTTCATATTTGACAGCTTTATTTATATTCAGTTTATTTTAGCTTGAATGACACTACTACTGTATTGTCATATGAGGCAACATGGTCGCGACACCAGTAGGGTGTGAAGCCACAAACACTAGCATGAGAGATAACGCTTTCACGATTTGGTCACTGCATATCTTTCTTTCTGGTATTATGTTTAAGTGTCGTGGGACTAATAAATCGTTTATACTTTATTATCTTGCAATAGTTATAGCATTTATTAATATGTATGTATCACACACACATATGTTTATACATATCAGATATATACATGTTTTTTTATCATGTATGATGTATTAGATAGTTTAAATTGATAAAAAAGATATCATATTGCGATATTGACACGAAAACAAAGCTAATAAAGGTTAAAATGTAAACCAAAACTGATACACATATATAAACAATATGTAATATACAAATAAACGATATGGAATTTATATAAACAACACAGAGTTTACTTGTAATATGTGACACAAATATTTATCAAGTTTAGATAGATGTGAACCATTCCTCAACGCCAATAAAGCCTACAATTTGTTGTTATCTTTATTTTACAAAAGCTTTTTTTTTATTTAATTTTTGGTGTCATGTGACAGTTGCTATATTTATTAACAAAGATCTAAATTCATAATCATTTTCTCACTTACTGCGCATCATCCCATGTACTAAGTTTAGTGATAACTTTGTAACATTTGTTATTTATGCTCTCCCAATTCTTCCTAGCATCACAAAACACTGCATTGCCTGAAAATACATTTATATACATGTATATTTATCACATTTTAACCGAAGATTTAACAGAATTGTTATTAAGAATACTTGTTTCTTAAAATGTGATTATTAACATTTATTTGTTTAAACTACCTCCCTTATACGTAAATAAACATAAAACAATTAAAACGTTCACAATAATTTGTTTTACAAATGAAAATGTATGCACACCTTCCAATTTCAAAAATAACCACTCACTTCAATTATCACTTAAAAAATCTTAAGCATCTTTTTGAAGTTCTCGTGCATTACCGTAAATATTAATCAATATTTATGTTTAACATGAAATGTTATTCAACTAAGTGCATGTTCACAAATAGTCAGCTTTGGCATGTTCACATTTTTTTTTCCGTTGCACTTTCACAACTATGTACCTCTTGCACATGTACAAGTAATTATACCTCTTGCATGTGAACAAGTATATAATTTTTACACTTTCACAAATATTGACCTTCTACATGTGCACAGTTTTGCCATTAACATGTTCAGAAATATTTGCCACTTGTACGTACAAAAAAATGTTAACACCTTACACTGAACGTTCACAAATTTTACCCATTGCACGTGCACAAATATTTGCCAATTGCACATTCAGGAATATTCACCTCTCTTGTATGCACCCATTTTTGTCATTTAGATGATCACAAATTATTTACCTATTGCTCGTTTACAAATATTCATCTCTTTGAACGTTCACACAGATTTATTTTTGCACATAGAATTCTATTTGAATGACCCTGCACATACACAAACATAACCATTTGCATGTTAATGAATATTATGTTCTTGCATAAGAACAAATATGTACCTCTTGCACGTTCACAAATAAAGAACTTCGTCTGCTGGCAGTCTTGATGCCGTAATGAGCCGTTATAATACTGTACACACGCTTTTGATCGGTCGTAATGTGACGGTTCCCCGGATACCCATGGTTGTCTGAAATAATGAGAGCAACGTCTAAATCAAAAGTACAGACAAATGTGCAACAGTTTCAGGAATCACAGATGTATCGGATATTGCTGAATAACATTAGTCCCGCATTACAATTACGTACTGGGGAAGTACTTTCTATGTTTATACATGTCCACGATCAAAACCACAAAGGGCATCCACATAACCAAATCTGGCACCGGCAGCTATCAGATATTTTCGCTAAAGTTTACTAACTTGATGAATAGGGTTCTTTAGTTGAAGTATCTACAACTAAGCTCTAATATTTTGTCATGAAAATATAATCATTCTGTTTCATACGATTCGTTTTAGTAAAAGCTCAACATTTCGTTCATTAAAGCCCATTCCCCAGAATACACATAACCTTTCAAAAAAGAGGTTTTACTTTCAAAAGGTTAATAAGTAATTTAACAATATGTTAGATCCGTCTGACAAGATTTCCACGAAGCTCGAGACTATCTTTGCTAACGGTCAATGTGAAGACTAGTATGTACAAAACAGCGGTGTCGTTTGCTCAGAAGAATACATATCTGGTCTTTTTTTAATTAAGAAGCCATCTTCACTATTGATTTAACAAGAAAATTCCTTAAATTGATTTATTTTTATTGCATTTTAAATACTTGTTTTATTATAGTTATAGTTTTATTTTTTAATAGGAAGCAGAGAGAAAATTTTAAATACCGGTATTTGTACTTACAGCAATTGCGAATTCGGTACAGATTTATCCACCCATATGACCCCAGTTTGACCCGGATTGTCATGGAGACCTAACCACCATTCCACATGTGATGGATAATATCCGTGATATACGTGCAAACAATTGTAACCGTTCTGGTAAGTAATTAAACATATCAATATTCGTAAAATCAAGACACTAATTCTGCCTGGCAAAACTCACAGTTTGCTTAAAATTCCGTGTGCGTATTTTTAGAAAATTTAAAGTTATATTTTTTGATACTTTATAGATTGTAAACGCCATTCGTCATTGAAATTCGCTATATTAAAATGTTTTATCGTAAAAGTATAATGCTATTTTGATTTTGTCTACAAGATTTGGAAAATTATCTTTGCTGTAATGTGAAGACAGGTACAAATAGCGGTGTCGTTCTGGAAGACACTATTGGCATGTTTTAAAGCCTCTACTATATTACAGACAATTGCTTTTATTTTTTATTTTTAAATACTTTTTTATATAAGTATTTTTAATTTGTTAATAGGGAGAGATTTTTGAAAAGATGTTCCAAGGTAAATCGTAAATATCACATATGACAGTTTGCCGGTTAAACTCTTCGCAGTGCGGGTAATTCAGTGATTACGTTCAACAAGAATCCATTTGAAAATTGCTCATTTTTGGCCGGGTAATTATATTGAACGCTGCGGAAAAAGGGAAATGTCGATAGAAATCTTAAGTTTCAATGGTGTTTTGTTCTTCTTTTACGGCTGATTTATAATTGTGCTACAGGAACAAGTTGCTTTTATTTTGAAAATATGGAATAAAAAGAAGTGAAAGACACCTACACTGCGGCTATCTGATAATCACTTGATGTTAAAGCCCTCTACCAAACAGTTATCTCTGTTTCTCTCTTTTATTACTTTTGTTTCCAGAACGATACTCACTGGCCAATAACCTGATTTTTTTTGTGCTGCTTTTATGGCACTTTGTACAGTCATAGTGAATTTAAGTTTTGTATGTAAGTCAAAATACTACTTTGTTTACATTTAAATTGCTACTTTTATGAAAAACAAAGTATTTCATAGTAAGCGCTATTTTGTTCAGGTAACAAGAATTTAAAATACTCTAAAACCATTATTTGAATGTTATAAAATAATCATGTTTGCCATTTCTAAAGGAGTAAATAAATTATTTCATTTCTGAGGCATAATATACTTTAAAGGTTTAAAATAAGATATGTCTTCATTTAATGCTGGTTTAAAATTCGTTCATGAAACCTTTTGATCAAAATATTTAGACCTTTCGAAAATCCAAAATTATTAATATCGATAATAATGGAAGTTACTGTTTTTTTCTCACTGTTTCTGCTGTATAATTACATGCACATTCAAGTGCTATGCCAAAGTCCATATGGACCTAGTCTTCTTTTCATCATGTCTTGAACTCTCTCGGCATTTATTCAAAAGACATATGAGCCGCGTAAAGACAAAACTAATATAATGGGTTTGCGACCAGCATGGATCCAGACCAGCCTGCGCATCTGCACAGTCTGATCAGGATCCATGCTGTTCGCTAGCAGTTTCTCTTCTTGTAATAGGGTTTGTAAGCGAACAGCATGGGTCCTGATCAGACTGCGCGGATGTGAAGGCTGGTCTGGATCCATGCTGGTCGCATACGCACTATGTTGGTTTTGTCATGGCGCGGCTCATATTTCAGTTTCTTTGTAAAATCAGTTAACCTAAATTGAATATTTTGTAAACGGTTTATTGTGCGTTTCGTGTTGATTATGGTCTCAGTTATTATAGACATTCTACTGTTAAGATTTTTTTTCATGATCACCTTTTCCTGAACAGTGTTAATCTTCCACAGCCCGCCACCCATCTGTTCACAAAATGTCTGTGCTTCAGACCATGTCCGTTGTATTTTGTTGGTGATAAGATAACATGGCCATCGTGGGTCATATCTGTTGGACATCCATCCTGCTGGACAGTCAAGTTGCTGACCACTTACTGAAATACGAAAAACATATAACTGATAGTTCATTTGGTGTTTCTTGGATCAATTTAGAAGATAAATGTTAGCGCTATACTTTCTCATACCAAAAGATATTTTTAAATAATTAGACTAACGAAATAAAAAAATATTCATATTTTCTACAGCAACTAGACATTAAGATATTTTGTTATTTCAGAGATCTTTTCTAAGACACTCGCTTCACCCTTGTGATTTGCACTTCCGGGAATCATGATACTTTTGAGATAACGTGTACTGACAGCATGGTGGTATCGTGATTTCCTTACCATTTATTTTTTTATTTACCTAGGTAATCATAAAATAGTAATTGAGATAGTTTTGTATGCATATTTCATTTGTTTGTGTTTCATATTATAGGTTTTAATCATATATGCATGTATATTTCTTAGATTTCTTAGAACAATCTGCGTTCACTTATTGATAGTTTTTAGAATGTGTTCACATTTTGTTTAGTCAAGGCTTTACATTGTTACACTTATAAGTTTTGGCCTTGGCTGCATTTTTTATGTTATTATCTCCTTGATATGTATGTGATAACGCGTTGCTTTCATTTAATTAATGTGTACTGACTTAAACTATACAGCAATAAATATTGTTGACACTTAAATGATAATGTTTTGATACATTGATATGTTATTTAGTACATCAATCAGTTATCTCGATCCTATGCACCGTGTAGCATTTTGTATCAGGTTTGATAAAGCTATTTACCCACAATTCTGTGTAGATGTAGCAAAAGAAAAAAAAATACAATAAACCAAGCGTCGAACTGGGTCGTAATTAAATAGATAAAGGATATGGAAAGTTACAAAAATATTTGTTTAATGTATACAAATTTATTTAAGTTCGATTGTGTTGGAAACTATAAGCTTCTTGAAACACTCTCGAATCCGTTCCTGGAACCAACCAATTCTAAGCAATGAATGTAAAGTTTCTTGCTCAAGGAAACAACAAAATATTGATACTTATACAACGTAATTATAATACATTTTAACCCATTACTTCATATACACGCCTTTTAACGCCTTTTTCACCCCCCCCCCCCTTTTGTTGTCTCAAATGATGAAAAAATGCCTTATTTAGGCCCCAAACACTTGTTTTTGTTTGAGAAATGTTGTTAAAAAAAGTGACCTCTTTTTCGGCGCGGCCCCCCAACCAAAAGATACATCAGGGGGTTGCCAGAAGGGGGATGTGCCCCCTTCTGTTTGGGGGGGGGGGGTTTGAAGGGGGGCGGAGTCCCCCTCATCGCCAAGAAAATTTTGGACGTGTGAGAGGCTGTAAATTACCCCAGATTGATCATAAGGTAACGTGTAACCAACGCTGAAAAGCATTTGACTCTATCTCAATTCATTGAGAAGTTGCAGCACTTTGAAATCAATTTTGATGGAAAAAATCAACGCAAAATAGTGATTTTTGGCAATTTTGAGATGTCCCCTCGTTGCCATGGTAACAGAAAATTTAAGTCTGAGCATGTTGTTGCAAGGGCAATGGTCCAGTCATCATTTGTGCCAAGTTTGATTAGTGTTGAAGCAGTTTTTATAGTATTATAGCAATTTGAACTTGTAACGGAAGACTTTTCAATGAAAACAGCCATTTTTCACAAAATGCTCATGAAGTAATGGGTTAAGTCGTGTACATGTCAATTAAGCAATATAAAATGAAATAGAACTGACAAATCATAAAATTAAACAAATCTTATGACAGAAACACAAAACTAAAAATACTTTTTAGATTGAAACGGACAATGACGATCTTGGCAGAATATAAATAAAATTTATATATTGATCATTAGTGTATCTTATGTAGGCAGAAAAATTATTTAATTTTTTTAATGACTATAGTTACAAAACATAGTCATGTAAGATTGTCAGTGGGGTACGTAAAATGTGTGTCAGATCCGAACAGATAGTGCGGACATATTTTGTTCAACGAATTAATGGGATATCCAAATATCGTGCGCTTTAGCTTTGAGCTATCTGACTAAAGTTCAGATGTTCTCATGTTTTAAAGTTAAGCCGGTATTTAGCAGCTTATCATATTCAGCTATATGTTATCATGACAGATACTTTAATTTATTTAATATGTTAAAAAGGTGAAGAAAAAAATGTGCAGCCGGACCCGGACTCGAACCCGGGACTCTCGGAATACCGACTGAGCCATCCGGCCGCTTACACACCCCCTTACAAAGTGAACAGTTTAGAACCGTGATAAATACAAAAAAATAAGGAAGAAGTCAATCGCGCGGTACGTAAAAAGATTTTCCAAATATGAATGCATCTCAGCACGTGCAATTTGAGGTTTCATCAATTTTTTATTTGTTTGGGTCGTCAGACCAAACAAATAATGGCAGCAAAATTTCAGACCCTGACATTTGTGTAATTCTTCAATATTTCCGCAAATTACCGGTTATATATACAAATAATTTTTTTACGCGGATGAATATCATTTTAATCAATGAAAATTGCACGGCTATTATCGTAAAGCTTCGGATTATTGTGATCGCCTAAATGAACATTTGTTTTTCAGACTTTCTGAAAATTAAAGTAAGGATGTCGACTCTACGACAGGGACGACTTTAGGCCGTCGACGATCGATAATCAATTTCAATTTAATTAGAATAATGTGATTTGCTGCAGACTATTGTCTCATAACTTCCCAGTGGTCCGGGGGTTACTCGCTCGTTTAGGAAGCGAGAGGTCTGGTGTTCAAATTTTAGTTAACGCAACTCATGTTTTTATTTTATTATTATTTTTATTTTAAATTGTTTAAGCCAAATAAACATTGAATTGATAATCAGTGTTGCAATTAGCCATATAGCCAATTTACTACAGTTATAACACTGGAAACAGCATTGCTGGCACTACACAAAAACAAATTTGTGTATTTAAATCTCACAATCTTCACCTCTCTGACAATCTGAGACCCAAACAAATTCGGCGCCTTCAGTGCTTTGATTTTATCGTATGTTTCTCCAAAAAAGTACACAGTTTCAGTCTTTGAAAGCATTTTCATAGTATTTTTTTTGGTATATTATTAGGACATTGGAATATTGCAGAATCGATGTGTCTGCGCTGAATAGTTTTTCTAACTGATTTATAAGCTTTGAAAACAAGAAAACGTTACAAGAAGCAATGTCAGTAGAATGTAGAGGATAAGGGTATACAACGACTTATTTGCGTTATCCAGACGCCTTGCGCGATGACGAGTTGTCATGCAGCGATCTGACATTGGCTAAACCTTTTTGCGGGTTTTGATTTTTGAAAGTATTAGTTTGGTTTTCGAAGAATTTTTCACGTGTTCAAATTCGTATTAACAGAACAGCAACCTGAGTTGTTGTTGTAAAGAAATTGGCATCCTTTACCTTCTTTATACTGCTGGGTTTTTTTGTATTTTTTGTTGGGTTTTTTTTGCAATGCACGACATTTTGCCGAACTTTGTAGCCCAAATCTTTTTTTGATTTCGTTTTGGTTCATGAAAATGAACCAATATTTTGTCAACAGTGATGCCATTTGCAAAATACTATGCATTGTAATTCGGATACTATTAAGTAATAACTTAGCCCATTGAACGCGAGTTTTTTCTGTTCATCTGTCAGCAAACGGAAAACCTTTCACATGTATAGCACAACTTTTCTCATTTTCCAATAAAGTTTGTGAATGGTATGAGCTGCTCCTAAGAGATGCTAAGGGTACTTCATATGTGCCTTGTGATGTATCTTACATCGGTAGTAACATTAACTATTTCTTTTACTTTAGCAACCATCTTGACAGACGTTGTTGTATTAGGTCGTCGTTATGGGGTGCATCTTTAGTACAAATTAACCCAATTCTAATTTTTTAACGAATAAGTGATGAACAATACATTTTATTTTGTCCATATACAGAACAGATTTCACCAAAAATGTCTATACGCCAAGGAGGCAACGAATCTTGATAACAAATGTCGAGCTAACTGTTGTGCTGACTGTCTAGCCAGCTTAATATCCCAGTTCGACATTCAAAAAAAAAAAACAAATGTCGCTGAATGCTGTGTTGAATATCAAGCCAGCTGCACATGCAAAAAGGATATAAAAACGAATGTGGAGGTGAATGCTGTGTTGAATATCATTATTGCTAGCTTTCACATCCCATCTCAACATTGATAAATGGAATGTCGAGCTGAGTGTTTAATTTCGATCTCTGTGCCAACTTCATGGGCTTTTCTTATTATAAGACTGTACTCTGATCTTCTACCAACCATTTCTTGTATGGCAGTATACGAGTAGACATTGTATAGCGTGCTATAAACACAGGTAAAATGAACGGATTATTATGAAAAGGGTTTCAATGAAACGCTAACATATGGAACGCCGTGACTGTCTTATGCTATCAATATTTTTGCTATCTTCTGAAATGATGATATTATTTTGTCATTTAAGCATATTAACATGTGCAATTTACATCATATCTTGTCTAAAGACAATGCTGACTTGTCCAAACAGCATGTTATTTTGTCAAATAATCATTATGACATGTGCAGACAACATGTTAACTTGTCAAAGTATCATGATGACTTGTGCAAACGACATGTTAACTTGTCAAAATAACATGATGACTTGTGCAAACGACATGTTAACTTGTCAAAATGTCATGATGACATGTGCAAACAGCATGTTAACTTGTCGAATTATCGTGATGACATGCTCATAATACCTTAACAAGTTAACATGTGTTTTGCACAAGTCATCACGATTCTTTGACAAATTAACATGTTGTTTGTACAAGTCATCATGATAATTTGACAAGATAACATGGCATTTGCACAAGTCATCACGATACCTTGACAAGTTAACATGCTGTTTGCACTTGTCATCATGAAATTTTGACAAGTTAACATGTCGCTTTCACAAGTCACCATGATACTTGGACAAGTTAGCATGTTGTTTGCACATGTTATCACGATGGTTTGACAAGTTAACATACTGTTTGCACATGTCATCATGAAATTTTGACAAGTTAACATGGCATTTGCACAAGTCATCATTACACTTGGACAAGTTAACATGTCGTTTGCACAAGTCATCATGATACTTGGACAAGTTAACATGCTGTATGCACATGTCATAACGATAATTTGACAAGTTAACATGCTGTTTACACATGTCATCATGGAATTTTGACATGTTAGCATGGCATTTGCACAAGTTATCATAATACTTTGACAAGTTAACAGTACGTTTTGACATGTCAGCATGATACAAAATAACATGTCATTTGCACAAGTCATCACAATTCTTTGACAAGTTCACATGTTGTCTTCACAAGTCATCATGGTAATTTGACATGTTAACATGCTGTTTGCACAAGTCGTCATGATACTGTGACAAGTTAACATGCTGTTTGCACATGTCATCACGATAATTCGACAAGTTAACATGTCGTTTGCACAAGTCATCATTATACTTTGACAAGTTAACATGGCGTTTGCACAAGTCATCATGACACTTTGACAAGTTAACATGCTGTTTGCACATGTCATCACAATAATTCGACAGGTTAACATGTCGTTTGCACAAGTCATCATTACATTTTGACAAGTTACCATTCCATTTGCACAAGTCATCATTATACTTTGACAAGTTAACATGTTGTTTGCACATGTCATCAGAATCATTTGACAAGTTAAAATGTTGTTTGTACAAGTCAGCATGTTCCTTTGACAAGACATGATGTAAATTGCACATGTTAACACGCTCAAACGACAAAATAATATCATCGTTTCACAAAATAACAAAAACTTTGATTACATAAGACAGTCACGGCGTTCCATACTAACATGTATATTTACCCGATAACATTCACTTCCTGTTTTCGCAAAATTGATTGTGACATACAGAATGCAAAACACACAAAGGCAGACAAACGTATGTGATTTTGAAAAATTACGCTACTTAAACCAATGTGCAAAGTTGTATTTCTGTTTTTACAAAAAATATCACGATTCGTGGAAAGCCACAGGGATGTATTATGATCTAATGATGTAAGAGCAAATAAGATGTTTTTCCGGTTCTTTCATTGTTTCTTATCCAGTCACGTTACGTGCAGTTTAAAGTCATTTTGAAAATTAACATGAAACATCGAACGTTAATTCTTCTTAAACTTTATCTCTTATTCTTTCCGATCAGTTAAATCTATTTCTTTATACTTCTTTTAACTTATAACCCATTTCATCATCATTCGTTTTTAATAAGATACAGTGTAATTAAAAAAAAACACACAACAAAACTGGAAGCAAAAATTAGTCTTATAACTATTACATAATGTGCTCTGAAAATTCGAAAAACATGGGTACTTGTACCCTCTTTTGAACTTTTGGCTATGAGGACACATAAAAACAATTTATGTCCTTATATTAAGTCCTTAGAAACATAACTATGTGAGGAGATGTAACTGTGCAACTGCAGTCAAAAACTGGTCATAGAATTCTGGAATGGTTAGCTGCTCCTAACACGTACATGTACAAAATCTAAAAGATATTGATCAGTATGTGTTTTTTCTATTTATACATTTTGTTAAATTAATACACGTGTACTCATTCGAATTTATGTCTCGTGTGTACATTGGGTGAAAGGGATCAATATCTATTAATATGACAATAAATCGTTAGGCCATACGGGATTCGCAATCAAAGTAACCCAGAACAGTTAATCCGAGGGTAATACCGTATGTGTATGGTGTGTGTACATTGTACCAGTATGCACGAGAAACTTGTGCCTTCATGTATATGCGAATACCACTTTAAGTAGCCCTTGATTATCTTTGAGTACACGAATATTAGATATAGAAGCCTCTGTAACAATTGATATAGATACCATTCTGATGTAGATAAAGGAGATAAAACACCATTGATAGTATACTATGGTCCATTTTAATTTAAGTCTGAATTAATATCTACCCCTTGTGTGTTCAAACGTTTAAACGGTTTCATAGTATATATGTGGATGGAGAGACAAATAAATTGAACAAAGACCGACTCAGTTCAGCTGGTTTGTCAAGGAACTTATTAGGGAAATCCTCAGTCTCTGAATATGTGTTTGAAAAACTGATTAATTCTTGTTCTCCCAAAAAAAAACATTCAGACTAGTTTTCAGAACTATCGAATGAGAGTGATTTGCGTCATTCTTTAAGTTAATTATAATGACAAATCCGATAACCACATCTTTCCTAACAAAAATGCTAATATATTTATTTTTCAAGAACCTTTTAAATTTCTTTATGGTGTTCCGATACAGTAATTCTTGGTCATATTGCTTTTTGGCCGAAAGTAAAGTTACAGTGATATTATTATATAAGTATTTTGTATATAGAAGAGAAAATACCATTTTGTTTACGTTTTGCTGCTTTAAAGACTAATTGATTGACATTCCACGAAACTTTGTCACGTGATAAGAATCTTACATGCTCTATATTCATAAGTAAAACAATATAAACATAGTCTTGAACACTGGGCCACTCCTTCGAAAAAAATAGTATTATTTCCAAAATCTTAATGTAAGTATGAAGTATATGTCATAACTTGTACAATTTTCACACTTTTGAATTTCCTATTTAAAGATCCTGTAATTCATTTTTTATGGTTTTACATCATAAATGAGCCGCGTCACGACAAAACCAACATAGTGGGTTTGCGACCAGCATGGATCCAGACCAGCCTGCGCATCAGCGCAGTCTGATCAGGATCCATGCTGTTCGCTTACAAACCCTATAACTACTAGAGAAACTGATAGCGAACAGCATGGATCCTGATCAGACTGCGCGGATGCGCAGGCTGGTCTGGATCCATGCTGGTCGCAAACGCACTATGTTGGTTTTGTCGTGACACGGCTCAAATATATTATGCTCGAATGAACAATATTGTAAGTTCCAAAAAGCATTATTTGTAAAGATATTACAGGTACCGAATTTACATTTCATGTTAATAAAAGGAGGTAATTAGAAATTTATTTTCTATAAAATCTAACTCAAATCTTTCAATAAAAAACGAATGCATATATATTTCAATGATTACGTATAATGCGGACAAATAATTGCATTACATATTTTACATATTCCTCGATGTTCGAACATTGTTTTAGAAGCATAATTATATACTAGTATATATACAATTTCATTTAAGTGTGGTAACAACCTAAATTGCAGCACACAGAATTTAATAAGAAGTATATTTTTGTCATAATATTTAAGCTATTTGTGAGTTTTAACAGGTTTACCATTAGATACATGTCATATGGAACTCATTTGTAGAATAAGAATGATATATCCACTGTGAAGTCTGTGTAAAAAGATTAAACTCATCACCCATTAGATACTGTGATCGGCATTGAGGTAACTTTAAGTTTTACTTGAGGGAGAACAGTTGCCTCTATGCGCATTATTTTTGGAACTAACGGACGCCTCTGGGGAACCATTGACCTTTCTGTATGCAAATATTATTATGATAGTTACATTACATGAAATGTGATTTTGTCGTGGTTTGCGATTTCTACCTGTTCGTGTTTCACCCAAGCACATCGGGATGATTTGTTACCATAGATATCAAGTGGTTTTTCTCACTTAATTAGAAAGAGGTTTTAGCCTCTTGATTTTGGAGAACATTATCACTAACATTGCTAATTTGGGAAGTAAATAGGCTGGCAGAAGTTCAGATTTTTTCAACAAAAAAAACTGCATGATTTTAAAGAAAAAATCAATTTGGAAGATACCTTTTTAGGCCTTTGTTACATAAGGAGGAAATCACTGATATCAGACTCATTTTAAAACGACACATGCATGTTTTATGAAGCGATAGAGTTTGTATAGTTTCATTTTTTTTATATTTTGGCAACAGTGTATGTTTAGTTTTGTACCTGTTTGTACAAGTAAAAAAGGAATGCATTGCTTATCAAAAGTCGAGTGAATAAGAAATGGCATAATTAAGTAAGAAATTTCGGTACAGAGTCTCATAAGGGCCATCACGGCACACACTTATTTTAAAACAAAATAATCACGAACATACGATGGTGATAAAACCACGATTGTGAAAACTCGATATTTTTTCGTGTTTCACCATCGTACGTTCGACCTTTTACTGTCGTGGTTTTGTAGTTTCATTATTTCGACTTTTCTGCATCGAACTTTATGTAAGTCAAAATACCCATTTAATATTTTGTTTATGCTTTGCTACCTTAATCACAAATTAGGAAATTTTCTGTTCAGCACTTTTTATTACCGATGTAAATGTCTACTATGCTTTAAACTTATCATTTAGTTATTTCTAAACACAATCATGTTTTGCCTCAAAAGAGCAAATTCTGAAGCAGAATGTGCCTTTAACTAACAGAGTGAAATAGTTTATATATTCATTGATTATTGCTGAATGGTCATAGAATATTCTAAAAAGAAATGATTATGTATTATCAACTTGAAAATAAAAAGCTGGTACATGTATAAAAGAATTATTGATATGTATTTAGTACTTACCTTTCACTGTTATATAAATGAAGCACAAGCACGTGAGATATATCCTCATAGTTTTCTAATTGTTTGTAGATCTAAGCCAATTTTAATAGTTTTCTTTTGATAACACAAACTCTTCTTATTTCTTATCATACATCAGTTTTACCTCGGAATTGTTGAAATGTGTAAAAAACGGAAATTTAATTGATACAATTTTACAATGTATTCACTTAATTTATATCAAATGGACCCATATCCACCCATTACGCTTGCTCAAACTCGTGGTTTAAAGCAAAGATAGCGATTGTTTATCAAATAAAAACAAAATATTTTAACATCATTTGGAGTAGTATCCCTTTCCATTGCAATGTAATTGAAAGAAGGGAAGTAACTATTAGCTCAAAGATAATGCGGTTAAGGATCATACAAATTGAGATATCGTTATCAGCAAATCATGTGACATGCCGTAAGGGTACGGGATATAGTGGGTAGATGACATTGTTTATAAAAAGAGATTAAGATTATCCGTTTTTACTATCCTTATTATTCTAAGATATCAAACATAAATAGTTGATTGTTAATAATAAGACGTACAGGAGTGTTTCTTGTATCATTTATTAGGGATGTCACGTTATCGACCTAAAAACGTTTTTTTTCTTAGCCAAAACCCGGTTAGAAAATTTAATCACCGTTAACAGAGGTTTCTATTAAATTAACTTCCGAAGATATGACATTTTGTTTGTATTTTAGTTGTTTATATTTTTCCGATGGCATGCTGTCTTATCGTGTACGGTACAGTCCTAACGGATAATTCTTACTCTAAAATCGGATATGTCCGGTACTCATTGTTTGGTACAACAAGATACGAACAATATCAATCGTAAAATATCAGCTCTTCCCGTATTCGACAGATAAGAGAACACGAATATACCAACGCAATTTGTCCGAGCACAAGGCAGTTGGCGGGAAAGTAACGTTCTCCTTAAATCTGCAGTCTTTTTCTATGCCTGATTACGGACTTTATGTAATTAAAGTCTATGGCTTAATTTAGAAGGGAAACTTACTGTTAATATTACTGTTAATCTTTTTTCCTCAATATAAATTATTATTACCTCCATCTCATTTATTATAAAAGAGACTCATGAAGGTCGCCATTTTACCATGTGACTGAAAGTAGTTCCAATATGTCGCTTTATTATGTGAAGCATAATAGCCGAGCTTAAAGCACAGAATGCTACGGGCATGAATACTATAGCATAACTTAGTGTAGCATATCTTATAGGGAATAAAATGCTATATGTCAAGATGTTATATTAATTTGGTGTCGTGTATATAATATGTGAAGAAACCGCCAGAAATATCGATTATTGTGCTGTAAGTTAGAAGTATAGGTTATAGTTTATATATTAGAATTGCATGTATTCAAGGAAACGTTAGCGATCTATAAAAGAAACTATATATTTATCTTTATACACGCATTAACATTTTAAAAACTGCTTCTCTGAAAAATGTTCATTTAAAAGTATCTTTTTAAAAAAAAGACAATGTAGTACTGGTTGAACCTAACATTTCAATGTATGATTAAAATAATAAAAGTAAATATAAGTATGCATGTCGTCTTTGCTTTTATCTTAAATCTGCAATGTAGATATTTGATTTCAAATGGGAGTGGGATGGGGACTGAGCTTTTCCAATTAGTACATGGAAGACATTTATTCTAGATATGCCAATCTTTTTGCGGCAGTACGTTAAATGTTGTTGCAGTTTTATTCTAATTGATCAAAGTATAAAAGCTATTTGGACTGCACACAGTAAACATTAAGTACGATTTTCTTTCAATCGGCTTATCGGCAGCTTTAGACTATCTGTCTTTTTTATATAAATTTTCCATTATTATTATTACCCGTCTTTGCAATTTTTAATAATTTATAAAAGGGGAAAAAATGAAGTTGCAAAAGGTCATCTTGACAATGATAAGATCGTCCCTCGATTCCCAGTCAACATAGTTTAAAAGATTGATAGAATATAGCTATTTCTCTCATCTTCAGGTATCATAATTATAAACATACATTAAAAGTACTTTTAAGGCGACTTTTTTTCCAAACTTGCTTTCATAAATATGGTTCATCTCATTTTTTAATCACATGACTATTTTGAATAAGTAATGGTTATATTACATGAAAAAAAACAACAAGTGATGTCATGTGATAATCAGTAAAATCAAAGGAAGAAAGCTTATTTTAAAAGCATGCTTTCTAATAGCCAAACAAATTGTGCTCTTTAGGGTTTGTTACCAATTGACTATGGCCGCCATTCGTAAAGGTCGACGTCTGTGTAATATCAGTTTGTAAAGTCGGTCGGTCTTGCAGTCGAAATTTTGAGACTTTCTTTCTACTATGTACAAAACTGCTAAAAACTGCTAAAATTATACATGTAAATTCTGTACTGGAACATTATGAAATGGTATATTGTTTCGTAGATTATTAGAATTCGACGGAACTAAATATGTGTAACAGATGCCGCAATTTAAGTATAGGTTAAAGTTTAGTAGTACGTATTTACAAAATTAAATTGGTCAGACGCGGCAAATACGTACAAATAAATTTTGATGTGCTTATAGTGTTTTATACGGTGTTCCGTTTGGCATTAGTGATTTTTTTATTTCGTCCTTACCCTCGATACACGATGGTACGATGGTGAAAACGCGATGACACGATGATGAAAACACGATGGTACGATTGTGAAAACACGATGGTACGTACGATGGTGAAATCGCGATGTCGCGATGATACGATGGTGAAAACGCGATGTTATATCGTACCATGGCGTTTTCGCCATCGTGTTTTCACCATCGTACCATCGCGCTTTCACCATCGTGCCATCGCGCTTTCACCATCGTACCATCGCGATTTCACCATCGTGCCATCGCGCTTTCGCCATCGTGCCATCGCGTTTTCACCATCGTACCATCGCGTTTTCACCATCGTACCATGCGTTTTCACCATCACGCTTTCATCATCGTGTCATCGCGTTTTCACCATCGTACCATCGCGTTTTCACCATCGTGTCATTGCGTTTTCACCATCGTGCCATCGCGTTTTCACCATCGCACCATTGCGATTTCATCATCGTGCCATCGCGTTTTCACCATCGTACATCACGCTTTCATCATCGTGTCATCGCGTTTTCACCATCGTACCATCGCGTTTTCATCATCGTGTCATTGCGTTTTCACCATCGTGCCATCGCGTTTTCACCATCGCACCATTGCGATTTCATCATCGTACCATCGACTTTCGGTCAGTATGACGAGTATACATACAGAAAGATGTCAGAGTCTAATTAGGCAAATGGTAATACAAGTTTAGAATAATTATTAATTAATTTGAGTTTTAACAGGGGAGGATGCAGATCATGGTTTCCTGGGGCGGGGGTGTGACATATGGGTGAAAGATTTTGATAAAATAACGCAACAGACGAAAATTGTGCATGTTTGAAGTTTTTCATGTGACAAAAATTGTAATTGACGCGTTTTATAGCTCATCTTACGAGTGGCAATGTACTTTTGCTTATATATGTGTAAACTAATGCTTTTATTTTGTAACAGTAACTCAATGGGCGGACCTTGAACATTAACCGCGGATGTATTGATTAAAAGATGTGAACAGTTCACAAACAACCCGCGTCACAGACCTGTATTCAATAGTCATGGTATGTTGTATCAGGGGGGGGGGGGGGGGGGGGGGGGGGGGGGGAAGCCAGTAATTTGTATAACAGCTCATTTATTCATCATCAACGTCATGCATTCATGTAAAAACTAAGTCAAAAATAATATAAATTATACATGTAGTAAGAATCATTACATATCCGGAAACCACTTAGTTGCATTGATAAGAGACCTTCACAGGGAGGTTATGACTTTATTATGGGAAATGTTAATGCACAGGCGTTCGGCACATTTGTCATGCCAATAATGGTCAAAATATTATAGAATAATAGTCCTTGATCATTAAGAACAAAATTACCATCCAGCACCCGTTTACTATATAAAATACATTGTATATATGAGCCGCGTCACGACAAAACCAACATATGGGTTTGCGACCAGCATGGATCCAGACCAGCCTGCGCATCCGCGCAGTCTGATCAGGATCCATGCTGTTCGCTGTCAGTTTCTCTACATGTAATAGGGTTGGTAAGCGAACAGCATGGATCCTGATAAGACTGCGCGGATGCGCAGGCTGGTCTGGATCCATGCTGGTCGCAAACCCATATGTTAGAAACGTATTGATTTCTAAGTACTTCAGATTTGTGAACGTTGTTAATGGCGTCAATATGTTACGCTACTTTACGCGACGTAAGATGTTTACGTCGACGTCATCATTTTGTTTTGTTTTGTTATTGAGAATCTCGTCATTTTAAATCTGGAACTTGATGTATTGAGACAAGTCAAAATCGGTATGTTTAGTTTAACAAAATAATGCAATTGTTTTAAAAGATAATTTACAGTAAGATTTAAATTTAAAGGTACAAAATTCTTATTAGATTTATTGTGTAATTCATATATAATTTATTGATGATGTGAATGTTTTTATGTTTATTATTTATTGCGAAGTACAAATTGTAAATGAATATTTCAGAGAATCGCTTATCAACGCTTATCAACGCTTATTGACGTTTATCAAGGAAATATAAGTTAAAGGCGCATACTCGTTTAGATTTATATTTGAAGTAGAACCCAAGTTCCCGAACACCATATGTTGATTTTGTCGTGACACGGCTCATATTATTGGCAAGGCAAATGTGCCGAACGCCTGTGATTCTAGGTATAAGACATAGAGTTGGTGTCTGTAGAGCGGACAGTGCAATGGAAATCTGGAGTATTCATAGGGAAAGGTCACATGACAGTTCCTCCCTGTGCACCGTACTGTCCCAGGGTGATAACTTCAGCCTTTGTTTACATAACAAAGATTAATAACAATGCGAAAAATAGGTTACACACCGTGCAATCAAATGGGCAGACAGGCGTTCAACAGTCGACAGCCGTACTAGTATATACATGTCTGTGTAAAAACACAATTGACGGACGATAAGTATTTATCTCTTTTTAACATATCCCAATTGTGTTCGAGTAAATCAATGTTGTGGATTCATAGGAGCATACTTACAAATTTCTGGCCCTGTGCAAGCTTTACTTTACGTGAATTTTGACTAAAAATAACCACACTTTCTGATGAGAAGCGGCATTTTTTAAAGTCACAAAAACTTATATTTTCTCATAAATAAATAAATAAATCATTTTAAGATACGATTCGTAAACGTCAACATTTCATCATTATATATTCCTTGCATGCTCCTTTGGATATAGACTATGAATCCATAACATTGATTTACTCGAACACAACTGGGATAAATACTTATCGTCCGTCAATTGTATTTTTTACAGCGACATGTATATACAAGTACGGCTGTCGACGGTTGAACGGCTGTTTGCCCATTTGATTGTACGGTGTGGGTGAGGCAGACTGAATCCTTATATTAAATAAAAGACAACCTAAAACGTCATATTTTAATGTGCCTTGATAGCTCAGTATAGGCAGAGCGTCCAAGTCAGCTTGTTTCAAATGCATGGGATAAAATATTTTTGTACCCATTATTGATATTAATAATATTAGTAATCGCAGTGTGTTTAAAATAATTTGATTTTTAAAAAGAAAAAAAAAAAAACAAAAAAAAAAAAAAAAGAAATAAAGGAAAAAATAGAAATTTAAAACAAAATATATTCAAACAAAAGACAAAGTAAATAAAAGAGAGGAAAACAATAACAAGATCATCATAATAACATGTCAGAGCGTAGGGTTCGAACGTATGAGTTGAAATCATTATACTAGTAAGTTACAGTGACGTTGATTTACCTCCTAAGCCATTTATTTCTTAGACTATATATAGTTGTTGACACTTCCAATCTAGGATAATATGCAGACTTACCCTTTAAGTGGACTTTCTCTTGTACCGTTTAGACCAAATGATCATTCTTGCTGTGTATGTAGCTATTTTAGTGCACTTGCCGCTTGCTTTTATGCGTCAGTGCACAGCTTATACACTTTGCATAGTAAACAATATAATGTTAATAATAAAGTATTAGCCTGAGGCCTTGTTTTATTTTGAGAATGTCTGATCTTCATATTAGCCTTACATTTGAAGTGAAAACTTACCTCATATTGAAAAGTTAATTAATAATACACAATAATAATCTCAAATTATCGGATGTGGTTTTTAAATGTGTGAATTATTTAGTCGTTTACGGATTTTGGAGTAAATTAGTCTGGTAAAGGATTTTATAGGATAATTGGGGTTAAACCCCTCTTTATCAAGGAGTTACTATTTATTTTTATATAAATCACATATTTATCTTCTTACATGTCTTATCTTTAACTATGTTATGCATACAGGAAATGACGTCGTTGACGTCAACAATAAAAATTACGCAAAATATGATGATGACGTTTTCCGTCAAAATTGTTCCACTGCATAACGTTGCTCCCCTTATTTAATATTATTTATAATATTAACATAGCAAGAATAATGAAACTTATTTCATTGAAAATACATTAAAAATAATAATAATAATAATAAAACTGATAATGATAATAATAATAATTATGATTATTAAAAATTTTTCTACTAAAACATTCCAATAATATTTACAATAGCAAATAATTTAAAGATCCTGTAACACATTTTTTTCATGGTTTTTTTCATAAATATGACGCTCAAATTAAGATTTGTCAATCTTGTAAGTTCAAATAAGCATTATCTATAAAGATATTACCCAATTTAACATTTTGCGTTAAAAAAAGGGAGGTAATTAGAAATTTATTTTCTATAAATTCCAAGTCAAATTTTCCAATAAGAAATGAATGCATGTAACTTATTGATTAAATCAGGTACGTATATTAACCTGATTAAATATAATGTGCACACATATTTGCAGTACACATTTTACATATTCTTGGATGTTTGAAAATTGTTTATTTTGCATAATTATATACATATATAATATTTTGCAAGTGTGTGATACACACAGTAACAATATCAATCACAAAACATACAGGATCTTTAATAATAATATAAAAATGGCTATATAAACGCTAAAGTGATTGTACAATTTAAGATTTGATGACCATCAAATATAAGTATATAATTTTAAACTGTCCCCTTTGTTGATAAAATAATAATGATAATTAATTTTAGTAAATACCCTTTCCACAATTTATATTCACACCATGATCTGCATGCAAACTGCCATGTGTATATATATTCTATTTTTGTCTAAGTGATTAAATCATGTTGTTCTCATGTATTATGTACTGTAGAACCTGATTGTAAATAAAAGTATATGTCTGTCTGTCTGTCTGTCTAATAATACAAATAAAAATAGTAATAATCATAATAACAATGGTAATAATAATAACAATGGTAATAATATTAATAATAATAATGATAATAATAATAATAATAATGATAACAACAATGGTAATAATAATAATGATAATAATTACAACAATAATAATAATGAAAATAATAATAACCATGATGATAATAGTAATCATAGTAGGAAATAACCGTAACAATAATAATAAGGATAATAACAATGGTAATAATAATAACAATAATGGTAATAATAATAATGATAATTATAACAATAATAATCATGAAAATAATAATAATCATGATAATAATAATAATAATAGTAGGAAATAACCGTAATAATAATAACAATAACAATCATAATAATAGTCATAATAATCATACCAGCAAATAACTGTAAATTTGATAATAATAATAATAATAACAGCAGTAATAATAATAAAAGGTATAATAATAATTATAATAGTAATAATAATAATAATAATAATAGTAATAATGACAAGCGACACGTGATAAGCAGTGTCTAACTAAAATTACCATGTTTTAGTAGTTAGAAAAATATAATTGAAAAAAAATTAAAATTAGATTGCAACAACGCAGTTTTACAAAAATACCGATCGGTTATTACGGTTATTTCCTACTATGATTATTACTATTATCATGATTATTATTATTATCATGATTATTATTATTTTCATGATTATTATTGTTATAATTATCATTATTATTATTACCATTATTGTTATTATTATTACCATTGTTATTATCCTTATTATTATTGTTACGGTTATTTCCTACTACATGTATGATTACTATTATCATCAATGGTTATTATTATTTTCATTATTATTATTGTTGTAATTATTATTATTATCCTTATTATTATTACCATTGTTGTTATCATTATTATTATTATTATTATTATCATTATTATTATTAATATTATTACCATTGTTATTATTATTACCATTGTTATTATGATTATTACTATTATTATTTGTATTATTATTAAATTATTTGCTATTGTAAATATTATTGGAATGTTTTAGTAGAAAAAATTTTAATAATCATAATTATTATTATTATCATTATCAGTTTTATTATTATTATTATTTTTAATGTATTTTCAATGAAATAAGTTTCATTATTCTTGCTATGTTAATATTATAAATAATATTAAATAAGGGGAGCAACGTTATGCAGTGGAACAATTTTGACGGAAAACGTCATCATCATATTTTGCGTAATTTTTATTGTTGAAGTCAACGACGTCATTTCCTGTATGCATAACATAGTTAAAGATAAGACATGTAAGAAGATTAATATGTGATTTATATAAAAATAAACAGTAACTCCTTGATAAAGAGGGGTTTAACCCCTCGAAACGTTGGAGATAGAAAAGTTTGTGTAGTAGATAATTATAAATTAACTGTTTCCGGATTGAATATAGGATAATTGATTTAACTCCCATGTCAGAGTTGGATGATTACATACAGGTACAGGTAAGATAACCTAAACTGTATGCACAACATACAAATTATATTTCTTAATGCAGTATGTCATTTGAATTTTTAATTATAAAATAATACCAAGTTCAGATAGTCTTAACCGATTAATAACATAACAGTTTTTTTTAAAATTTCAGTATAGATCTAAATCTTTTCAGCCGATCTGTCAAATAACACGAGGCGTTAATAGCAAGGGGTTAAGCGTTACGAGGGATGATATTTTATTATTACCCCTCACTTTTTTCGTAATATTAATTTCCCATAGGCCTCTGGGAGTTATTCTTACTGTTAATGCAAGTGTACCACGTGACTAAGAATTTTGTAATGTTACATAGAGGTAACAGTATTTTTTAACAGTATAAAATCTGGTCACGTGGTCTGTTTTCTAAATAAAATGAAATAAAATGGCCGCCATTTTGCTTTCGATTCATTCTTATTTTCGACGATAGGGCCTAGGGCATCACCAAAGTAACTATGGCCCGTATTCAGAATCGATACTTACACTCACACTCATTGAGTAAATCCCATATAATTGCCTAACGGTCAAGACAGTCCTCAACTTTCAGTAAATCGGTATTCAGATTATAAAGTAAGTGTCGAGTGAACTCCATCGTCGCATACCCACGATTGATATAAACATGTCACATAACATGCAAGTCGGATACTCACGATTGATAAACATGTCACATAACATGCAATCAAAACTGATAAATGTTAAAGGGATATTTAGGCAAAATAATGACAAAAATATTAAAATGATCTTTTGTACTCAACTGGCGCTAAAACGACATTTCTAAATGTTTCAGCATGAATTTCTCTTTAAATTCTATATATTTTGGATTTGAAACATAAATATATCTATATATGTTGAACAAAATTGAGACGCCAATAGAATCACCGAATAGTTTTAAAACAAGTCAGGTGACTTGAACAAATCCTTGAAGTTACATCAACAGATACTGTGGATATTGTATGACTGAAACAAGTCAAAATCATTCATTTGACATGTTTTTTAACATTTCCAGAGTTCACTGTGACAACTATTGTGAAGTCCTAGCGCTCTAACCTGACCCACGCGGGTCAGGTTAGGAAACCACCATTTCATGCTTTATATGGAGGAAAGTTTTGTTCCTTTGACTGCCTAATATACTCATTTTGAGGGCATTTACAGAATTATGAATAAAAAAATGCAAAACTAAGAAATGAAAATTTTGCCTGTGTCTCCCTTTAATGGTTCGGCCGTGGGTATCCGACGATGAGTGAACTCAGGAAAGTTTAGAATCTGTGAGATAAGGAGGGGGCTACCTTGAGGTGTCTTCAGTAAAACAATACTGAATACCACTTAGTTTTGAGTATTGGTATTTAATTAATTTCGTCCCATATACATTTATGTGCATCATATATACGCGAACTTACAGTATTTTAGGAAATAAATTTTGAAAAATAGAGGTGATCCCATTAAATTTATGTCAGAAATTGAATTTTATCAGAAATTTTGATTTTCAAAGGAGTGTACCCGGAATGATACAAGTATTATAAACTTCAGCTCGCGGGATACCAGTACTTAATATTATGCCAAAAAAGATGAAGGGTTGTTACGAATTTATACGATTTAATGTTGAAACTTTCTTGAATTTCCTTTTATCCATGGAAATGACTGTTCCTGTGTTTGTCAATATGACTCGTTGATTCTGGACTCAAGTCCCCTGATTTGTCGCATTTTTTAAAATGTTTTGAAAGAATATATGCCGGAGAAATGGACTTTTTTCTTGTCGCTTAAGGAAGGGATACTTTTTCTACAAAGGGAATAACATCAAACTAAATTTAGAATAAATGATATACACATGTTTATATATTAAAAGTAGTATCAAAATATAAAGTTTCTTGTAAGATTCAATAAGCAAATTTTCGGTTAATGTTTTGGTAAGTATATGGAAACATTTCCTCTACATTTTGCAAAACGGGCATAAAGTATTTAAAGTCACAGATTTACATAAAAATGTTTATATCATTTGATTGGAATAAACAGTATATTAAGCTGCATGTCTCCAACCACAATTAATATTTGAGGAAAATCTTGAATAAAATTTGTGCCATTTGCGCCAAAAAATCTCCGTTGCGTTATTTAGTCGTACCGGTTAAAAAGTTTAAGGAGCAGCAAAATTTCGGTACACGGTTCACTCGGTCATATAATAGTGCATGGTGATATTGTACCTGTAATGTTCACTGTTACTATTTATCTGAATATGAAATAGTAAACGCTATTAAGAAAACAATACGGTAATTGATTTATACAATTTAAATGTTTAAAACGGAATTAACGTAGCGCTAAGTGACGTAAATGATATTTTCCGATTTTTCTACGTACCGATTTGTTCACTTCGATGTTAATTTTTCGTTTAAGTTAAGTCGTATTTTGAAACGGAGCATGCGCAAAACAATTTTTGTAGACTGCTCCTAATGATTTTACGCTATAAATGAGATTCATTCACTACAATCAGATACGCAAAAATGGATGCCGCCAGCAATCAGTCTGAACACTGTGGAGAGAACATCATTTACCTTTGTCCCTCCTTCCAACTGTTTTGACTGGAGCATAACTTAAAAATCTTTGAACATAATATGTTTAAACTGCACACAGTGGTAGAAAGCATGGAGGTTGGTATCCAAAAACCCCAACACTACAAATAAAAGTGGTGTAACTTGTTCAAACGACAATAATGTACCTATTTATACGGTATTTCTATCGGTCGTCCGAACTGAAGGGACTTGCTAGGAAGTCAAATTCAAAGCACTGTTTTTTACCATATGACCCAACTGTTTTCACTATCTTGACGTAGTTAGTACAGCTTTTTGCATTTAGTAAATAGAAGTAAGCTTCAAATTAAATGGCATTCGATGGAATGAAAAATTAGACGATTTTACTTTATTTAAGGCAAATTATTTTCTGTTTTTCTTCAATGTCGTATGCAGGCTTGATATCAACTTTGTATGACAGAGAGATACGGTGTCTCGATCAGAAGTATGATATTTTGACGCTGTGCGGAAATGCTGTGGTACGTGAAAATGAGGCAATTCAAAATATTTAAGAGTATCAGCAACAATACCAGGTTGTCGCCTGCTTACATTACGCCCTGAGTCACTCATATAATAAAACACGTGCAACAACGGTGCGTGGTCACGAGATGCATGTTTCCTTCACCGTTAATTTATACCCGTTGTTTAAGCCCCATTTACACTGACCCGGTAATGGCCATGGTAACGCTACGGTGTCTTAAGCCGGTGAACCAGGGTGTTCCGTGGTGTTTTTCTGAAAAATCAAATTGCGTTTACACATCCCCGACATAGCCCAGTTGTACTCCCGATTCAGTACCCGATATAGCAACGTATTTATACGGTAAGTGCCGATGCTAACCCAGTGAAGACCCGACTAGACACGGTTTCATCACGGTCCATCCCGACCATCGCCGATGTCGCCACGGTTAAACTATGGGTGATGCCTGCACTGTCCCGGTGACGCCCCGGGAATGCGCCGATGCTTCCCTGTTCAAGTGTATGAGAATAAAACTGTTTAACCACGTTGACATCAGTCATTTGGTAAAAAAAGACAGCAGAGATTCCACCCGAAGGAAAGGGGAACAAAGTTTGGAAACGCCTACAGAGGTTGAGGTACCTTTGGAATGATCAAACCAACCGGAGAGTAAGGAAAGCTCACAGCAGAAGAAATAGCAGAATGGCCCTTCTTTATGTTCACTTAACACAATTATCCAAAGTAGCACTTCGAGTGTATATATACCGGTTCCTAAAACTGTCTATTATCGGCATGAGGCCGTGACGCCACCGTCTATTACCGCTTGTATACAACCGTGGCGATCTTCCGGTTTGTCCCGGTTCACCAAGGTTTGTCCCGGTACTTCACGGAATCGCTACGGCCCTTCGCCGGTTAAGCACTGTTGATCCCGGTCGACTAAACCGTAACAAACCGAAACGCCAAACCGGACTGTGTATATGGGCCTTTAGATATTCATTTATAACTCATTTCAAACCCTAAAACTTTATGTATCATTTTTCAGAGCGTGCATGTCGCTAAAATCACAGAGCTATGACAATGTACAGTCATAACGTTAGAGAGCTGAATACCCTAAAGAAGGGAGATCTTGTGGAGTTTGATAGAGGCTTATATTCACACTGGGCTGTTTATGCAGGTATAACATCACAGTTTCAATTACTGTCATAAAAATATACTAACTTCTTTCTTTTTCACATGTTCACTTATACAAATGAAGGATACTCCAATGAATGTCATTTGTGATATATTACGAGAACGTTATTATAGCGAATGTACACAATTCAACCTCTAGTCATTAGAACCGATACTGATGCATAACATTTGAAGTATGTACGTACGGACCAATATCTTTGTTGCCGTCGTCTTGCAAAAACTTTAATGTAGCCTTTTATTAAAACATTATTCAAAGATATCAACACGAAATTTGGAATACTTGCTGACCTTGACAAATTGCAGTTGTAAGAGAAGAGACAAAATATTTCAAAAAAGAAATATTTTTAGTAACATGCCCTTGTTAACATGCCCTTGTTAACTTAGAATTTTTGTCACAATTGCCAATTTTAAAAGTAGAATGATTTTAAAACAATGAATAGTTGTAACATTAAACTTGGAATACGTGTTTATCATGACAATATTCAAATGTTAGAAAAAGGCATACTTTTTAAAGCTACGTGGTATATTTTTCCAGTTATGTCCCTTTCTAACTTTTGTCAATTTGCCTAATTAAATAGAATTTTTTCTAAATGAACAGTATTAAAATGAATCTTTAATAACAAAGCAGAGTTTTAGGACTTTAGGCATTACTCTCAAAGCTTAATGTCTAGAGGGACCACTCATCAAGTTTTTCAACAATGTTTGTTAAATTCTTATTCAGCAGAATTATTCCCAAATTATGCAAGATTTCAACATGAATCTTACACTACTTTACGACAATGTCACTTGAAGTAAAACTAAGGGGGGGGGGGGGGGGGCATTTACTTTCAAGCATTATTTTATAGAGTCGTGTCCCTTTTAACTTGAATATTGATAAAAATTTGTAATAGATAGTCGTAAACTTATTTTCAACACGTCACCTTTTCTATAGTGGTTAAGTCACATGTCTAAATATTTCAAGAATGTCAACAGCGTTTTTATTGCATATTTTCACACACTTTCTGTCCTTCTATATTCAGTAGGAAAAAATGCGTGCCGTTTTTAAATATAGAATAAATTTCAATGAACACACTTACTATTTGCAGTTCAAAAAGAAAACAAACCAGATTTACCATAAAAAGTGAAACTAAGACAAAATATTAACTCCTTGATACTGATTAAAATATTCAATGTGAACTTTGTGTTTTGTTACGTTTTTCATATCTTTCGTGCAATATGCTATAATGTATTACGTATATTGTATATATAAAATTGTACTATCTGCTTCTTTCTATTTTAGGTGATGGGTTAGTTATTCACATGACAGGTGATAGTAAAGAAAGTTTAAATGCAAGTGTCAGCAACTCTGGATGTTTTTTTACAATCTGTGGTCAAACTTTCGCAAAAGCTTATGTGCAAATCGATGACTTTAAGAAAGTAGCGGCTGGCAGTAAAGTCTACAAAAATAATAACAAAGACAGAGAACAATGGTATGTCCTTCATTGTTGTTTATCAGTTCAATAAACAATGCCTTTGTATTCAATTATTTTCTATACATTCTGTTAAATAAAATATTGTATTTAGGTTTTAAATATAGTCTAAAAATTGTAAAAATGTATCTGTAACTAAAGACTTCATGATCAAGCATTAGAATATCTAGTTACATGTATAATAATTTATGCACTTGGTCTATGTAGCTAGAAGAACTCCTGGCTAAGACACGTACGGATTTACATGTACATATTTACAAGTGGCAGGACGTGAAGTGATTGCACACTTGGTTCAAGCGAGCGAATTGGTTGCAAACTTGACAAAATTGCGATGCCGCCGACAACGGCGTGATTTTTTGAAACCGGTGAACGAGTTTTTGCCAGGCAAGTGGGTTTCTTTGTTATTTTGAAGTTCATTTGTATGTCTATTCCATAATGCAATATATATGCCACACTCGGTTAAAGGTTTCAGCATCCTAGATTCTGTTTTGACGAAGTTATTGAAGATATAAACTGATCATGTAGATATTTTGAAATTTGACATATGACTGTTCTGTCCGGTTTTTCTCCTAATTTATTCAAATTTGGAAGTTTTGAACTGCATTTAACAATAACAAAATATGTTTCTGTCAATGCTGTACAAATGGTTTAGTTCGCAAGTCCGAAGATAGCGTTCAATACACAAAAATATCTTGTTCAAGCACATTTTGGTTGCAGACTTGTACTTCAAGCATTTTTGGTTGCAAACTTATTCTTATTCTATTGAAAAATCCATAGTAAAACTTTGCAAAAGGAGTGTAGAAGGTTATATCTATTAACATATTTTCAATAGCAATTATTGACATTTATGTTCTGTTACTTCTTTTTGTTATAAATGTTATTTCTACTTTCTTCTTTTACAACAATTATGCACTTTATGTTTCAAATTACATGGTTATAATCATCAGTAAAAGCTTGCAAACAAAATAATAGCATATAGAAAAATATTTATTGATACTTCAATTCTAAAATATGTCATCATATGTAAAATGCAAATGAAAACTACATACAAAACAAACGTATACATTTGAGAGAACTGTTGTATTTACGTGAATTATTTTCATCATAAACATAAGGACATGTGCACACATACATGTACGATGTTATTCGGCAAAATTTCCAAAGTTTATCAAAACCACAAGAAATTTTAATTTGTTTGTTTCGTATGTAATGATCAGCAGTTGCTTTAGACATGTACTTAAAATGTTTTTACAAACCAAAAGTTGAAATGACGTACATGCTTGTTTACAATATTTCGGATTTGATGTACATCATATGTCCATTGGTATTCTAAAGATGATTCTGATTATTATATCATAATATAAATGATATACGATTGGTTATTTACATTAACTGTTGTGTGACAAAACTACTTAAAGTCATTGTTCGAGTTAGGGAATTTGGAAATTTTTTCGATTGGTCAATAATAAGGAACAATTTAAAGAAACATGTAAATAATGATCTTGTGTCAATGTTAATATAGTTTTTATCTACTATATAATCAAATTTATTTCAAATCTCAAAAAAGAACAATAATGAAAGTTGTTTGTTGCTATTTTCTTCTTCTTTTCCTTTACAGTTACTCATGCAAAGATATAAAAAAGGTCCTAAGACTTTGTAAAAAGAAAAGGAGTATATCGAGGAGAAAAAAATGATGAAGATAAACACAACTGAACTTTAATTTAGCATACATTGTATTGTGTTATATATCTATTTGAAAGACCCTGTGTTAGGATATATCTGCACGCATGCACAATTTGTATTATATATTTCTTATTAGATGAACCGACATAATTGCCATAATATTGCTAATTATTTAAAAAAAATGATAAGTTATTCCTCGCTAAAAATATGCATGCCACATTGACACAAAAGTTTGCAACCAAAAATGCTTGAAGTATAAGTCTGCAACCAAAATGTGATTGAACAAGATATTTTTGTGTATTGAACGTTATCTTCGGACTTGCGAACTAAACCATTTGTACAGCATTGACAGAAACATGTTTTGTTTTTGTTAAACGCAGTTTAAAACTTCCAAATTTGAATAAATAAGGAGAAAAACCGACCAGAACAGTCATATGTCAAATTTCAAAATATCTACATGATCAGTTTATATCTTCAATAACTTCGTCAAAACAGAATCTAGAATGCTGAAACCTTTAACCGAGTGTGGCATATATATTGCATTATGGAATAGACATACTTATGAACTTCAAAATAACAAAGAAACCCACTTGCCTGGCAAAAACTCGTTCACCCGTTTCAAAAAAATCACGCCGTTTTCGCCATTTTGTCAAGTTTGCATTCAATTCGCTCGCTTGAACCAAGTGGGCAATCACTTCACGTCCTGCCCCTTGTTTAGATACACTGAGGCGTATTAACGTTTGATTTTGATTTTATAACAAGCGCCTGCATTGGCTAACACCGGTTCTATCTTGAAATCATGGCAATCACGTACATACTTTAGTTTCCGAACAGTTACATAAAGAAACTAATTCACTAGGCGTGGTAAACTTACTATTGATGAGGAAACTTGTCCTTATATCATAATGTTTTCTAGGTATGCTGTTTGTAATCAATTATCAGTTTGCAAGAACACTATACAATAAATCATTTACTAATGGCAACTTTTATTTCAACGATATCCTTAATTTAGATTTGATAACTAATGCAAAGGCTTGGTTTATTTTACAAATCAAAATTCTACAGGTTAAGTAAACACTTGATTTCATTCGTTCATAATTATATAGCCCTGATGCTGCAGATGTCATTATAAAACGGGCTCTGGCTAAGCTTGGCGAAATAAAATACAATATCCTGTGGAGTAATTGTGAACATTTTGCCACTTATTGTAGATATGGAGTTCCTACAAGTAAACAAGTAAGTACATACATGTATTTATATTTGAATGTGAGCAAATGTCATTAGGCTGGATCTCAATGTATACGATTGCGTCTGCGTTATCCTAAGTTGACGACTGACGTGTTCGTTTCTGGCACTTGGAGCCCCATTCTCATGTGTTCAACCCGTGCGTACATACATACATACATACACGCACGCACGCACGCACGCACGCACGCACGCACATACACTCACACACACACACGCACACGCACGCGCACCAACACACGCACACACACACACACACACACAAGCACACACACACACACACACACACACGAAACTTAATTTTCGCACACAATAAGTAAGATATTTTTTCATTAGAACTCCTTTACATTATGTAACTAGAAATGGATGTTCCCACATTCTATTGTTTACATCGGTACAACGTGCAAGCACGAAAAACAAGAACAAACATGGACAAAACTACATGCCCCACCCCTTTTATGGAGGAAATGCATCGAAACATATTACATGTCCGTACAATGATAACCTAGTCACGTACAACACATACATTCAATATAAGTATAACAGACAATTCAAACAAGGAATATATTCTTTCAACATTATAAAACATTTTAAAACACAATAAAGTGTTTTTGGGGTCCGACACATGTCAACGAAACTGGCACCTCGAGGATATTAATAAAGGATATTTGTTTAATTCAGTGTAAGATCGGAATATATTTCATCGAGCCAGCACAAAAAGGCGCAGCCACGAGTGAAATATGAACTTTTGGTGTTCACAAGGTGAAATATATAATGGATATTCAAGTTTTTTCTATAAATACATGATTTATTTTCATCGAGTGGTATGAAAATAAATATTTCATGAGTGGCGGTAGCCACGAGTGAAATATGGTAATTTTCATGCCACAAGATGAAAATAAATCATGTATTTATAGAAAAAACTTGAATTTTCTGTTTATTATAATAATTATACATTTTTCTCTTTTTTGACATTAAAATTTGAAAGACTTTCCCTTAAATTTTGTGTACTGGCAGAATTTAAAAGAAAGTAGTCCGGCAAGACACCAGTGAAAATACGGAAAATATGTTTCACTGCAGTGAAAAATAAATTTTTACAGTGAAAATACGGAAAATGAAAATATGCATTTTATTTCATCAATATTTCTCAATATTTCATTTATAAGTATGTAATAAATTTCGATATTTCGAATCAGGAGCAGGTTATTTACAAAACTGCCGGCTGTCATCTTTATTCTCAACGTCCATATTGGTTGCAACAAGAAGAACGCCTTGAAAAGTAATGTTTAGTTCAAGCTCTTCGTTTTTACAACTAATGAATCATTTTCGAGTGCGCTAACCGGTGATGGTCTGTTGTCATATGAGGAACCATGGTCTCTTCGCGATTAGGGCTCGAACCCTGGAACGATGGTTAGGAAACTACCCGCCTATATGACTGAAATACTGTTGGGAAAAGGCGTAAAATGAAACAAACAAACAAACAAACAAACTTGATCCCTGTATATGTGGCTATCACATTAAACACTACATGTACTTAATCCTTCAGAAATACTTAATAATAGACAATATGATGTTCGTAAATAAAAAGTCGGTACAATAATATGTCTCTTTCATAAGTAATTTTTTTTGAGAAAATAAATGTGTGTCTATTATATATTTATTTATTTTTTTACATTACAGGCGAATTCTGTCATCGAAAAGGCGATTATAGGGACAGGGGTAATAGCTATTACAGGTATAACTTTAGCTCTGCAACGCTTTGTACCAAAAGAGATACTAGATGATGCTGCAACTATCATACAAGGCCTTGATATCTTTCTGGAAGACAGGACCAGAAAGCGTGAACGTAGAAACGATAAATTATGACGTCACCATACCTCTTTTAAAAGATCACCAGTGTTGAATGTTTCCATTATAAACTTAGACATATACAATAAAACAGTTGTTTTTTCATAAGAGATGTTTTGCACTTGGGTTTTTTTCCCGATTTTTTAAAAATTTTTCTTTGTTTTTGTTGTTGTTGTTTTTTTTTCTTGTATAAAAGAGTATCAAAGGTGTTATCTATGGTTCACATATTTTAAGAATAACTATCTTATATAGTTTACTTTAACATTAGCTGGGTGGGTTTGAGTTTGGTTCTTTCCATACATTCATTTCTGGCTTTATATAATATTATATTTATACTAATAATATACACAAGGGATTTCCGAAATAAACGATAAAATAAATCAAAGGGCTGCAAGCTCTGTGGTATTTTCTGATCTTTGCAATCTTAATCGTACTGTATATCTGTACATGTATTTGTTTTCCTGTATAAGTTTATTTTTGGCGTCCTCGGCGCAATGTGAAAGGGCGACAGCAACTTCTCGAGCCTTTTAGTCGGACATAATAAAAGCCGTTTATTCCGACCAGTATGAGGGTGCTTAACTGCGGTCTGGAGACCACAGGGTATTGGTACGCGTTTAACTTTAGAGCCATGGAGGAGCACGTGACCTGTTTTCGGTACATGGAGGAGCATGTGATCTGTAAACCGTACATGATTGGTTAATTGACCTTTTCGGAAACCTGGATAAATACCGTTGGCTGGTACGTTACAGATAATCCTCTAGGGAATTAGACACAGGTCTATTTAAGAACAAAAAACTATTACGTGATATTTTTAATTTTCTATAATTATGTTACCGTTTAAGATGGAAAAACTTGAATGATGTGTTTGAAAATGATCAATGTTTCTTTAATATGTATCTCAAAATGTTACAAACAATAAATTGTTTATACTGAAAATCTACAAAATTAAAATATTCGTAGTGGCATCTGCCATCATAAATACTTGTGTGTTTACTTTTTTTTTTGCTCGGAATTATTCATAAAATGGTAGGCCTATTTAATTTTTTTCTTAAAAAAGAAATAATTGTTTTATGTTCGATCTTCTCCGGTCATCAACGGTCACCAGTTTCCAAAGACCTTCTTCTATATTAATCGATTACTGTCAAATATATCCAGATACAAACGTTTATTTATCCTCGCCCCACCCCCTGAAAATAGTTAAATGAAATATATTAATATCATTAAAAATGTTCCCCGCAGGAAACCATTTTATTATTTAAAAATGAAATGTCGCGATATATACAATGAATAGCGAACTGGAGAATTTCGCAATGCAAACATTTTCAAATGAAATAACCTTTTCCGTCAATAAATCGCGCTCTTCGGGGTATTTTTATTTATCATTTTGTAGTACACAGTGGGTTATTATGGTTCATGTATCCGAAAGCTGAATAGAATGATGAGTTGGTGACCTATATATTCCGAAAATCTATTTATAGAGGGGTGTATTCCAATCGGTAATTCCCGGTCTCTCCTGGTCTATTTTGACCGGAATTTACTAGTGACCGGCGAACAGTACCACACGTTTATTGTCCGTCTCTCCCGGTTTTCGAGTAGATGTTTGATATCGTTACAGAACAGAACAAATATTTACAGTTATATAAGTTTTTTTCAAAATGAATGTTTGTCACTTAGTTTGGTTACAATAATTAATAAACACAGATCAACTCTCAAATTTATTGATTATTATTATACATAAACATAGAGCTGTCATCGATATCGACAATATCGATGTATCGTTGATATTTTTTTGCCGATCAATAATCGATACACATTTTAAAAAATCGATACTTTTCACTAATATATTAAATGTCTAGAAATTATAAAATTCACCCAAAATATATACAGAAGCAGTTATTTATATCTAATGTTATGCTTTTGTTGAACAGATACCTTTAGAGGGGGTCTTCGCTAATAGCGATAACATAATAAGGAACAAGTGTGGTGTTGATCATGCATTTACACATATGGATTATAAATGATTGTATACATGTATATCCGTTGCTAAAAATCATTTATGTTCATTTTTTATGATAGCCACACTTTATCCTTGCATATCGTGGCTATTTCCAACAAAGACACTAAAAAAGAATTTAAAAAAATGTTGACTCGACTGGGATTTGAACTCCAGACCTCTCACACGTGAAACGAGCGCGTTACCCCTGCACCACGGACAATTTATAACATCAGTTGTTGAATAAAATCAAGTCATTCGTAATTTATAATTTCCATTGCATTTTGGGTTAGGGTAATTTCGAGGTATTTTGTTAAGGGTAAACCTGTTGTTTAAAATTGAAGTAAATAATTTAGCAAAAATCTTCTCGCCCAAACAGTCCAACATGTAGAAACTATATATTCAACTACTCGACAGTCAGATTTATTTGTGTAGTATTCGGTCATCGATATCGCTAAAAATAGCATTTTCATTGATTAAAATCATATTCATCCGCGTAATTTGTGAGTGTGCATTTATTGACAATTCCATAGGCCAACGCTACTTTTAAAGTTTGAATGTGTAGTAATTTGTTGGACACTTGTAACAAAAACTTGTTCTTTCTTTTAAATTGCTGGTTTTTAAGCAGTTTTGAGTGAGAACTACATTGCGTTGTTAGGACTGTTGGGAAATATTGTGTTAGACCGTGGATGTTAGCTATGTATTTATCTGATCTTGCGATCAGAAAATACAAAAAGTATAAAGAGTAACGTTAGTTCTTAAATGTCTTTTGTTGGAGTCCCGTTCTTTATCTGCGATGAGTAGGAGAAAACCTTATATAATAGCTTGTATATTTATAACATAATCCTAATGTGGCAATTGACCTCAGACATACATAGTTTGTTTTACACCGATGATTCAGAAATTGAGATAACCAGCCGGTCACTTGCAGAGATATTAGTATTTTTCCTGGAATGCCGGTTGGATGGACCGAGGCGACCACCAATGTATGACCTAAAATGTGTTAAAATCGACATAAAAAACCAACCAACCAACCAACCAATCTAATTTATCTACACTAGAATATCCCAACGCAGGTTCATCAAAATTGAACTTTATTAGCAATTTATTCAATTTGAAACATATTAAATATGTCGACTATAAAAGTGGAAGGATCATGATTTAAATAGTTATATTGTGCAGGATAATATTGTAGTCAAATATGATGATTTAAAAGCTGATAACCAAACTGTTATAAATTAAAGGCACCGTTTTCTGATTCTCTAAAATAAGGAAATGTCAACTGTTTGAGACAGTATTTTTACATCTTCATCTACATACTAGAAACATTTTTGAAAGATATACATTAAGCAGGCGCATTTTCTAGGAGCTATGGTAAGAAATATGATTATGTTATATTCAATTTTATAGATATACGAGTAGTTTAAAACAGCAGTGTTGACTAATAGAAAAGGATGCACTTGCCCAATCTGTATATGTTGTAAGAGAGAATGCAACATACAGTCAAGTGACGTTTTATATATGTTTATAATTATTCTTCCAAACCAATTTCCAGACATCGAAGAATATGTTAAGCAAGCATGTCCAACAAATGTTTATATAAATATTCATGTAGCTGGGTGCTGATACCTTTGTTAAAAATACGCATAAGTTACACAGCTAGTACAAATTATCTAATTGATATGTTGTCATTAAACGTTATACGTAGCCGAACAAAATAAGAAATAACGTCAATTATATTAGTAGCCCCTATATAATAAATAAATATTCCAGTTGAATCGAGATTCCAGCACTTTAAATGTTGAAAATTAAGTATACCGTGCAAGCTTGTGATGGGGTACATATGACGGATGTTGCACTTTTTCATTATCCCTCATGTCTGGGACTTAAAAATTATTCCCTGCTCATGTAGGCCTACATACTCGATCAAATCGAATCTACAATCTTCATGTAGTTTTGTGTGTGTGTGTTTTTCGGTTTATTTTAGCTCGGCGCCGGAAATTCCATATGTCCGAGATCTCAGCGTCCATGCCGGTCCACTCTAGTAGTCTCATCGGGGACGTCTTTTTCATGCCGATCTTCCTAAGTCCTGTTCTTCGTTCGGTGGAGGAAAGACAATACCGGAAAAGCATCAAGTTCCGTGACGGCTGCAAACAGGCGGTTGACATAAAACGGCTCTTGTTAGCGCCACCCTCCAGAGTTAGTCACGACAGGTCAACCAATCACCTCTGGTACTTGAGATGACTTGACCTTGACCTGCCGTGTGCCTTCTCCGCGACGTGCACGCCTCTGGAGGGATTTGGAGAAGTAATGTAGTTTTGCTGTGGTGGATCACCTATGTATGTATGCGGGCGGGCTTTAATTATAACAGCGCAGGTAATCCAGACTATAATAATTATAATTATAATTATATATAATTAAATTTAAATTAGAAGGGGTCAGTGCAACAAGGTACCTAACAACAATTTTGGGTGAAATTGAGTTAGTACCTTTGTGATTTAAAGAAAGTTATTTGGAATTAGAATAACCTCCCTTTGTTACTCATTTCTTTTGTTTTTAAGGTGAAAATGGTTCTTGGAGGAACTTTACAAAGGTCCTGACTCCAGAGGTGGAGTTGGTACCTTTGTTACATTAAATCTATCCATTTGTTCTTGTTTTCAGGCGAAAGAAAATATATGAAAATGTGATTATATATTTTGATTTTATGTCAAAATGTGCATGGAAATTTACAACAACAATGTTTTCTTCTATGTTTTGTCTGGGACATAAGATAAGATTATCTTATGACCCAGGTTTTGTCAAATTAATTTGCAGAAATGTTCATTTGTGTAAAAAATTATTACAAATATTATTATGTGAATTTTGTGTTCATGGAGATAGAACCTTTATTGCACATATTATACCATATCATCCCTTTTTAAAATTCTGCATGAAGACATTTAAGTCTTAAAGATATTAAATTGTTTAGAAATTTTCTATACATGTATATCACCATAAAATTTATTGTTTAAGAGGAAATGTTTAAATTTGAGCATTTAGGATGCTTTAGGTAGTTAATGTTAATTGTATAAATATTTTACATTTTAGCGGCAAAGGCATGTTCTGGTAGCTTTTGTT